AGAAGCGACCTCCTCCGAACTATCGGCAGACAAGGGAACACGGCCGTGCTTGGCTAAACACGATAATGACACGGAAGTGAAAGAACACTACCATGTACACGACGTACCGGCCAGGTGGAACGGAATTCGAAGGGGATGAAAGTTGCATCGGGGGAAAAGGGTCATGTGGGGGTCGAGGATGTCGTGTTTCCTGTGACGCGACAGGCTATGCCGCCGGGGGCGTGCTTCTATGGGGTGCAACCACAGGAGCGGATGACTACGCTACAGATTTCATCGGGAGCAGGATATGCAATGGAATTCCTCTTCCTGGCCAAAGGCCGGGGGGCAGGTACTGTTCTTTTTCCAAATATTGATGGGCATTCTGGTACTCCTTCGATCGTTGGCGTTGCGGTGCTGGGGGGTTAGGGATTAGCTACTTGTACTTATAGCATTAGGAGCAATAACAATAAATAAGTAAAAACAATATCCTATGAAACGGGATGGGGCTTAATACACGTGGAAGGAACCTGGAAGCACAACCACGATGTACAACGACTGTGGAAAACATTAAAGTAAGTATTGCTAAAGGCAAGGGGATGAAAAGATGAAAAATTATAAGAGTTTGCTACGCATACGCCAATGCGTTCTTTAAACGAATACTGAAACTCTACCTTCTACAGCATTGCTTTTATATTTTTTTTTTTTGGATTTTATGCCGAAGAAGGTCAAGGCTTCGCGTCCGCCTATCATGTTGTAGACATGCATGCAATCGGGAAGGGGGTTTTCTTAAATCTTCGAGTCAAGCAAGACTGAGTTAAAACAGAGTCGAAACACGCAGCGTGCTCCCTCCAACATCTGTTTGGAAGGTGTCTACTTTCCGTTGGTTTATAGCTTTTCAAATCTGCTTTTCGATCGGTGGGGAAACTTTGACTTTGCACTTTATGATGTGACGATGAAAAAAAACCTAGACGCTCCTACAAAAACAAATTCATATTCAAGCAAAGTGAAAGACCATAATCATGAGAACGGAAAGCCACACAGAGTTATTCTGCGCTACTGTGGGCGAAGACAACATATTCGCGACGTTGCCTGAAATTTGGCTACAGTACTGAAAATCTTCAAAGCTGGCTGATATTGTTACTTTAACTTTTGGTTTTGTGTTTTGTACTACGTATAACTTTTTTGAAGTACTTCTACTTTTGTGATAAAGGTTTTGGTACTTTTTCGAATATAAACGTACTTGTTGTTGATCAACGTCAACCAGAATAAACCGAAAAAAAAAAGAACGAAAGTACGAGACTCAAGCGCTATCCTTGCACAGATCCGGGCACATCAGACATCTGGCCAAGAAATCGACATCCTCTTGAAGCATCAGAGTGATGGCCGCGTAATTGGCACTGCTCGACGACTCTTCGGCTTTGAAAAGGGCAGATGTATGACCAAAAGAAGAATATGTAGTCAACTTGTTATCTTCGTTTGAAGGGCACTTCTTTTCGTCCTTCTGCTTCTTGAACTTGATGCAGGTTGTTGTCTTCTGAAGACCTCCACCCACGGGCCACGGCCACATGTTTCCCGTTTCGCGCATCGGCCCTGTATGTAATATGAAGTAGCAAACCTCCTATAATGTAAATGTATGGCTAGTATGGGAGGACATAATGAAACAAAAAAACGGCCCGCGGGCTGCGAGGAAAAAAGGGTCAGCGGCCTCCGTCTTAGCCTAGGAGTGCCGCTGTTGCTCGGGATCGATTGGCCTTCACCTGCCGGCCCCTACTTCGCACGACAAGTCTTCAACTTTCTTGAAGCGGCAATCTCTTCCCGGGTTCGCAAAAGCGGCGACTCTTCTCTCAGATTCCAGCCCGTGGGCAAAGAAGTTAAATTCCTTATGCGGTTTGGGGGCCATCGGAGTCGAGATTCTCAACAACTTTGGGCCCGGGTCGAGATTCTCGACTCCGACTACCCGCAGCGGCTTCGCCCGCAAGCCCGACGCAATGCGGGCGCACCGCTCTGGCGCGCCACCCACACTCCCTCGCTGGGGTTTCTGAATGCAATAAACCGATCAGTTTTTTGCTGTTTTTTGCCGTTTCGGGGGCGCCTGGAATATAAGGTGAGTACAAACAGAAACAAACCTTTGACTACTTAGTTATGTACCGCCCTGAGTCAGATGATCAGAATTTTACATTTAGCATAGCATAAGCATAACATGGGGCACTTTGGCGTGTCGGAAATTTAGGAGTGCTCGGCTGCGGGCGGGGCTTTAAGAGTGCTCGGAACTTTAGGAGTGTCGCAACTTTAAAAGTGGAGAGCTTGACGGCTCGGCTCGGCTGCGGGCGGAGGGTGGTGGCGTTCCAGAACGTCAAGAGTACAGCTGGAGCTTTCATGAGCTAAAAGTTGACCACGCTTATTGCACTAGTAGAGGCGGCTATCGATGAACCTGCGCCCCTCCATCCAGGCGTTCCAGAACTTTAGGTGTGCAGCTGGAGGAGCTATTCATGAGCTAATTCTTGAGCACGCGTACTAAATTCTAGTAGAGGTACTACTTACCGGGTTGGCCTACATCCGTTGCAAATATCCCACCCTCCATCAGGGGGGACATATATTGACAGACGCTCGCAGCGTCAGCCTTGCCATTCACCTCCAGAAAGCCCGACGTTTCATTATGGCCCGCTCAGGCGTTACACTCTCGCCTATTCCAATACTTCAAAGAGCCTCAACCTTTGCAAAACACTGAATTTCTTTTATACAGCCGGGACGCCGTTGGGTTGCTCGACGTATTTGGTAATCCGCTTAGTACGGGATTGGTGTAGTGCTAGTTTTGCAAAAAAAAAAGCCGTTAAGCGTAATAATAATGCTTCTCAACATCTCTTTCTGTGCTCCGGTGATTGCAACGTCATAAACTCTGACTCTGACGGTAACGCCTGACAATGTGACACCTGGGCGGGCCATACTCACTTCCGGTCCACGAATGCGTGCGCGACGTCGCAGCGGCGAGCACCCCCCCCCCCCCCGAGGGTGGTTGCAAGAGCAGCGCTGGTAGTTTTCTTGACCATTTTCTGCTATTGGGAGCGCTAGACTCAGAGCAATTAGTAGAACTACGGCTTTTTTTATTCTTTACCTTGCGGCACCAATTTGTCGAGTGAAGGTCGCGGCCTGAAAACGAGCAGACCGTACTAGTGTTACAACTACTTCTGGTTTTGCGTATAGTTTCACCTGACAGACTGTATTTGAGGACTGAGCGAGGAGTTAGAATCTGCGGGACTCGGAGTCGTTGAAATAGCGGGAACTGTGACGCAATAAAGAACGAGGACGAAGTTATATCTTAAAAACTCAAGCTCAGCATATGCGCTGCTCTTCAACTTGCTGTTGTCAGATTTTTTTATTAATTTTGCTAATCCATGCTGGCCAACTACGTGCTTATTAAATCTATATATTCCGGATCGAGCCGGAGCCGCAATCATTGTCGCCGTCTTCTTCCTTAATACAGTAAGAACCACGACAAAGATGAGAACGAAGCAGTTGTACTGTCAACTTGGACGAAGATGATGGCACGCACGATATTATTGCCCATGGGCGTCAATAATAGAAACGGATCACGTTGTTCGCGGGTGCAAAGCTATCCTATGCACACTGCCTTTCATCATGCAGCAAGAAGAGCATCGTCATTGACCACTTCCAGTGAACGAGTTTGCCAGTTGGGCTAAAAGCGAACGACGAAGACCATAATCTATACTTGCACGAGCACGATCAGGAACACGGCCTGCGATGCACTTACAGAGGCAGGGTAGTGAATATGCAGCATAATAAAAATAAAATGATAATCATGATATTTTCAGTTTCAACATTAGATGACGACAAAATGCGAAAGAGAACAAACAGAAAAACGTCAATGTGCACAAAGAATGTCACGTGCAGAAAGAGAAGCTTTCAAGAAAGATAAAGATCTTATCTTCAATGTTCTACAACTGCTACTGCATGCTCAGGGGCTTGGCAACCGTCGAGCTGTCATCTTGATGCAATACTAATTCACTTTCTCCCTTTATTTCTCTTCTTCTTTGGCGGAGGTGCGACCTCCTCCGAGCTTTCGTCATCGTCGTCAAACTCCTGCACGTAGCTGCCGTAGCTGAGTTCAGACACAATATCGTCATCGCTCAACATCCCTTCCTCCTCCTCTTCCTCCTCCGCGTCTGAAGCAAGTTCATCTGCATCGGCTACAGTAGTTGCCGTCGTGTTTTTTGAAGATGACGCGGGTGTACTTCTTGCTTTCGAATTGTCCGTATCCTGAGTAAAAACGTACCCGCACCAGAGTTGTCATGCAGATTTGCAATGACAGGAACATTTGTAATGCGCATCGCCAGGAGAGTCATTTTTAGTTGTGTTTTGGAATTTGTAATGCTGTAAACAGGATGAGCAGATGGATTTCTGATGCAGCTGGCCTTGCGAACATGCACTACACTACGGACTGCAACTTGTGATGCGTGACCCCCAAAAGTTCTAGGTTTGTGTTGCAAAATCCCCATCTTGACTCTGGTGTGGGGACATTTTTACTCAGGATAATCCGTTTTCTGCGTCTCCGCTTCCTCCCCCTCCACTTTCACCTTGCTCAGATCCACCGGATATCAAAGAAAAAAAGTTCGTCACGATCACTCATGCGCATTCTTGCAACGCAAAATTGTTTGTCATGCGTAAAAATGCATCACAGCCAAACTTCATTAGGGATTTCCCTAGTGTTTCTGCAATACATGGAAAGTTTGTGATGCTGAGAAAATTTGTAATGCAAAGCCTGCAAGAGCAAGTTAGTGACTGTGACAAACTTTTTTCTCTCCATACCGGAGGTAACGCCACGACTGCGGTTAGTTTTTGTTTCATGTACGTCTTTTTATCCTGTTCCCGTCGTTTATCCGACTCCAAAGCCTTGTGGACGGTCGCGAACCGGCCCAGCCCGACGCTCGCGAGTTGTTTTGTCTGCGGGATAAAGCACAGCGATCGAATCGCGGAGCCCTCGGGGGCACACGCACCGAGGTACTTGATGATTTGCCCCTTCCAAACGTACTCGTGATGGTATCAAATGCAAAAACGTCTGGGTCTGGAAGGATGCAGACTTGTCATGCATATTTTGTATGATGATTGATGCCTGCTCTAATGCATGATCTAGCAACACAGATTTGTTTTTGTAGAGGGCTTCCTAATGGCTATTCCGCATGAGAAATGCCCTCTCCGCGTAACACAAACTGGAGTCCTGTCGCTGGTCATGCAATACAGATTTTTTTGGAATCCAAAGACAGCATTACAAGTTGCAATCTTCCAGACCCAGACATTTTTGGTTTCCATAGGTGGGCGATGGAGGCGATTTTCGGGATGTCCTTGACCATCTTGTTCTGAAAAAGCAAGGAGTCCGGCGTTCCCGTCAAATAGGGTTTCGTTTTGGTCAAGTCGAAAATATCGAGGTTCCCGACCGTGTCGCCATATGCATTGCAAAAGTATCGTATTCGTATAAATGCAAGTCTTGCATTACAAATCTTCTTCTTGAGGCAAATCCGCATTACAAATTTTATTTCTCATGCTGAGGAAATTTGTAATGCATTTATACGAGTACGATACTTTTGCAATTCATACGCCAACAGCCAGAATACCGTTGTCGGTCAACACCGACGCGGTAATGGGTCTCTCTTCCTTCCTATCAAATGTAAAAATGTCTGGGTTTGGAAGAATGCAACTTTTGATGCTGCATTTGGATTCCAAAAAAATCTGTATTGCATGAGTACCAAAGTAGGGAATGCAATTTTTCCTACGCTGAGGAGGCATTTGTCATGCGGGATAGGCATCAAGAAGCCCTCAAGAAATCTGTATTGCTAGGGTATGCATCACAGACATTATGGCTCATGCAAAACGTGCGTGACAAGTGTCAGAATCTTCCAGACCCAGACATTTTTACAGTTGATACTTCCCCGCGGCGCCCGCGTGCCCGATGGATCGTTCGCGCTTGTACACGACGGGGAGGTCAAACAGGGCCCGCGGTTGCTTCGCTTTCATGTCGAAAATCCGGATTTTGCCGTCCATGGTGCAGCACACCAACGCGGTGTCGCAGTCGAGGGCCTGGGGATACAGGATTTCTTGAGAAGTCGAGTATGAGTTCTTTATCTTTTGCTGGAAATTCGAAATAAATAACAACGTTCTTAACGTGCTCGAGCATTGCAAATGGTACTACAACAGATTGGTCATCTTCCTGCATTGTCATGCATCGTGCATAATTCTTTAAACTATCTACTACAAAAAGCAAAAGCATTCCTGATTTTATACCTCAGTCGCCCAGTGTATCCTCGAGTAGCGGATTGGGACCTGGAGATCCAATTTGTCATTCGGCAGGTTTTTCGCTTTCCACACCAATTTCCGCTCCCGTACGTCGAAGACCCGGACATCGTTATCGACCCCGCAGTATGGATTGTAAAAGTGTCTGGGTCTGGAAGGTTGGAACTTGTAATGCTAGCTTTCCATACCTAGAAAATCTGTATTGCATAACCAACAAAAGTCGCAGCCTCTTTTGTCATGCAAAAACGCAGTTTCTTATGCGGATTGCCTATGAGAAAGCGTTTTGGGAAGTTGTCATGCCGGACTGCATTCGGGAGTGTTTCCATCATGCACATTTTAGCATCACAAGTTTCCAGACCCACACATATTTGCAAGTGGGAATGCGTATGTGACCTAGCCTCAGCCTGTACGGTGTTGCAGTTTCGCTTTCGACGGCACTTGTGCTTGTTTTCTTATACGGTGTTAGTAATAAAAAGCAAGCGCGCAGAAATACATCATACTTACATACAGGATCCAGAGCGAGCAGAAATAAATTCAACACGTCATGATGTGAGGACGTTACGAAGATTTTGCAGTTGCGCGTGGATTTTCTTGCATGATGAACCTCGGCGAGCATAGACAGATGCTTCTACACATGCAACTTTACTTTCTCCCCTTATTTTTTTTCTTCTCCAGCGGAGAAGCGACCTCCTCCGAACTATCGGCAGACAAGGGAACACGGCCGTGCTTGGCTAAACACGATAATGACACGGAAGTGAAAGAACACTACCATGCACACGACGTACCGGCCAGGTGGAACGGAATTCGAGGGGGATGAAAGTTGCTTCGGGGGAAAAGGGTCATGTGGGGGTCGAGGATGTCGTGTTTCCTGTGACGCGACAGGCTATGCCGCCGGGGACGTGCTTCTATGGGGTGCAACTACAGGAACAGACGACTATGATGCATTTCATCGGGAGCAGGATATGCAATGGAATTTCTATTCCTGGGCAAAGACCGGGGAGCAGCTACTGCTGTTTTTGCAAATATTCATGGGCATTCTGGTACCTACTCCTTTGATCGTGGGCGTTGATGTGCTGGGGGGGGGTTAGGGATTAGCTACTTGTACTTATAGCATTAGGAGCAATAACAATAAACTACAAAAACGATACCATATGAAACGGGATGGGAACTTACTACACGTGGAAGGAACCTGGAAGCACAACCACGATGTACAACGACTGTGGAAAACATATATATAAAGGAAGTATCTAAAGGGGAAAAGATAACAGACTACTTAGGAAGAAAAAGGGCACGACTCCGAAACCAAATATGTGCAAAAAATAAAAAGAAAAAAAATTAAACATGAATTTTTGACTTTTAATCCCAAAATCGTGAGGCACTGCGTCCCTCTGACTGTGAAGACACCGCACGATCTTGAGAAGTCGACATGGCTGTTCCTGTTGTCGTTACGAAAACTAACATTCAAAGAAAAGCAAAAGAGTACTTCTTGTTCCGAGACGTGCTTAATGGAGAAAGCTGCAGAGTTGTGGATAAAAATGCGTATCCGAAGGTCACCAAGCAAATGCAAGTATGTGCGTTCTCCGAAAAAAGAAAAATCCCGATTGATGAGAGAAGGTGTAGGAAGTCGTCCTCGCCGCGCGCCATTCCCTTACTGCACCTAGCAGACATTCTCGCAAGAGGCACAGCGGGCATTCGTTTTGACGTTTTCCATGTACTTCTCTGACCCCTCATTCTTCTCGTTGTCCCGCTTTTTAATAGCGCCTTCAGTGCAATCGTCCTCTTTGAACTTCTCGCAGGTGATTGAGAAATTATCGGTTTCCGGACTCCACGGGCAAAATTTGTCCACTTTGATGGTGTAGTCGCAGGCTTTCGGTGTGCCATCGACGTCTTGTTTCTTTTTCTTAGCGTAAGTCTGCTGCAGAAACCCCGACGTTTCACTTCCAGTCCAGGAATGCGTGGCGGTCGGTGTCGCGGATGCGAGTACCGCCCCCGCACAAACGGCGTTCGCAAGAACAGCGCCGGCGATCTTCTTGACCATTTTTTTTTTCGGGAGCACTACTAGATTCACGACCCCTACGGCAGCTGTTGTAGTTCTACCTTTAGTACGATTATCTAGCGATTTGGAGACGACAAGACACTGACACTAAAAGAAGAATTGGAATTGCGTTTGCGTATATACAATGGAAAGTCAACTTCAACAAGTCTATCTACTTAAATGTTTCAGAATGCGAGACAAGAGTTCGACGGGAGAGTCGGAGTTTCAGCTCAGGCGGGAACTGGCACGCAAAGGAGGACGATGCTTACTCAAACTCATATCAAACTTGACCCATGTTTAAGTACGTATTTCCAGGATCCCGTCGCAGTCGCCTTTTGTTTTGAAGATGGCAGGAACAACGACAAGAAAGATGACAAGAAGAGCACGAAACACGGAACTGCCGGAGTGAACGAATATTACGAGGCGCGTCAACATCACGACATGATTTTTGACCACCATCGGCGACGGTAACGAACATCGGTGTCCATACGGCGCAACACCCTTTTGCATACAGAAAGACGACAATTTTCATTGAACGAAAACGAGTGCAACTGCAATCGCAATACACGAAAGACCAAAGAGGGGGATAATTTGGACGAGAAGTACCATGAGCGCCAGCGCCAGGGCCTGTCCAGCAATATCAATATGGAACAACTAAAATTCGCTTTCAATGTGTGACGTTCTGCTAGAGATCTCTATTCTAAATATATGAAAAAGTGGCTGTGCGCAATTCTATGGCGATGCGTGTCAATGTCATGTAGCATGTACTAGTGTAGAAAGATGATATCTCGTTCCCAAACAAGCTTTACAAGTTCCTACTGCATGCTCAACAGGGGCTTGGAAACCGACCTATGTATCATCCTGATTTCATACTAATTCACTTTCTCCCCCTATTTCTCCTCTTCTTCGGCGGAGGGGCAACCTCCTCTGAACTTTCGTCATCGTCGTCAAACTCCTGTACGTAGCTGCCGTAGCTGAGTTCAGACACAATATCGTCATCGCTCAACAGGCCTTCTTCCTCTTCCTCCTCCGCGCCGTCTGAACCAGGTTCATCTGCATCGGCTGTGGTAGTTGCCGCCGTGTTTTTTGAAGACGACGCGGGTGTAGTTCTTGCTTTCGAATTATCCGTTTTCTGCGTCTCCGCTTCTCCTTCCCCTTCCACTTTCACCTTGCTCAGATCCACCGGGGGTAACGCCACGACTGCGGTAAGTTTTTGTTTCATGTACGTCTTTTTATCCTGTTCCCGTCGTTTATCCGACTCCAAAGCCTTGTGGACGGTCGCGAACCGGCCCAGCCCGACGCTCGCGAGTTGCTTTGTCTGCGNATGCTCGATATTTTCTGCAAAATTCTCGCCACTTCGGGTTCAGCCAAAGTGGCGAGAATTTTGCAGAACTAGCAGAGCTAGACCCCATGAGAAACTGCCGTTTTGGGCGGCATTGCAAAATACCGGCTTTGCGGCAGGCGCAGCCGCCGCGCACACGGGCTCGCGCTCGACTACCTCTAGAGCACCCGCAGCGCCTTCTGGCTCCTGCTGCTTCATTGCGTTTGCAAATGCATGCAAGTCGTGGGCCATAATAGTATCGCCGACCCGCTTCCGGGATCGACTTGTGGCCGACCTGCTTGCGCTTGCTGAATATGGTGTCTCGGTGCGTGCCCAGATTTATTATTATTTGGAAGCAGTAGCAGAGTTTGGCTGCTGTCAAAGAAAGCTCGTTCTTGCCGTTGCAAAGTCGACGAAATCACCGACCGCTCTGAGCTGAGTGACCTGCAGGAGGACTGAGAGAACGAGTCGAAACTAGGCGAAAAGCGGAAAAGTGCGCCCGCCGGAGAGTTCATCTCTCATTGATGCACAAAAAGTTGCATCGGTTGTGAGAGAAATGGTTCGTGTATTTCGGCGCGCTGGGTGTATTTCGGCGCTCCGCACCTTGGCCTTGGCGTCAAGTGTACTACAATTGGATGAGCGCCCCCTCCAGCATGTAATGAATACATCATTATTGAATTATTTATAATGTCGATGTCGTCGAAGGGAGCAGTTCGATGATGCTGGCACCGCACACGAAACACACACACACAGGCTGTGGCTAAGTTGTTATGAATCAGAAAAAAAATACATATAGAATTAGAGCAGAAGGAGAGACAACAAGAAGCGGCCTGTGAGGTCGACGAGCAAGGAGATTGTGTAGAATTAGCGCAGAACAAGAATTAGAAACATGAGTTTCTGGGACAAGCTGTCCGCTCCATGGCGCCAATCCTCGCTGGCCGATGCCACCGCTCGGGACCTTGGAATCGACGAACCCAAGGGCTCGACGGGCACCCGCGCAACCGAGGAGCTACGTCTCCCGGTTACGCAATTAGATAATCCGGCAGTGCGCCAGATGCATGCGCATGCTCGGGATAATTTTATCACGGGCAGGCGCCCGGTCATCGGCGATGAAGAGCTCGCGATCGCGCTAAGCGCCCACGCGGGTCCGCTCCTGTCGATTGCAAGCGCGCACGGGCTGCGGGGGCTCCCGTGGTGTGAGGGAGAGGGCGGCGCCGGCGCTCATCAATAAGCCCGCCGCGCCCGCCAGGCAGCAGGCGGCGGGGCGGTGAGCATAGGAGCCGACCAGAGCCCCACCGGGCGGGCCGTTTTGATTGCATGCTCCGGGACCCGGGTGGCCCGCCCACAAGCAGCCGCGGCGCGGTTCGGAGATATCCCGTTGTGGTCGTGGCGTCAGGCACCGGCCGGCGCGCGTATTTCTCACTCCGTCCCTCGTGCGGGGCGTGGTCGTGTTGGTTCTCGCCCCATCGTGGAGGCGGGCCTGTTGCTCGGGTCTGCGTATTTTGATCCATTGCGCGCGGGCCCGCCAATTTTCCGCCCGTTGCACGGCAGCCCCAGTGCGACTGCGCGATACGGTCTGCCAAGATCGTCAGAACGCGCGATCAATTTTCGTGTCTGTCACGAGTGATACCTCCAGCCCTTTTCCACAGCCGCTGTTGGGCTTCTTCGATGAGCCCGCCCCCGCGCTTGCAGTTTCTTAACGTGTGGCATTCGTCAGGCATTCGCGTTGTTCTGTAAGTCGAAAGGTGCCCGATCTAGCTCCAGTTCGTTCTTTTCGGAAAGAGTGACATCCTGATGCTCTGACGTGGGGCAAAGATCATCTTTGCTACGATCTCAAAGCCTATTTATCTTCGAAGACGTAGCATCTGCGAGCGTGCGAACCGATCCTAACAACGATTTCCAAGAGCAGTGCTTCTCGTTACTTAGCGAAGAAAGCTGAAGATCTGAGTACACAGAAAAAATAGAAGCGCAGATGATCCACTACGAAGAGATATTCGAATTCGATCTGGAGCGACAATAAAATTTTATTTAAGCTGACGTAGCGATCCTCGAGGAAGCTTTAGTTCACATTTCCATCTTTCCATACATCCGTGGATTGAAGAAGATGAGCAAGGACTCAAAAATACGATCCAAGCGTGTGTAAAGAAAAAAATCAAATCAGTGTTGATAGGTTAAATTGGCCAATACCGCCCTCGATCTTCATCTTTACGGCCAGATAGAATCAGCCAAGATTTTCCACTGTACAACAAACTACACCAGACAGTAAGCTGTTCTTTCTTTCTTTCTTTCTTTCTTTCTTTCCATGCCCGGGCATGGCTTCAAATGTTCAAGGCCCTAAAAGTTCCGTTGCAATCCCAATTTCTTCTTTCTCGATTTGATCTCGCAATAAGACAACAGCTGAGCATGAACAACTTGTGAATTATAAGATCTAGGACGTTGAAGATAAAAATTTGGTTCGAATACAACAACAAGCTCTGTAAAACAAAACAAAACAATCATCTATTTCTTCAAAAAAAATAAATCATCTGAAAATAGTCTTCTTGTGCTGCAAATTCGATGGAACTTCCGTTGTATGAATTCTGTAATGCGCAAATCTATATTGAAAAGGAAAAAGTAGAGAGTCTAGATTTCAAGACTTTCTATGTCAGCAGGATAAATTTTTAATTTTTATCCATTCAAAAAGCAAGTATGATTTCGTCTAAGTCTCAGCATCGATTTTTTTTTTTCTCTTCTGATCGATTTCACAGTCTATTTCTGTCCTTCGCACACCTTTTTCATCCTCAAATCCACCCTGCCGTGCCCCGATTCGCATTGCCACCTTGGTCGTCCCAAAGCCACCCGGTCCGCCCGTTGGCCGCGTCATGTCGGTTGACCTGGGGATTTTGTGGGGGACGAGCACCGGGACCAGCATGATATTGTTGCATTCCATGCCATGCAGCGCCGCAGGGATAAAGAGTAGAATTATACCTGTTGGGGTGCCCCCCGCCCTGGGGCACCCGCTCTGGGATGGTGCCTGGGTGCCGGCCGCAAGTGCTCGCCGTCCACGACGCGTGCGGCCACCAAGTCCGTGTCGGAGGAGCACCGCGCTGGATGTAGTGGTTGCGCCATGGACCGGATGGGGCTGACGTGCTCCGACCTGTGTCGCCCTTCGTCCACCGATGGGTGGTGGCCCTCCTGCCGGCATGTTCGTGTGGTGAGACCGTGCGGTTTGTGTAGGGAGGGTGGACCTGGATGTTGTGGAGGGGAGAGGGAGCGACGACACCACCAAGGGATCCATGCATTCCATACCAACAAGCAACAGAATATTGAGGGTTGGAATTATACCTGTTCGGGGGGCCCCCACCATGGGGCGCCCCCGATCTTGTCTCGCGTAAGTGTGCGCCGTTTCGCCTCGCCGTAGCGTGCAGCCGGCGTCGTGCTCCGGTGGGTGTCCCAAAGTGGCCATCTTCAGCAGGTCGTGGTTGGGTGGAACCGTGCAAATCGGTCGAGGGGCACGTGGGTTCTGAGTCGATGTGGTTTCCGGGCAGTAGGGGTAGGCTCTGGTGCGGCTGGTAAGTGACCTGTGTGGTCGAGGGGAGAGCAACAACGGCCAAAGGAGGACACTGTAACACGTCAAGTCCCAACGAATGATGCGCATCAATGACATGATAACTATACCTGTTCGGGCACCCCCCACCTGGAGGTGCCCGGGTCGGTGTCTCGCGTGGGTTCGTAGGGTTTGATTGCTCCGGCGTTGTAGAGCATGTCCAGCTGGTGGGGTACGCCGCCGGGTGGTGCGGGTGAGCGTGTGCTTGGGCTGGGGTACAGGGCCTTGACCAAGATGCTCTGCTCGACTGTAGATGGGCGGCATGGGGTGCCGGGCGGGAGTCGCGTTGCGGCGGTTTCTGTACAGGGATATAATGAGCGAGGGAGGCCGGGTCTTGTGGAACGTGCAAAAAATTCCTGATGTTCATCGCACTGCTAGTTTCTGTGGGCAAGCAAGAATAACAATAAGAATACCGGTCAGGACCCCCCCACGCCCCCTCCACAGCCCCGCGCCCGCGGTAGTGTGTTTGGGGGGGAGAAAGCGGTGGGTGGAGTCCTGGTGGCGCTTTGTTTGCGCTGAAAAGTTCGGCCCCGGCATTGCGTTGTTGCGTCTCGTCCTCGGTGTCGCTGTCCCAGTCTGCATCGTCATCGAGCTCCCCGCCCGGCTGTAGCGCGCGTCGCAGCAACCTGATGAACTCGATGCCCCAGCACGGGTCCTCCTGCAGTGCCGCGGACCGGAATTCGCCCGGGTTGGACGGGTCTACCACCCGGAGGCTCTGTAGGGCCGGGCACTCCTGTACCAAGTGCGCTGTCGTTGCTGCCGGTGGGCTCTGTGTCCGCCCTTGACAAAACGGGCAGGCGTAGTCTCTACCGGTTATGTCCGAAACCAGCAGGCCCATCCTTGCCGCGCTGTAGGCGACTTCGTCCGCCCTCGTCGCGTGCGCCACGCTGTCTATCGGGTTTGCCGCGAAGTTGGACACCTGGCGGAGTGTCACACAGGTCTTGGACCCTCCTGTCTGTTTTCCCCTGTCCTGCAGCTCCTTCTTTTTCTGTTGCCGCAGGGACCTCGCGACTTCCCGCTTGGCCTGCCTGTGCGTGACCCTCGCACCGACTTCGGTGTAGTCGGTTTGCTCCCTGGCCATGGTCGCGAGCTTGTCCGCGACCTCGTTGCCGTCGACGACCTTCCTGTGCGACTTTGTGAACACCAGCGACAGGTGTCCCGCGGGTCCTAGTTTCTCTAGGGCGTCCCGTAGTGTTTCGTAGAGCAGCAGGTCACTGCCGTCCCGAATTCTTGGGTTTTGGAGCGCCTCGAGATTGGACTGCGAGTCTGTGACCACGACCGCTGTGCGGACTTCCCCTGCCGGTCTCTCTGCTACGGTGGCCAGGGCCCCCAGCAGGGCTGCTCGCTCCGCGTCGAACGAGTCCCCGTAGGACGTTGTTGCCCAGCCGTACTCTCTGTACCTGTCCCACGCGTCTTCGACCACGGCCGCGGCACATTGGAAGTCCTTGACTGAACCGTCCGTGTACAGCGAGACGTCTGCCGCTGTGGTGAGTTGTCGCAACTCCTCGTCCGTCGTTCCGGTTGTGCGGACCGTTAGCCTCCCGGCTTCTTTTGCGGCGTGTACTGTGCTCAGGCCGTTCTGCGGGAGTGCCCCGGGTTCCGCTAGAACCTCGCACCCCTCCGGTAGCGCCGAAGCCCGTAGCGCGTCGGCTGCCGCCGTCACCCAGTCGACCTGCCCCGCTGCCGCTTCGACCTGCTCTCGCAGCGGGTCCGTTTTCTCCCTCGACATGCCACGCGCTAGCAACGCGGCAGCTTCTTCCTTTGCCAGGTTTTCGAGTGGTTGGAGTCCTGCCTCATGCAATGCACAGTCGCCGTTCGTTGTCCTCGGGAGCCCTAGTATGCTCCTGGCCGCCTGCTTGTGGAACCTGTCGAGCTCCTGCTTGCACTTTTGTGGTAGTGCGAAGTAGTACGAGCCGAGGCCGTACCGGACTAAGCTTTCACAGAATAAACGGTAGAAGACTCGGACATCTGCTGTGCGTGTCCACGGGAGCCGCGCGAGTGCCCGCACCGCTACCATGCGGCGCCGCAACTTTCCTAGCATTTTCTCGGTGTGCTTGCGAAATCTCATTTCGCGGTCTAGCGTGATGCCTAGGAATTTTGGATGCGACTCATACGGCAGCTCGGTGCCCGCTCCGCTGTGCGTGTACAGCTTCAGCTCCTTCTCCTCTTGTTGGAACACCCGCTGGAGCACCGTCAGTGTGCACTTCGTGGGTGAAAGCGACATGTTGTTCCGCCGGCACCAGTCGTGTAACCGGTCCAGCGCCGCCTGTAGCTTTCTCTCTGCTTCTTCGGGATCATCGTACTCGACCGAGATTGCGAGGTCGTCCATGTACAAGAAGACCTCGCATCCCGTGCCCTCCAATACTTCCGCGAGCTCGAAAAAGTCGCAGAAAACCGTGGGCCCGATGACCGTCCCCTGTGGTACTCCTTGCGGGATTTTGTGCACCTCGCTTCGCCCTCCTGCGTACTCGACGACCCTTGTGCGGTCGCCGCAAAAATTCCGCGTCCACCTGACTAGCAACGCGTGTTCTGCTCTTTTGTCCTCCGGGAGGCGCGCGCCATTCTTTAACGCGTGGCGCGCGTACTTGTGCCTGTTCACTCGGTCGAAAGCGGTCTCCAGGTCGATCAGCACCAAAGCTCTGCGCTTGCCGGCGCGGAACGTCTTCTGTGCCCTCGCGGAGAGCGTAGCGACGTGCTCCGCCGCCCCTCGGTGCTTGCAGTCGCCGTACTGCAGGTGGGAGCGCACGGGGGTCCCTGCTTGTGCAAACAGCAGCCTTGTGCGGTTTTGGACGCATCGCTCTAACAACTTGGCCAGGATTGGCGTCAAAGCTACTGGGCGGTAGGAGCTCGGTTTGTCGACCGGTTTGGACGGCTTCAGCAGTGGCTTCAGCAGCTCCCGCTTCAGTGTTTGCGGTGTTCCCCCTGTGTTCACACAGTCGGAGAAAAAACCGCGAAGGAACTTTTTTCCTGCTGTGGGCAAGTTCTTAAACTGTGGCCCCTTTAGCCCGTCCGGGCCCCCCGCCGACGTTGACGACTGCGAGACCAGTGCTGCTTCTATCTCGTCGAGCGTGAACTCGATCCGTGTGCTTGGCTTTATCTCCTCGTTGAAGATTTTCTCGGCTTCTCTTTTCGCGGTCTGCTCCTCTGCTTCGTCTAACGTCGGCAAGGAGGCGTAGTGCTTTGCGAAGACCGTCGGCAGCCCTGTGGCATGGGACTCGCCCCCGAACTTTAGCACTTTGGCCGCCCCCGTGACCGGTCTGCCGCCCGCTTCGAGTTCTCGCAACAGCTGGAAAGCGCCGCTCGTTGTTGCCTGCGCCTTCTCTGCTTTCTCCCGTAAGCTGTTCTTTATCTTTATGATTATGATCTCTGTGTAGTGAGTGTCATCCGTTATAGTATTTGTAGTCATTGTCTTTGTCATCATAAAGTGTGTTTTCTCCCCAGCGTTAGAAGATTTGTTTTTCTTGCATCGCCTTCGCCACTAGGGCGGTCTCGCAACGCAAGTATCGATCTACTTCGTTGTGCCTCAATATCACTGAAAATGGACCTCCGCACGAATTCGCTCCTCCAGGACAAGTACAAGTCCGGCTCCAAGGAGCAGCAGCGCCTCTTCGGCGAGCAGCGCCGCACGGATTTTCTGGAGAATGCCGCCGCGGACAAGCGGAGTCGCATCGTATCAAGTGTAAAAGTGTCTGGGTCTGGAAAAGTGTACTTGTCATGCTAAATCTGAACCATACAAAAATCTGTGTTGCATGATTACCAATAAAGCTGTTCACTTTTGAGAAGGCCGAGAGGCAGTTTCTCATGCGGAAAAGGCATGGTAAAGATCTCACAAAATCTGTGATGCTATGGCATGCATCACAGACCTCACACGTCATGCAAAACTTGCATCACAAATCTGGCAGCTTCCATATATCGATTCTCATAGTATAGCAGGTCTCTGGGGTTCTGTGTGATTCAGTCACGGATTTCCTGTCTGCTTCTATTACAGTTGTGAACGCAAAGTATGGTTGAAAAATATATAAGTGCCCGGGGATGAAGAAATGCTCGCGATGTTTTCGCGGTTCTGACCCTATGCCGCTCCAGCGCCTGTGGAGGCTTGTTTCCCCAGTGATAATGGACAATGGCAATGTCGGTGCGGTTGTTTTAGCATCACAAATCTGGCATTCTTCCAGACCCAGACATTTTTGCAATCCATACATCGAACAGATGCGCAGAATGGCGTTCGAGCGGGATGTATCCTGTGCAAAAGTATAGTACTCGTAGTAATCGCAGTCATGCATTACAAATCTTCAGCCCAAGGTAAAACAGCATTTACAAATTCCATTTGTCATGCTGAGCTAATTTGTCATGCGATTGATATATCATCGAGACCCACGGAGCTTTACCCGCTAGACCAGGATTCTCCCATGCGAGCACCTTCTTCGTTCCTCCAGGCTTTTCTCGGCGTCCTTGGTCGGACGCTCCTGTTCTTGGTTGAAGTTGGACCCCGTGTGGCGGTAGCAGCTTCTCCTTTGCCCTGCCTTAGTAGCTCGAGCCTCGTTGCACTTCGTAAACTCTGCTCTTCGTAAAGTGAAGTCGTCTGGTGTTTTGTTGTCTTACCTTAGTACGGTAACCCCTTCCCCGCCTGTGTAAAAAACATTAACTTCCCATGTCCCCTTGCTTTTCTCGACTAAACAGTTATACTGTTATTTTTCTTCTAATGCTTACTTCCGCTGCTTTTTATTTATCAGTTTTAGTAGGGCATGATGCCAAAAGGGACGGACTGCCCTTAGAACTCCCATGTCATGCGATTGATACTAGTACGATACTTTTGCAGTTCATAGGATGCTGACCAGCAAAGAGGGGGCTCATCTGCGAGGCAAGAAGTAGATCTGGAAGACGACGAGGACGACGACGATGAGGAATTCAGTACGATATCCGATATAATTGCGACGTCGCAAGATCATGATCAGCAGTTGTTGTATGACAATCAAGATCTTTCTTCACCAAATGGTCGTATGCCGTCGTCCTCTCAGGAGCCTCTTCGAACAAAGCACAGGCACAACTACGACGAGGATGAGGACGATTTCGATTTCGACATGCATGAAAATTACGGTGCAACTACATCAAGACACAACTATCGCAACAGAAACAACGGCACTTACAACAACGCCCGATCATCAAGCAGCAGAAATCCCAAATCCCTAGCCGCCACGGCGAAAAACAAGGCGAAGAAGCGATTTCGCGAGTTCAGTCAGGCGTTCATGCAGCCCGACTGGCTTCTCCCCGCCCCCGAGGTGATACCCGCGGATTTACTCGGGAACAGCAGTGGCACAACTGGATCGTCCTCGAAGAACGCCTCCCCCGGGGGCTGGTTCTGCTGCGTCCGCCCGGAGGGCGACCGAGTGATGATCTTCAGCGACGGGGGGCACACGCAAATTCGGCGCAGAAACGGTACGGTGTTGCAGCAGTGGTTCCGCGACACCCGGTTTCCGAAAGGGCAGACGATTTTAGACGGCATTCTGGACTTGACCGCGGCGAATTTGGGTGGCGGTGACGCTGTTCTGAACAAAGATGGATCTACTTCCTCTAGTGCACCAATCGCAACTAGCAGCGGCATCATTTACGTTGTGGACGTGCTAGTGTGGGCCGACGTCACTTTCTACGATGCGGAATTTGAGTTCCGGCACTTCTGGCTGCGATCCCGGCTCGAGGAACAGGATTGGGAGACCGAGATGCCAGTAGTGCCGATATTATTGAACAACGGAGCTCTCGCTTCTGGCGGGTACCAGCAAGGAAATTTTGGTGGTGGAAATCAGCTCAAGAACTACCAGCAGTCGAGAAACAAACGGCGAAACAACAGGCGGCAGCAAAGAAAAAAGGACCAGCAGCAGCAGTTTCATCCAGGTGGAACAACCGCGCAAGATGGCAGCAACGATTCGTGGTGCGGTCCCAGTCCTCTAAACACGGGTGTTGTAGCTGCTGGTGGAGGCATGGAGGTCGACGAGCAAGCTGGTGCTAGACCTGCCGCAACAGCAGCAAACGGATCCTATGCGAATGGACATTTGCCGGGTAATGGGAATGGAATGACCACCATGATAGGCCCTTGTGCGAAGCCGGCTGACGACCCGACTGTTGCAGGAAGTGGTACATCAAATGGGGCAACTTCCATGATGGCCAACACCACCTCCTCCGCGGAATCGAAGCGCGCTAAGTATTTCCAAGCCCTGGCCACCGGCGCAATACATAACAGGCAGAAAGACGTGAAAAACCTCCAAATGACCGTTGACATGACACATCAAGCACAAGCTGCCCGTGGTCCAGATGAGCGATGTCATTCTAGCGTTACTATGAATGACGAAAACGACCTCTCCCTCTCCACAACCGCCACAAATCCACCTCGAGGCACGAACCCGCTGTACCCACTTGCCACCTTCAGCCTGCGTTTGATCCACCAGCAGCAACTCTTTTCCCTCGACGACCTTCAAGCCCTCTACCGTTCCGCGCCTCCCTACGTGCACGACGGACTGCAGTTTTCGCACTCCCTCGGCCGGTACACTCCGGGATTGACGCCGTTGGTGTTGACCTGGAAGGATTGGCACTGCAGCCGCTTTGCCGTGGACGACCGGGAAGAACAGGAGTATTGTGTGTTGGAATTACGGGAAGACGGATTTTTGCGGACCTCGGACGGTTTGATAGTCGCCCAGCTGCCGGTGGACAAGGTCGGGGTTTCAGATGATGTGGACGGTGCTGGAGCTCCTGCATGTCCAAGTCCAATAGCGAGCCAAGACGCAACAAGTTGTGCGGCAACAGCAGATGTACGACGAGTACAAATGCGTGTTGGCGAACTCGACCCTAGTTTCGCTGCTTCGGGAGGAGGTGAAGACGACCACGATACTGCGGAGGACCATATGGAAACGAGCGTGGAGCCCGAGAATGTTGAAGAAGATCCTGCCTTCTCCCACGACGAGGTCAACCAACTACACGTGACGAGGAACAGGAAGCAGAACAAACACTTCTACCGCATCCGGGGCATGCTGAAGCCGGTTTTCCAAGTCGGGTCCTTCTTGAAAATATCCATCAGTGCCGTCGACCGAGAGAACAGGCGGGTAACGGTGATGGATTTTTCATCTTCGACAAGCCAGCAGGGGGGCGCGAAGAAAGAGGAGCATCAACTTCCGCAGGAAGGAGAAAAACAGCAACAGCACAGTACTGTGACGCCTACTTGCAGCTCTTCTGGCATTACAAACAGTATGATCGCCAACGCTCGTGGTGCGGTGGTGCGGAAAGCCAAGATTCGGACGTATGCGGATTCCTGGTGCAGGATTCAGTTTCAGCACATGCTCCGGTCCCGACCCAAAGACCACCTGTTTGAATTCCTGTGTCAGCAGATCGCGGCTGGCTGTGGGGCGACCATGGCGTGAGCTTCTCTAAGACAGTAGTTAGACAAGTAAAGGACAAATAAGCGACCGCACGGCGACATTCTTGAATCATTCATTTTTATCTCGGACCATCAAAAATGATTTGCTCCTGTATGGAAAAGGTGCTGTCGGTGTACAGCTGGACGGAGTGACGGAATATTCATTGTTCATATGACCATCACGACCTGGAAGTGGAAACATGATCCAGCAAGAAAATTGACAAAGGGAGCTGCGATCCCGTGATGTATCAAGCACGTTGCTCCTCTACCACGCAATGAATACAATAGGATCATCAACTACAGGTCAACCCGGTATAGCAGGAGCAAGCTCATCAGCTCTTGTAGTAGACTCGGCGGGATGCTGCAAAAAAAAGAAAATATCATTGGAAGATGATTCTCCTGGCACGTGGTCGCAAAATTTGCAATCGCATTTTGGTCTGAAGCAAGAAGTTGAAATTTTAACAAATTGTGATCCATCAACAAGATCCAAATCGTCGCAAAATGGTTCTCAATGGTCGACGAGACGTCCTTATCGGGACCACTGATACGAAAGCCAGTGCTACTTGCTCTTGATGTCTGTCATCACACTGTAAACACATGGTTACTAGCTCTCCTTTCATTCACAATATCAGCGCACAGTGGCACTATTGATGTTATCTCGGCAATTATTATGGTGCTGGATTATGTGTCTGTCATTTTTTCTGTATATTCTACCACGAAATCAAAAAGTAAAAACGAAACGAAATCAGCTTAATTTCACGCAACATTCGCAGTGTCAGTGAAAATTAATCCTTCACTACTAAATCACCGCAAACTGCAAATCTACACTGTACCTATACTTAGCATCGAAAACAAGGGAAAGATGCCTCTCTATTCGAAGAATGGTAAGCGCATGGGCGCGGCCAGAACGGCGAAATTTTACCCCGACGGAGTAACGCCGAAGACCCAGTGCCCGCTCTTGAGCGAGGCGCGCCTCTCTCCCTGCCACCCCATGAACGATTCGCCCAACATTGACTACTTCGAGGGACGGCCCAAGCAGCCGGAGCCGCAGATTCTCGTGGCTGATGACCTGGGTTTGCTGAAGACCATCAGCACCACGGAGATCAAGAAAAAGGAGATTCAGCAGGTGTTTGGCGAAACGCGCAAGGGGAACAAAAATCAGGGAATTTCGGTTCTCGAGTGGCTGCCGGGGCACAAAGGGGTGGTGGTTGGGAGGACAAGTGGCGTGGTGGAGGTCTTCAAGTACCTCCCACCGGTGGTCGTCGCGAAAAAGAAATCGTACCGGCAGGTAGTGAAAAGTAGTATTGATGGTAGATCTTCTGTGGCATCCTCGAAGACGAAGCAAGGAGCGCCATCTTCATCGAGTAAAAACGCGTCGAGTTCTACTTCAAAGAGACCTGCAAAAGCCGATGTAGTGGAGATGGCCAGTGACGATGAGGACGACAGTGAGGACGAAGAAGGCGAAACAACTCTGAAGAATGACAAGTTCTCAGAGGACGAGGAGCAGAGTGACGAAAAAAAACCGGCGAAAAACAGCGAAGATAGCACGAATAAACCGAAAGAAGAGGAGCCGCAGGGGAAATTCGTCACAACGCCTGTCTTCAGTTTCGACTTAAAGCTCGCGCTGCACCCAAAGGACCCGACGAAGAATGAGAAACTGATCTTCGCAACTGGGTGCTGTTTCGAGAAGAAAGAGCAGATGAGCAAGCAGGAAGGAGCTACCACTAGCACAACAGTACAGCTACGAGAAGAAGAACAAGACCATGCTGAACCGACGAAGCTTCTCGTTTTGTCCTCTCTGGGTAACGTGTGGATGCTGGACCTCGACATGGGTACTCTTCTGGCCGCCGCGGTGGAGGAAGATCAAGATGGTGACGACGCTACTACGAGCAAGAAGAAATACAATTACAAAAAAGCCGAATCCCCCTCCTCGAAGAAATTGTCCACCGGCGCGTCCGGTGCAACACCAGCATCAGAAGAACTACTGCACTTGAAACCCACCTTCACCTTACCCGGGACCTTTATTCAGCCGCTGGACAAGAAGTGGGCGACCTCGATCAAGCCGCGGCCGTGCGTGAAGGCCGCGTCCTTCCGGGAAGACGTAGAGCAGTTGGCGTACTGCGGGGTAGATAACGATGTCCGGGTGTTCGACGTGCGGGAGCGGAAATTGGTGTGGAAGGCGAAAAACCTGCCGAACGATAAATTGGATCTCCAGGTCCCAATCCGCTACTCGAGGATACACTGGGCGACTGAGGTATAAAATCAGGAATGCTTTCGCTTTTTGTACAGAAAAAAAAAAAGAATTATGCACGATGCATGACAATGCAGGAGCAGGAAGATCAAGATGACCAATAGTACCATTTGCAATCCTCGAGCACGTCAAGAACGTTGTATTTGCAGATTCCCAGCAACACTGATAGCTTGTGACTTCACAAAAAGAAAAAATCCTATATGCCCAGGCCCTCGACTGCGACACCGCGTTGGTGTGCTGCACGATGGACGGCAAAATCCGGGTTTTCGACATGAAAGCGAAGCAACTGCGCGCCCTGTTTGACCTCCCCGTCGTGTACAAGCGGGAACGATCCATCGGGCACGCGGGCGCCGCGGGGAAGGAGGAGAGACCGATTACCGCGTCGGTGTTGACCGACAACGGAATTCTGGCTGTGGGCGACACGGTCGGGAATCTCGATATTTTTGACTTGACCAAAACGAAACCGTATTTGACGGGAACGCCGGACTCCTTGCTTTTTCAGAACAAAATGGTCAAGGACATCCCCAAAATCGCCTCCATCGCCCATCACGAGTACGTCTGGAAGGGGCAGATCATCAAGTACCTCGGTGCGTGTGCCCCCGAGGGATCCGCGATTCGATCGCTGTGCTTCATCCCGCAGACAAAGCAACTCGCGAGCGTCGGGCTGGGCCGGTTCGCGACCGTCCACAAGGCTTTGGAGTCGGATAAACGACGGGAACAGGATAAAAAGACGTACATGAAACAAAAACTTACCGCAGTCGTGGCGTTACCCCCGGTGGATCTGAGCAAGGTGAAAGTGGAAGGGGAAGGAGAAGCGGAGACGCAGAAAACGGATAATTCGAAAGCAAGAACTACACCCGCGTCGTCTTCAAAAAACACGGCGGCAACTACCACAGCCGATGCAGATGAACCTGGTTCAGACGGCGCGGAGGAGGAAGAGGAAGAAGGCCTGTTGAGCGATGACGATATTGTGTCTGAACTCAGCTACGGCAGCTACGTACAGGAGTTTGACGACGATGACGAAAGTTCAGAGGAGGTTGCCCCTCCGCCGAAGAAGAGGAGAAATAGGGGGAGAAAGTGAATTAGTATGAAATCAGGATGATACATAGGTCGGTTTCCAAGCCCCTGTTGAGCATGCAGTAGGAACTTGTAAAGCTTGTTTGGGAACGAGATATCATCTTTCTACACTAGTACATGCTACATGACATTGACACGCATCGCCATAGAATTGCGCACAGCCACTTTTTCATATATTTAGAATAGAGATCTCTAGCAGAACGTCACACATTGAAAGCGAATTTTAGTTGTTCCATATTGATATTGCTGGACAGGCCCTGGCGCTGGCGCTCATGGTACTTCTCGTCCAAATTATCCCCCTCTTTGGTCTTTCGTGTATTGCGATTGCAGTTGCACTCGTTTTCGTTCAATGAAAATTGTCGTCTTTCTGTATGCAAAAGGGTGTTGCGCCGTATGGACACCGATGTTCGTTACCGTCGCCGATGGTGGTCAAAAATCATGTCGTGATGTTGACGCGCCTCGTAATATTCGTTCACTCCGGCAGTTCCGTGTTTCGTGCTCTTCTTGTCATCTTTCTTGTCGTTGTTCCTGCCATCTTCAAAACAAAAGGCGACTGCGACGGGATCCTGGAAATACGTACTTAAACATGGGTCAAGTTTGATATGAGTTTGAGTAAGCATCGTCCTCCTTTGCGTGCCAGTTCCCGCCTGAGCTGAAACTCCGACTCTCCCGTCGAACTCTTGTCTCGCATTCTGAAACATTTAAGTAGATAGACTTGTTGAAGTTGACTTTCCATTGTATATACGCAAACGCAATTCCAATTCTTCTTTTAGTGTCAGTGTCTTGTCGTCTCCAAATCGCTAGATAATCGTACTAAAGGTAGAACTACAACAGCTGCCGTAGGGGTCGTGAATCTAGTAGTGCTCCCGAAAAAAAAAATGGTCAAGAAGATCGCCGGCGCTGTTCTTGCGAACGCCGTTTGTGCGGGGGCGGTACTCGCATCCGCGACACCGACCGCCACGCATTCCTGGACTGGAAGTGAAACGTCGGGGTTTCTGCAGCAGACTTACGCTAAGAAAAAGAAACAAGACGTCGATGGCACACCGAAAGCCTGCGACTACACCATCAAAGTGGACAAATTTTGCCCGTGGAGTCCGGAAACCGATAATTTCTCAATCACCTGCGAGAAGTTCAAAGAGGACGATTGCACTGAAGGCGCTATTAAAAAGCGGGACAACGAGAAGAATGAGGGGTCAGAGAAGTACATGGAAAACGTCAAAACGAATGCCCGCTGTGCCTCTTGCGAGAATGTCTGCTAGGTGCAGTAAGGGAATGGCGCGCGGCGAGGACGACTTCCTACACCTTCTCTCATCAATCGGGATTTTTCTTTTTTCGGAGAACGCACATACTTGCATTTGCTTGGTGACCTTCGGATACGCATTTTTATCCACAACTCTGCAGCTTTCTCCATTAAGCACGTCTCGGAACAAGAAGTACTCTTTTGCTTTTCTTTGAATGTTAGTTTTCGTAACGACAACAGGAACAGCCATGTCGACTTCTCAAGATCGTGCGGTGTCTTCACAGTCAGAGGGACGCAGTGCCTCACGATTTTGGGATTAAAAGTCAAAAATTCATGTTTAATTTTTTTTCTTTTTATTTTTTGCACATATTTGGTTTCGGAGTCGTGCCCTTTTTCTTCCTAAGTAGTCTGTTATCTTTTCCCCTTTAGATACTTCCTTTATATATATGTTTTCCACAGTCGTTGTACATCGTGGTTGTGCTTCCAGGTTCCTTCCACGTGTAGTAAGTTCCCATCCCGTTTCATATGGTATCGTTTTTGTAGTTTATTGTTATTGCTCCTAATGCTATAAGTACAAGTAGCTAATCCCTAACCCCCCCCCAGCACATCAACGCCCACGATCAAAGGAGTAGGTACCAGAATGCCCATGAATATTTGCAAAAACAGCAGTAGCTGCTCCCCGGTCTTTGCCCAGGAATAGAAATTCCATTGCATATCCTGCTCCCGATGAAATGCATCATAGTCGTCTGTTCCTGTAGTTGCACCCCATAGAAGCACGTCCCCGGCGGCATAGCCTGTCGCGTCACAGGAAACACGACATCCTCGACCCCCACATGACCCTTTTCCCCCGAAGCAACTTTCATCCCCCTCGAATTCCGTTCCACCTGGCCGGTACGTCGTGTGCATGGTAGTGTTCTTTCACTTCCGTGTCATTATCGTGTTTAGCCAAGCACGGCCGTGTTCCCTTGTCTGCCGATAGTTCGGAGGAGGTCGCTTCTCCGCTGGAGAAGAAAAAAAATAAGGGGAGAAAGTAAAGTTGCATGTGTAGAAGCATCTGTCTATGCTCGCCGAGGTTCATCATGCAAGAAAATCCACGCGCAACTGCAAAATCTTCGTAACGTCCTCACATCATGACGTGTTGAATTTATTTCTGCTCGCTCTGGATCCTGTATGTAAGTATGATGTATTTCTGCGCGCTTGCTTTTTATTACTAACACCGTATAAGAAAACAAGCACAAGTGCCGTCGAAAGCGAAACTGCAACACCGTACAGGCTGAGGCTAGGTCACATACGCATTCCCACTTGCAAATATGTGTGGGTCTGGAAACTTGTGATGCTAAAATGTGCATGATGGAAACACTCCCGAATGCAGTCCGGCATGACAACTTCCCAAAACGCTTTCTCATAGGCAATCCGCATAAGAAACTGCGTTTTTGCATGACAAAAGAGGCTGCGACTTTTGTTGGTTATGCAATACAGATTTTCTAGGTATGGAAAGCTAGCATTACAAGTTCCAACCTTCCAGACCCAGACACTTTTACAATCCATACTGCGGGGTCGATAACGATGTCCGGGTCTTCGACGTACGGGAGCGGAAATTGGTGTGGAAAGCGAAAAACCTGCCGAATGACAAATTGGATCTCCAGGTCCCAATCCGCTACTCGAGGATACACTGGGCGACTGAGGTATAAAATCAGGAATGCTTTTGCTTTTTGTAGTAGATAGTTTAAAGAATTATGCACGATGCATGACAATGCAGGAAGATGACCAATCTGTTGTAGTACCATTTGCAATGCTCGAGCACGTTAAGAACGTTGTTATTTATTTCGAATTTCCAGCAAAAGATAAAGAACTCATACTCGACTTCTCAAGAAATCCTGTATCCCCAGGCCCTCGACTGCGACACCGCGTTGGTGTGCTGCACCATGGACGGCAAAATCCGGATTTTCGACATGAAAGCGAAGCAACCGCGGGCCCTGTTTGACCTCCCCGTCGTGTACAAGCGCGAACGATCCATCGGGCACGCGGGCGCCGCGGGGAAGTATCAACTGTAAAAATGTCTGGGTCTGGAAGATTCTGACACTTGTCACGCACGTTTTGCATGAGCCATAATGTCTGTGATGCATACCCTAGCAATACAGATTTCTTGAGGGCTTCTTGATGCCTATCCCGCATGACAAATGCCTCCTCAGCGTAGGAAAAATTGCATTCCCTACTTTGGTACTCATGCAATACAGATTTTTTTGGAATCCAAATGCAGCATCAAAAGTTGCATTCTTCCAAACCCAGACATTTTTACATTTGATAGGAAGGAAGAGAGACCCATTACCGCGTCGGTGTTGACCGACAACGGTATTCTGGCTGTTGGCGTATGAATTGCAAAAGTATCGTACTCGTATAAATGCATTACAAATTTCCTCAGCATGAGAAATAAAATTTGTAATGCGGATTTGCCTCAAGAAGAAGATTTGTAATGCAAGACTTGCATTTATACGAATACGATACTTTTGCAATGCATATGGCGACACGGTCGGGAACCTCGATATTTTCGACTTGACCAAAACGAAACCCTATTTGACGGGAACGCCGGACTCCTTGCTTTTTCAGAACAAGATGGTCAAGGACATCCCGAAAATCGCCTCCATCGCCCACCTATGGAAACCAAAAATGTCTGGGTCTGGAAGATTGCAACTTGTAATGCTGTCTTTGGATTCCAAAAAAATCTGTATTGCATGACCAGCGACAGGACTCCAGTTTGTGTTACGCGGAGAGGGCATTTCTCATGCGGAATAGCCATTAGGAAGCCCTCTACAAAAACAAATCTGTGTTGCTAGATCATGCATTAGAGCAGGCATCAATCATCATACAAAATATGCATGACAAGTCTGCATCCTTCCAGACCCAGACGTTTTTGCATTTGATACCATCACGAGTACGTTTGGAAGGGGCAAATCATCAAGTACCTCGGTGCGTGTGCCCCCGAGGGCTCCGCGATTCGATCGCTGTGCTTTATCCCGCAGACAAAACAACTCGCGAGCGTCGGGCTGGGCCGGTTCGCGACCGTCCACAAGGCTTTGGAGTCGGATAAACGACGGGAACAGGATAAAAAGACGTACATGAAACAAAAACTAACCGCAGTCGTGGCGTTACCTCCGGTATGGAGAGAAAAAAGTTTGTCACAGTCACTAACTTGCTCTTGCAGGCTTTGCATTACAAATTTTCTCAGCATCACAAACTTTCCATGTATTGCAGAAACACTAGGGAAATCCCTAATGAAGTTTGGCTGTGATGCATTTTTACGCATGACAAACAATTTTGCGTTGCAAGAATGCGCATGAGTGATCGTGACGAACTTTTTTTCTTTGATATCCGGTGGATCTGAGCAAGGTGAAAGTGGAGGGGGAGGAAGCGGAGACGCAGAAAACGGATTATCCTGAGTAAAAATGTCCCCACACCAGAGTCAAGATGGGGATTTTGCAACACAAACCTAGAACTTTTGGGGGTCACGCATCACAAGTTGCAGTCCGTAGTGTAGTGCATGTTCGCAAGGCCAGCTGCATCAGAAATCCATCTGCTCATCCTGTTTACAGCATTACAAATTCCAAAACACAACTAAAAATGACTCTCCTGGCGATGCGCATTACAAATGTTCCTGTCATTGCAAATCTGCATGACAACTCTGGTGCGGGTACGTTTTTACTCAGGATACGGACAATTCGAAAGCAAGAAGTACACCCGCGTCATCTTCAAAAAACACGACGGCAACTACTGTAGCCGATGCAGATGAACTTGCTTCAGACGCGGAGGAGGAAGAGGAGGAGGAAGGGATGTTGAGCGATGACGATATTGTGTCTGAACTCAGCTACGGCAGCTACGTGCAGGAGTTTGACGACGATGACGAAAGCTCGGAGGAGGTCGCACCTCCGCCAAAGAAGAAGAGAAATAAAGGGAGAAAGTGAATTAGTATTGCATCAAGATGACAGCTCGACGGTTGCCAAGCCCCTGAGCATGCAGTAGCAGTTGTAGAACATTGAAGATAAGATCTTTATCTTTCTTGAAAGCTTCTCTTTCTGCACGTGACATTCTTTGTGCACATTGACGTTTTTCTGTTTGTTCTCTTTCGCATTTTGTCGTCATCTAATGTTGAAACTGAAAATATCATGATTATCATTTTATTTTTATTATGCTGCATATTCACTACCCTGCCTCTGTAAGTGCATCGCAGGCCGTGTTCCTGATCGTGCTCGTGCAAGTATAGATTATGGTCTTCGTCGTTCGCTTTTAGCCCAACTGGCAAACTCGTTCACTGGAAGTGGTCAATGACGATGCTCTTCTTGCTGCATGATGAAAGGCAGTGTGCATAGGATAGCTTTGCACCCGCGAACAACGTGATCCGTTTCTATTATTGACGCCCATGGGCAATAATATCGTGCGTGCCATCATCTTCGTCCAAGTTGACAGTACAACTGCTTCGTTCTCATCTTTGTCGTGGTTCTTACTGTATTAAGGAAGAAGACGGCGACAATGATTGCGGCTCCGGCTCGATCCGGAATATATAGATTTAATAAGCACGTAGTTGGCCAGCATGGATTAGCAAAATTAATAAAAAAATCTGACAACAGCAAGTTGAAGAGCAGCGCATATGCTGAGCTTGAGTTTTTAAGATATAACTTCGTCCTCGTTCTTTATTGCGTCACAGTTCCCGCTATTTCAACGACTCCGAGTCCCGCAGATTCTAACTCCTCGCTCAGTCCTCAAATACAGTCTGTCAGGTGAAACTATACGCAAAACCAGAAGTAGTTGTAACACTAGTACGGTCTGCTCGTTTTCAGGCCGCGACCTTCACTCGACAAATTGGTGCCGCAAGGTAAAGAATAAAAAAAGCCGTAGTTCTACTAATTGCTCTGAGTCTAGCGCTCCCAATAGCAGAAAATGGTCAAGAAAACTACCAGCGCTGCTCTTGCAACCACCCTCGGGGGGGGGGGGGGTGCTCGCCGCTGCGACGTCGCGCACGCATTCGTGGACCGGAAGTGAGTATGGCCCGCCCAGGTGTCACATTGTCAGGCGTTACCGTCAGAGTCAGAGTTTATGACGTTGCAATCACCGGAGCACAGAAAGAGATGTTGAGAAGCATTATTATTACGCTTAACGGCTTTTTTTTTTGCAAAACTAGCACTACACCAATCCCGTACTAAGCGGATTACCAAATACGTCGAGCAACCCAACGGCGTCCCGGCTGTATAAAAGAAATTCAGTGTTTTGCAAAGGTTGAGGCTCTTTGAAGTATTGGAATAGGCGAGAGTGTAACGCCTGAGCGGGCCATAATGAAACGTCGGGCTTTCTGGAGGTGAATGGCAAGGCTGACGCTGCGAGCGTCTGTCAATATATGTCCCCCCTGATGGAGGGTGGGATATTTGCAACGGATGTAGGCCAACCCGGTAAGTAGTACCTCTACTAGAATTTAGTACGCGTGCTCAAGAATTAGCTCATGAATAGCTCCTCCAGCTGCACACCTAAAGTTCTGGAACGCCTGGATGGAGGGGCGCAGGTTCATCGATAGCCGCCTCTACTAGTGCAATAAGCGTGGTCAACTTTTAGCTCATGAAAGCTCCAGCTGTACTCTTGACGTTCTGGAACGCCACCACCCTCCGCCCGCAGCCGAGCCGAGCCGTCAAGCTCTCCACTTTTAAAGTTGCGACACTCCTAAAGTTCCGAGCACTCTTAAAGCCCCGCCCGCAGCCGAGCACTCCTAAATTTCCGACACGCCAAAGTGCCCCATGTTATGCTTATGCTATGCTAAATGTAAAATTCTGATCATCTGACTCAGGGCGGTACATAACTAAGTAGTCAAAGGTTTGTTTCTGTTTGTACTCACCTTATATTCCAGGCGCCCCCGAAACGGCAAAAAACAGCAAAAAACTGATCGGTTTATTGCATTCAGAAACCCCAGCGAGGGAGTGTGGGTGGCGCGCCAGAGCGGTGCGCCCGCATTGCGTCGGGCTTGCGGGCGAAGCCGCTGCGGGTAGTCGGAGTCGAGAATCTCGACCCGGGCCCAAAGTTGTTGAGAATCTCGACTCCGATGGCCCCCAAACCGCATAAGGAATTTAACTTCTTTGCCCACGGGCTGGAATCTGAGAGAAGAGTCGCCGCTTTTGCGAACCCGGGAAGAGATTGCCGCTTCAAGAAAGTTGAAGACTTGTCGTGCGAAGTAGGGGCCGGCAGGTGAAGGCCAATCGATCCCGAGCAACAGCGGCACTCCTAGGCTAAGACGGAGGCCGCTGACCCTTTTTTCCTCGCAGCCCGCGGGCCGTTTTTTTGTTTCATTATGTCCTCCCATACTAGCCATACATTTACATTATAGGAGGTTTGCTACTTCATATTACATACAGGGCCGATGCGCGAAACGGGAAACATGTGGCCGTGGCCCGTGGGTGGAGGTCTTCAGAAGACAACAACCTGCATCAAGTTCAAGAAGCAGAAGGACGAAAAGAAGTGCCCTTCAAACGAAGATAACAAGTTGACTACATATTCTTCTTTTGGTCATACATCTGCCCTTTTCAAAGCCGAAGAGTCGTCGAGCAGTGCCAATTACGCGGCCATCACTCTGATGCTTCAAGAGGATGTCGATTTCTTGGCCAGATGTCTGATGTGCCCGGATCTGTGCAAGGATAGCGCTTGAGTCTCGTACTTTCGTTCTTTTTTTTTTCGGTTTATTCTGGTTGACGTTGATCAACAACAAGTACGTTTATATTCGAAAAAGTACCAAAACCTTTATCACAAAAGTAGAAGTACTTCAAAAAAGTTATACGTAGTACAAAACACAAAACCAAAAGTTAAAGTAACAATATCAGCCAGCTTTGAAGATTTTCAGTACTGTAGCCAAATTTCAGGCAACGTCGCGAATATGTTGTCTTCGCCCACAGTAGCGCAGAATAACTCTGTGTGGCTTTCCGTTCTCATGATTATGGTCTTTCACTTTGCTTGAATATGAATTTGTTTTTGTAGGAGCGTCTAGGTTTTTTTTCATCGTCACATCATAAAGTGCAAAGTCAAAGTTTCCCCACCGATCGAAAAGCAGATTTGAAAAGCTATAAACCAACGGAAAGTAGACACCTTCCAAACAGATGTTGGAGGGAGCACGCTGCGTGTTTCGACTCTGTTTTAACTCAGTCTTGCTTGACTCGAAGATTTAAGAAAACCCCCTTCCCGATTGCATGCATGTCTACAACATGATAGGCGGACGCGAAGCCTTGACCTTCTTCGGCATAAAATCCAAAAAAAAAAAATATAAAAGCAATGCTGTAGAAGGTAGAGTTTCAGTATTCGTTTAAAGAACGCATTGGCGTATGCGTAGCAAACTCTTATAATTTTTCATCTTTTCATCCCCTTGCCTTTAGCAATACTTACTTTAATGTTTTCCACAGTCGTTGTACATCGTGGTTGTGCTTCCAGGTTCCTTCCACGTGTATTAAGCCCCATCCCGTTTCATAGGATATTGTTTTTACTTATTTATTGTTATTGCTCCTAATGCTATAAGTACAAGTAGCTAATCCCTAACCCCCCAGCACCGCAACGCCAACGATCGAAGGAGTACCAGAATGCCCATCAATATTTGGAAAAAGAACAGTACCTGCCCCCCGGCCTTTGGCCAGGAAGAGGAATTCCATTGCATATCCTGCTCCCGATGAAATCTGTAGCGTAGTCATCCGCTCCTGTGGTTGCACCCCATAGAAGCACGCCCCCGGCGGCATAGCCTGTCGCGTCACAGGAAACACGACATCCTCGACCCCCACATGACCCTTTTCCCCCGATGCAACTTTCATCCCCTTCGAATTCCGTTCCACCTGGCCGGTACGTCGTGTACATGGTAGTGTTCTTTCACTTCCGTGTCATTATCGTGTTTAGCCAAGCACGGCCGTGTTCCCTTGTCTGCCGATAGTTCGGAGGAGGTCGCTTCTCCGCTGGAGAAGAAAAAAAATAAGGGGAGAAAGTAAAGTTGCATGTGTACTAGAAGCATCTGTCTATGCTCGCCGAGGTTCATCATGCAAGAAAATCCACGTGTAAACTCTTCGTAACGTCCTCACATCCTGACGTGTTGAATTCATTTTTGCGCGCTCTGGATCCTGTATGTAAGTATGATGTATTTCTGCGCGCTTTCTTTTTACTACACCGTATAAGAAAACAAACACAAGTGGTGCCGTCCGTCGAAAGCGAAACTGCAACACCGGACAAGCTGAGGCTACATCCCGTACGCATTCTTCTTCGTCCCGTCGGACTGAGTTTTGGTCCTGTAAAAATATCTTCAAGAAACCGCTTCGTGAATCGTCCCTCCTCAAAGAAATCGTTCAACTTCGCACTTTTGTAGTACGTCCAGTTTACCTCGTACACCTTTTCCGTGTGTGATGCGTTTGATGAAACTCGTTCGGTACTACAGAACGACAGCAGTGGTCGGTCAACTTGTATTCATCTCGTTTACTGCAGCGGACCACGACGAATTGCTTCTTCAATTATATTCCTCCTGTCACTTTCCCTGTGAATTTTCAGGCTCAGGCACCATCTCGGTCGCATTTATGCTCACCTCGTACTGGCGATAATTAAAGTATTTCTTCAGCACGTCGGTTGTCCTTGTCTGTTTCGATTTCCTCGGTGTGCTTTTAGTACCATTATCCTACGACCTCTACCTCCGCTCGGTTTTGTTTTGGTTGGTCCCGAACCAACTTTGCTTCCTCACAAGTAGCTTCGGTTTGAAATCGAAGCTGAACATCTTCAATCTGTAGTACGTGTCAACTACCATCAAATTACTAGACGTTACAACATATACGACCACTATCTACATGTTTGCTTTTTACCAAGTTGGTAAGTACCACCCGCCCAAAATGGTTTTCTCCACGATCCGCACAGTGACCAATTTTACCCAATTTGTCCTGAAAGACCTCCCCGCGTCAGTCATGGTGGGCGCGGCGGCAACAGCACTGTACTTCGCGGAGGTACAGGCGGCGCTGAAAGTTGCGGGCGTGATGATCGGCGCGAACCCGCCGCTCGCGGCGTTATGCGCCTTCTTCGCGGTTGTGTTTTCCACCATTATCCTGTGCAAAAGTATCGTACTCGTAGTAATCGCAGTCATGCATTACAAATCTCCATGCCAAGGTAACACAGCATGACAAATTTCATTTGTCATGCTGACCGAATTTGTAATGCGATTTCTACTAGTACGATACTTTTGCAATGCATAACCATGGCGGTGCTGCAGTACAAGGGCGATTTCGACTTTTTCTACTTCGCCAGGTATCAACCGTAAAAATGTCTGGGTCTGGAAAAATGCAACTTGTCATGCTCAATCTGAAGCATGCAAAAATCTGTGTTGCATGATTACCAAAAGTCGTCCAGTTTTGATCAAGTCGGGAGGGAGTTTCTCATGCAGGATAGGCATGAGAGAGATCGCACAGAATCTGTCGTGCTAGGTCCTGCATTGCAGACCTCATGGGTCATGGAAAAGCTGCATGACAAATCTGACAATCTTCCAGACCCAGACACTTTTGCAATCCATACCAGGACGCGCGTCCGGAAGGACTACTACGACAGCATCGCGGAACTGGACTTTGACGGCTTTTACCAAACCATGCAATTGGACTACGAGAATTTGGTGAGATGGGTGTCAGAAAACGGAAACTACGTTTACACCGTATCCTATGTAGAAACGTCCCCACCCCATAGTTGTCATGCGGGTTTGCAATGACAGGAACATTTGTAATGCGAACCTACATGAGAGGAATTTCCCATCGTGTTTTGAAATTTGTAATGCCGTAAACAGGATAAGAAGGTGGGTTTGTGATGCGACTGTCCTTGCTAAGCTGCACTACACTACAAAGACAAACCTGTCATGCATGGCTCCGAAAACTCCTGGATTTGTGTTGCCGAGTTCCCAACTTGACTATGGGGTGGGGACGTTTTTACATAGGATACACTGTCGTGTCCGCAAACGTTTTGGATTTGTATTACTACCTTCTCGTCGATTTCGGGTTTATCCTGAGTAAAAACGTACCCACACCACAGTTGTAATGCAAATCTGCATGCTGAAAATGTTTCTCATGCGGAGCCCCATGAGAAGCATTTTCCAATCGTGTTTTGCAATTTGTCATGCTCCAATCAGCATGGTCAGATAGATCTGTGATGCTGCTGAGCTAGCTCAAACAGCACTACAATACGAATCCAAATTTGTCATGCAAAACAGCTAAAACTTGTGGATTTGTCTAGCCGATTCCCCATCTTGACTCTGGTGTGGGTACGTTTTTACTCAGGATAGGGTTGCCGGTTTTGTTAGGCGCCATGGCGCTCGGCTCCGTCCTCGGCGTGGTGGGTCTGTATGTACTCTTTGTCGGGCTGCGAAGGATGGTTTTTGGAAGAAATAAGGTTAATGTTCAACAGCACCCAAATTATGCACAGTTGATCGACGGCGCAATTTCTAGCAGTTCTGTTGGTGTTACTCTTCCGCAGATGACACAGATGAACAGATCCGGAAAGATTGCGAAGCCGAAGGAATCCGTGTCCATCCGCTCCCCGAATCTGTTAGCTCCTCCGAGTAGAAGATCTTCGAAAGAGAGTGTGACAAACATAAGTCCGCGTCCGGTTGACAGCAAAATGAATTCCGCACGACCGGTTTCCCCGACCGCAACCTCGAGCCGCGCGTCTCCGCCAGGCAGTCCCCGCCGGCGTGTGTCCCGCACTGAGGCGGAGTACGAGCAGGACCAGCTCCTTACGCCCTACGATGCGCAAGTGCTTTCGCCAACAGGGAATCAACCGAAGGACCGGTTTAAAAACCGGCTTTCCTCCTCGTCGCGGTCGCCGTCCCCCGTGGCTCGCGGCGGATCCAAATCCTCCGAACGGAGTTCCAAGGGGAAGGGCGGGCTGGGCCGGAGCAGATCCCCTGTACCGGGGGCGGTGGATCCCTCGTCAAAATCGGAGAATGATGAGTTGAATTCGAGCAGAAATCTATTGGAACAGTTGCAGCGAAAATCCGTGACCAAGACGGATTTGGAGTTCAAGGAACAGTCCACCGCACTGCAGCAAATTGGGGAGTACTTGGACCGACTGACGATGAGTGCCTTCAACTCCGGCCCCTTTGGAGGGATATCAAATGCAAAAATGTCTGGGTCTGGAAGATCGCAACTTGTCATGCTAAATCTGATTCATGCAAAAACTCTGTGTTGCACGATTACTACCAACAGCCGTCCTTTTTTACCAAGTTGAGAGAAAATTTTTCATGCAGAATAGGTATGATAGATTTTTCACAGAATTTGTCATGCTTGGCACTGCATTCCAGACCTCATGGGTTATGTAACACCTGCATGACAAACCTTCCATTCATCTAGACCCAGACATATTTGCAATCCATAAGGGAACAAGAAGCACAAGCAGCTGGTGAACCCGTACTACGTGCACCCGGCTTCGTATGGATGTGTCAGAGTTGAAATCGACAAAGTTGAAATGATTTGTCATGCATAAAATGCGACACAGAGACTGACTCTATTGCTGAAGGCGCAAGGGAGGCAGATTCTAGTGCTGGTAAGGGTCAAGCATTGGGCTGCTGACTAGCATGACAGGGAGCAGCCATCTTGCCCTAAACAGCATGACAGACTTGCTTCAGAGGCCAGGAAAACTTGTCATGCGCCGATTGATAACTGTGGGTCCAACTGGTATAGATTTCATGCATCGCAAATTATTTCAACTTTGTTAATTTCAATCCTGACAGTTCCATACTTCGGATTTGCCCGGGCAGAAATCGAAAAAGTACGACTTTGTGCAGCCGAAGTCGATTCAAATGGCGGAGCAGATCCACCAAGAGGCGGCTGAGAAGAAAGCGATGGAACTAGAATTATACCAGCAGGAGCAACAAGATCTCTTGATGAACACAAACAACAGAAGTACTTCTCTCCGAGGGTCCTCTTCGTCCTCTGCTTCGAAAATGGACAAAAAACGTCGACCCTTCTACCTCCGTGCGGGCTCCTCGCGGAACAAGCACGCCTTGTCCCACTCCGCCTTCGAATTGCCCGGCGTGTTGCAGAAAAAACGGAAACTCGGGACCGTGAGGAAGCCGCCCCCGCTTGATTTCGGCGAGCTGGATTACGAAAAGGCGAAACAAGCCGGCTTGCACCACTTGATCCCGGCGGAGAAACTTGATGTTTATCCCGCTGGGGTCGTTTATCAAATGCAAATATGTCTGGGTCTGGAAGGTTGCAACTTGTGATGCTGTTCTTGGATTCTAAAAAAAATCTGTATTGCATGACCAGCAAGAGGAGCCCAGTTTGTGCTACGCGGGCGGGAGGCCATTTCTCATGCGGAATATTGCATCAGAAAGCCCTCTGAAAATCTGTGAAGATGCTAGGCCACGCATTACAGGAATCATGGGTCATGCAAAATGTGCATGACAACCCTAGCATCTCTCCAGACCCAGACATATTTGCAATTGATATCGTCACCCCCGGAGCGATTTCCGCGAACGAGGAAGCGTCCGCGGCGTCCACACACGGAGGAAGGGATATCAACTGTAAAAATGTCTGGGTCTGGAAGATTCTAAACTTGTGATGCTGTCTCTGGATTCTGAAAAAAATTGTAATGCATGACCAGCAAGAGGACTCCAGTTTGTGCTACGCGGAGAGGTCATTTCTCATGCTGTAGAGGCATCACAAAGCGCTCTAAAAATATGTGATGCTACGGCATGCATCACAGACATCATGGGTCATGGAAAATATGCATGACAAATCTAGAAGTCTTCCAGACCCAGACATTTTTACATTTGATAAGGGATAACGAAGACGCAACTAACTCCCTCGAGATGAACACCAACAGCCTGGTGGACCTCGGTGAGACCACACTGACCGCTTCGAAGCAGGAGATCGGGCGGTCGATGGGCAGGCGTATGAAATGCAAAAGCATCGTACTCGTATAAATCGCATGACAAATCTCCTCAGCATGAGAAATATAATTTGTAATGCGGATTCAACTTGAGAAGGAAATTTGTAATGCATGAATGCGATTAATAGTACGACTACGATACTTTTGCACAGGATAAGGCGGACCAGAATCCTGTTCGGGAATCTGATCAACTCGCACAACATATCCCCCAGAAAAAGACCGACAGGTCATATTTGTAATGCAAAAATAAATAGACAAAAAAATCTGTATTGCATGCCCTAAACAGGATGCTATGGCCTCGCCCATGACAGATTTTCCTGTGTATTTATTTTTGCATTACAAATATGACCTGTCGGTCTTTTTCTGTGGGATACAACAAGAAGCGGCTTGTCGCAGGAGCCTCGGCTCCGCGGGACAGTGCCGCCGGACGTGCAGCCCCGCAGCCGAGTTCTTACATGGTGGCACAGAAACGGCGGGACCAAATGCGCGGCCGCGCGAGATCTCGGTCTCCCTTCTTTTCGACGAGGAATGAGGATGATTTGGAGAAAAATCATTTTGGTTCATCTCAACATCTCCAGTTGTACAACGACGAGTTATCGGGTACCACGATGACAAACGCCGACTTGCACCAGCACAACTATCAGCGGTCCCAGTCCGCCGGTACGCAGCCCTTTCAGCAACAGGAGGAGGAGAAGATGCAAACGCAGCTGCTCGCGATGCACTTCGAGTCCAAGTCGAAGCAGCAAGACGAGCGGATCTTGCACGCGCAGCAGTACGCGAGACAACTGGAGCTCAAGATGAAGCAGATGCAGAAGCGCGCCGAGCTCGCGGAAGAGAAGTTCCACATGCTTCGCTACGCCCAGCAGGAGGCGGGGGCGCCCAGCAAACTGCGGCTCGCGGGGGAGACCTTCGAAACGCAAATCCAAGCGGCTATGGCGATGGACGCGGCGCAGGCGGATCCGCAGCAGATGGCCCGGGTCGTGCACGACCTGGAGCAACAGCACAACCGGATGCTATCAAATGCAAAAATGTCCGGGTCTGGAAGAGTGCATGTTTGTCATGCTTGTCGGGCATGACTCTTAAATCTGTAATGCACGCTACCCAAGAGCCCAATTTTGCTGTCATGCAGAAACGCAGTTTGTCATGCAGAATAGGCAACATCTAGAAGCTCAAAAGCTTTGTCATGCTGAGCCAGCACTTGTGGCGTCTTCATGATACGCCACCCAGCATCACAAGTTTCCAGACCCAGACATATTGGCAATGCATAGATGCTGGGAAAGTGCAAGGTGGAACTCGCGAACAAGGAGGCGAAAATATCCTGAGTAAAAATATCCCCACCCCAGAGTTGTCATGCAAATCTGCATGCCAAAAAAGTTTCTCATGCGAAGCCCCATGAGAAGCTTTTTCTAGTCGCGTTTTGGGATTTGTGATGCTAGAAATAGCATGAAGTGCTAGATCTGTGATGCTGCTGAACTAGCTAAACAGGATCACACAAGGAAGACAAATTTGTCATGCGAAGCAACCAAAGTTGGCTGATTTGTCTAGCAGGTTTCCCATATTGACTCTGGTAATATGGGGATGTTTTTACTCAGGATAGAAAATGGACAAGATCCGCGCGTTCGCAAAGGACCGAATCGAGAAGCTGCAGCTGAAAGTCAAAGAAATGGAGCAGCAAAACTCGAAGCTGGTCGACGTTCCGGCGGAAAAATTTGACCAACGGATCAAGTTCTTGACGGACCGGGGCGTGGAGCTGGAAAAGCAAAAAGCAAAATTGACGAAGAAGAACGCGGACCTGGAGGTATAACTCCTATTGCTGAGCAGGGGCAGTTAAAATTTTGCAACAGGGAGGAAAATCGTCCACGCCGAAAATTTTTTTACAATTTTCAAACTTTCCAAATCTCTCGCGATTTGGGAAGTCGCCCAACGCCCAACGCCCAACGCCCAACGGCCATTTTGCAGCTCGCAATATTTTTGCAGCTCGCAATATTTTCAAGCCCGAAATATTTTCAAGCTCGAAATATTTCCAAGCCCGAAATATTTTCAAGCTCGGAATATTTTCCAGCTCGGAGTATTTTCAAGCTCGAAATATTTTCCAGCTCGAAACATTTTCCAGCTCGAAATATTTTCCAGCTCGAAATATTTTCCAGCTCGAAATATTTTCCAGCTCGAAATATTTCCCAGCTCGAAATATTTTCCAGCTCGAAATATTTTCCAGCTCGAAATATTTTCCAGCGGCCATTTTGCAGCTCGCAATATTTTTGCAGCTCGCAATATTTTCAAGCCCGAAAAATTTTCAAGCTCGAAATATTTTCAAGCCCGAAATATTTTTAAGCTCGGAATATTTTCCAGCTCGGAGTATTTTCAAGCTCGAAATATTTTCCAGCTCGAAACATTTCCCAGCTCGAAATATTTTCCAGCTCGAAATATTTTCCAGCTCGAGCAAATATTTTCCAGCTCGAACAAATATTCCCCAGCTCGAAACATTTTCCAGCTCGAGCAAATATTTTCCAGCTCGAACAAATATTCCCCAGCTCGAAACATTTTCCAGCTCGGAATATTTTCCGGCTCGAAATATTTTCCGGCTCGAAATATTTGCCGGCTCGAAATATTTTCCGGCTCGAAATCTTTTCCGGCTCGAAATATTTTCCGGCTCGAAATATTTCCCGGCTCGAAATATTTTCCGGCTCGAAATATTTTCCGGCTGGAAATATTTCCCAGCTCAAAAATATTTTGCAGCGCAAAATATTTTGCAGGGTCGCTCGGATCTGCGCGGTCGCGTGGCACTTCCTTACTGAAATCCCTAAGGAAAAAAAAACTTCAGCTGATCGCGCGTCCGAGGAGAGCAACGCGATCAGGCAGCCGAAGCCCGAAGGTGGCGATCGCATCCCTGCAAGTTGTACGCACGGGGATTGTCGCCTGTCCTACTGAGAAATCCTTTCCCTGGGTAGCCAGAATTGCTGTGCTAAACACAGCAACTCGGGGAAAACAACCGAAATCCTCCCTCCCCTTACCCATACCCTCCCACTATGCCAATATCCCCACACTATCCTGATACCCTCCCAATACCCTACTCGGAAATCTTTCCCCTGGGTAGCCAGAATTGCTGTGCTAAACGCAGCAACTCGGGCAAAAGAGCAAACTTTCCCCATCCGTTGCCAGTATCCTCCAACTATCCTGAAGACACCCTCCCACTATCCTATTGGAAATCTTTCTCCTGGGTAGCCAGAATTGTTGTGCTAAACACAGCAACTCTAGAAAAACAAACATCCTCTCACTATCCTGATACCCTCCCAGTATCGTGCTGAAAACCCGATCCCCGGGTAGCCAGAAGAGCTATGCTGAGCGCGCCAATTACAAACAAGAAACAAACTTTTGTCATTCGGTCCCAATATCCTGGCACTAGAAAGGTAGCCCCCCATTACCCCAATGCCTTGCCATTGGGCCAATGTCTTCCCCGGGTAGCCGGAATAGCTGTGCTAAACACAGCAACTCGGGGAAAAAAACCGAAAAGCCCCGCGATCCCTCCTGGAAATCCCCTTAGGCATCTCCGCCCGGGCTTCCGCCTGGATATGCCTTGAGGTGTCTTGCTTCGCCTGAAGTTGCAGCAACGCCCGCGCTGCAGATGCCTTCTCAAAGTGTGTCCAGCTGGATTCCCAGATAGAAATGTATGGAGCAGGCCCCTTCGCCTTCAGCTGCAAATCCAGCTGGAAACACTTTGAACAGGCCGGGTGGGAAATGCATCGAAAAGGCGTCTGCAGCTGCGTTTCCAGGTGGAAATGCGCTGCGGATGCCTTTTCCAAATGTTTCCAGCTGGATTTCCAGCTGGAAATACACTGAAAAAGCGTGTGCCGCCGTTGGGTGGGGAACGCCACCGGCGGCCAAGCACCAGGCGAGCAGCTGCCCACCACCCTCCCCCGGCGCCCTCCCTGCTCTGTTCGCGGAGGGAAAGTCGCGCCCCAGCGCCAGGCTTGCAGGCGAGCAGCTGCCCACCACCCTTCCCCGGCGCCCTCCCTCTGTTCACGAAGAGGTCGGCAGAGGGCGCCACCATCCGCCGTCTCTGTCTTGGAGGGTGCGCGCGAGGGAAGCAGGCGGGGGCGCAAGCAACAGGCTGCATGCGGGCGAACACGGGGGGCGCCGTTGTTGTTCGGGGTGCTGGGCGAGGGTGGTGGGCCCCTGCGCCTGGAGGGCAATGTATGAATGCCCCGCCCCGGCGCCCGTCCTCCATCCACGCGCGCGGCAGGGGCCCCAGCGCGCCCCCGTTCTGCAAGGCTGCGCGCGGGAGAAGGGCGGGGGGCACCAAGGCGCACAGGGGCGGGGCACACAGGCAGGCGGCACGAACGGGCCACGCCACAAACGCGCGAACGGGGCGTCACGCGCCAACGCCTCGCATGGCGCGGCCTGTTCCCCCGTCCACTGGCGGCCGCCCGCTGCCGCGCTTTGCGTTGTTGCTTGGGCCTAAGGCTTGCCGCCAAGCAAACGCGCGCCCAGTGCGGGCGGGGCCCTCGCGCTCGCACAACGACGGGAACCACGGGCGCCATGGCGCTCCGCCTTCGTTCTTTCAGCAGGAAGCGGCGCAGATGCCTGGCCCCGCCCTGCATCAAAAATCTTTTCCCTTGCCCCTCTGGCGTTTTTCTTTCCCCCCCGTCCACTCGTTCACCCTCCCACTGCGCGACATAAGTTGTTTCCTTGTAACTATAGTTTTTTTTACCCTTGATCCGGTTATCTTGCATTTTTGCGAACTCCAAATCAGAATCGCATCCACATGTTATTCTGTGTCGCTCTTCCTCTGCGTCGATAATTGGAATTTTCTATATTTCCGCTCCTGCATGTGCATGAGCATGCTGATGCACGAGCGCCGGCACTCGATACATAGTAATGAATTGTGTTTGTGTATGGACGATGACAATTTTCGCTATAACCCAGGCCCGGATCCAGCAGCTGAAGGACGGTGGGGCTACACTGAAGGGTGCGAACACGGTATCACATTGAAAAATCCCCCTCCCCATACCAAAAGGAAGTTTCTGATGCTGGATTTGCGTGTGCAAATCACGTTTGTCTTGCTGTAGAGGACTGCAAGCGTCTGCCGAGCCTGAGTAGAGAGGTAGTTGTGGCCTAGGCGCTTAGCATGAGGAACGTCTATGCTGTAGGCCCAACAGCATCACAAACTGCCTGCATAATGCGGCAGAGCCTGTGGAGTTGTCTTCTTGCAAGACAGACGTGATTTGTGGTCTCAAATTAGCAAGACAAATTTTCGGAAACATACCTTTTCGATATGTTGGGGAGGGGGGATTTTTCCTCTCAATATACGGAAGAATTCTACTCCGCTGCGGGCTCCTCCGAAGCTGGGGTTCCCAAAAAAACGCTCGACACCACCAGTCTCGATGCGTCCTATGGCGTTCTCAAACGTTACATTCTCAACTGTTACATGAATTTGTGACGCAAGGGCCGCAACAGTGAAAGGGGCAAGCTTGCAACTCTCGCATCACAAATCCGGCACAGATTTAGATGCTGTTTAGCCCTTCGGGGATTTGTCATGCGAGGCGGCTTGATTGTCTGGTGGCTCATAGTAGTTTTGCATGACACATTCATGTAACAGTTGAAAATGTAACGTTTGAGAACGCCATACGTCCCTCGACCGGGTTCGTGCGTTAATTGACGCGGCCAAGCAGCGCATGGAGAAAAATTTACCGACGATTTTCCCCGAACTGCTGGCTGGGCAGCAAAAAAACACAACATCAACTGGAACACAACCACAGCACTACCACCACGAGGCGGAGATGCTGGCGCACACGTTGGACGCGCTCCTGCAAAACGCGGCCCTTCTCAAGCAGGCCCTCATCGAGTTTAAAGACTACCGAGTCCGGATCGGCTCCGTCATGTCCGAAGGGGCGAACTCAGACGCATATGAAATGCAAAAACATCGTGCTAGTAAAAATCGCTTGACAAATTTCCTCAGCATGAGAAATAGAATTTGTAATGCGGATTTACCTTGAGAACAGAATTTGTAATGCATGACTGCGATTAGTACGAGTATGATACTTTTGCAATGCATAACGCACAGCGGATCGCAATCCACACGAAGATCGGCGAGGCGAACTTGCGGGAGCTGGAGCAGTGGATCGAACAGAATTTGTACATTTCAACACATTCAACGACGAGGACCTCTGGAACTGGAACTACTACAGCCAAGGACATGACTATGAGAGATGGAAAGAACAACCTCCTGAACAACCGCATGAGCATGGCCTCCGCGACTTCGAAAGCTAGTGGTCGGAACTCACAAGTAGATCAAAACGCGACTTTCACAGACAAGTTGCGGGAGAAAGCCGATCGGGAGGCGCAAAGGCTGCACGAGTGGCGGTTTATGCATTGCAAATATGTCTGGGTCTGGTTCTGGAACGCTGGAACATGGCATGCTATTTCTGGATACTGCAAAAATCTGTGTTGCATGATTACCAAAAGCTGTCCACTTTTGACCAAGTTGAGAGGCAGTTTCTCATGCAGGTGAGGCATGACCATAGAGGTCGTGCAGAATCTCTCATGCTCGGCCATGCATGACAGACCTCATGGTGCGTCATGGAACACCTGCATTACAAGTCTCGCAGCCTTCCAGACCCTGACATATTTGCATTTGATACGGCTGAAGGAAGCGCAGTTTCTCGTTTCCGAGCAAAAGGAGGTTTTGGCCGACCATGAGCGGGTTCGAACAGTTTTGAAGACCCGGTTTGACAAATTCGAGAACCGGGTTGCGGAGTGGCGGAGGAGACAACTGGCCGAGAATTTTGACCCGACATTCGGTTCCTCGGAGCAAGAAACTTCCGCTCGTCGCAAAAACGGACAACTCTCGTCCTCTTTGATCGCAAAACCGGAGGGCGAACAGGAGTTCATCCAAGGTCTGACCACTGATTCGACCCAACTGCCCCGAGGCTCCTCCGCCTCTTCTTCCGCAACCTCCCTCTCCAGTCCCCGGCAAGCGCAGGCGATGGCGCGACGTTCGGTGGGTGGTGGGGGGAAAAACGTGATTAGCCGCGCGCTCGCACGGTCCGCCTCGCGTGAAAAAATCCGGCAACGCCAGCATATGAACTGCAAAAGTATCTTACTAGTAGTAATTGCAATACAAATTAGCTGAGCATGACAAATGGAATTTGTCATGCTGTTTTACCTTGGGATCGAGATTTGTAATGCATGATTGCGATTACAACTACGAGTGCGATACTTTTGCACAGGATACAGCACGACCGGACGCAACGGCAGGTGCCGAGGAACTTCGCGACGCCGGGGGAGTTGTTATCGGAAGCAGCGTATCAACCGCAAAAATGTCTGGGTCTGGAAGATTGCAACTTGTCATGCTGTTTTTGGACTCTAAAAAAATTTGTATTGCATGACCAGCAAGAGGGGCGCAGTTTTGCTACACGGACGGGCCATTTCTCATGCGGAAGGTGCATCAGGAAGCCCTCTAAATGTCTACGATGCTAGGCCAAGCATTACAGGCATCACGGGTCATGAGAAATATGCATGACAGATCTTGCGTTCTTCCAGACCCAGAGATTTTTGCATTTGATACAGCGGACTCGGTCGCGGGCCTGGACATGTACTCCGCAACGTCGCAACAAGGAGGAGGAGGCTCTTGCGAAATCAACAATGTGCAACAACAAGAAGTTGTAGGAGATGGAGATGAAGAACTACAGGAGGGTGTGGGGTTACTGGAGCAAGTCAGACTCGTGTCCGGTGCTGTTGATATACACGAACAACAACAAAAGCAGCTGCAAAATAACATCAACATCACAAACAATTTGCTGCAAATGGACCCCCACGCGGCGGATGTTGATCCAATGATTCAGACGTTCGAAGAGGAGTATGACAACGACCGGAGCAGCCTCGCCAGTAGAGATATCCTTCTCTTCGACGGCAGCCAGGCGGATTCCAGTCCCAGGGGCGATGGGGAGAACGTCATTGTGCATCAGAATGATCCTTTTTCCCCGGATGAAACGGAAATAAATGGGCTCTCGTCGAGTGGGGCAACTTAAGTAGATCGTGGTGCTCAACAACGTATTCGATCTCAGCCACGACAAGAATTAATTGTGCTTGCAGCTGCTGAAAAAAGCCAGAGCCTGGCACGAGTAGCAATCCATGATTTTGATTTGATTCCTTGCGGACCTAGTATCATGTAAAGCAAAAGAACCTCTTCAAGAGCATATGATTTCGTAGCATTCCAAATTGAAAGTACGAAAAATCTGATGTCCTCGTCTACGTGAAAATTTGTTATGATAATTTCCTCGGTGAAAACTAGCAGTACTAGTCGAGATGTAAACGAAGTTTCTTCTCCTGTTACCTGTCGTGTTGTCAACACAAAGTGAAAGTATGATTGTTCACCCGTATAGGTAAAAAATCGTCGTCTCAAATTGAAAAATATGTGAATGAAGACGAAACAAAATTCCAGTTTTTGTGTGATTGTGAGTGTCAATATCCCGTGTTCTGCGTTGGACCAACAGGAATCGTCGTCAAAAAGAGCATTACCAAGCGTGTCTCGGGTGGGGTCGGGTCAAGGTCATTCTTCGCAAAAAGGAAAGATCTCTTCACGAAGCCGCAAGGTATTTCCGATGTGTGTTTTTTTGCAAAACAGGAGCGCAGGCTGGCAGCTCTGCCTCTCTGATCAAAACTTATGTCGTGTCTTCGATTCGGTTTTGCTTCCCGGACTGCTGGTGTTGAGTCTAACCCTGTGCTGTCGAATTAGAACGAACAAGTGTAAGTTGTCCGCACAGATACATAAGTAGAAGAATCAAGTCGTGCGACCTCTTCGTCCAAGGTTTCAACCAGAAACTAATTTTTCACGAGAGACCTCTTCTGACAAGGAGAAGGAAGAGGAACTGCATCATATAAATAAATTTCCACCATGCTCGCGAGCGCAACGAAGACGTTTTCCGAGCAGTCGGAAGGTCGGACGAGCAACGCCGTGACAACCAATACGGCGCTCCTCAACGGGGCAGGTCAACTACCCCAGGCGGCAGTCCCGCCCTTTCCAGCAGCTTCCGGTAGTAGTTCCTCCGCTAATATTCCACATGTAGCACAGCCAATTCCAACGTCCTCCCAGCAATACCATCAGTCAATCGGCGCCGGCGCACCAGGAGTTTCTCCCCCTTCTGTTGTTGACCCTGCGCAGCTCTGCCTCCCGAACCCTCGGTCCTCGCAAACTGGGTTGCAGCTCCAGCAATTAGATGGGTATGAGGCAGCTGCGAGCTCTGGCGGCGGACCGCCGAACTACGCGATACAGCAGCGACAAAACGAAACGGAACACCGAGTGGGCAGGTTGCAGGATATGATGATGTGTTTGGCGAAAAGGGTTGACGACACGCAGCATCAAGTGATCGCACAGCAACAGGTATGATAGAGTTTCAGTGTGACTTTGCTATTTCTCTTGCAGCTGCTTCATCTGTTTGTGTTTCCACCGTCTGCAACTGCATGACAAAGTGCGTATACATTTTTCCTGCTGTTTGTTGGATGAAGAAAATGTCTTTCTATATCTTTCCAGTACTATATCCACTCTCACAGGCCAGCGCCGCGCAACGCCAGCAGCCGATCATCATTCAAAACCTATGAACTGCAAAAGTATCCTACTCGTATAAATACATTACAAATTTCCTCAGCATGAGAGAGAAAATTTGTAATGCGGACTTCGCTTAAGATAAAGATTTGTAATGCAAGGCTTGCATTTATACGAATGCGAGACTTTTGCACAGGATAAAACCACGCGTCGAGCAACGTGGAAAACACCGCGCCACCACCGTATGACAGTGCACAACTTCCCTTCCCCCTCATTTGTGTTGCATGAACAGCAACACAAGCGCTGGCAAAGATGCAGCTTTTGCATGACAGATTCCTAGAGGGTTATAGTGCTGTTTGGGATTCAGGAATCTGTCATGCAAACAGTGCTAGCAGGCAAAGGGGATCCTTGACCTGTGGCGCTGGGAGCGGGTGTCCACTACATGATGATGATGATGATGATTTGCAATTTTGCATGACAAATGGGGGGGAGGGGGAGTTGCGCACTCTCATACACCGCAACCGCAGAACAGTAGTTTGTTCCACAGCGGGCTGCTCGAGACCTTCCTGGTCGATCTCCGCTCCTGGTGGCGATCTCCGCTCAATAAGTTCTGCGTCTATTGCGGAATGGGGCTCGGCTTGTATCTGTGGCAGCAGCGGTTGCAGCACAGCTGGCGGTTGAGTGAAATACAGCGGAGAATCGACGCAAATATCGTGTTAAAAGTGTCACAGTGGTTAAGCCGACACGTGGAAATGTAGTTGTGAGAGGGAACTGATTTTCAAGCATCAAAAGCCAGCACTCGTTGGTGTTGATGGCTCCGCATGTTGCATCTTTAAGAACATCACCCTTCGAAAATGCACAGCTTCTTGTTTGCAGAAATAAAAAATGTCACGCGACTTCTACATGAAGGTTTTTACCGAGGTTGTTACGTTGCTCTCCACTGATAAATTCCCCACTTTGTCGTGCCTGTTCGGTTGCGACCAGTCTCGAGCAGATGACCTCTCCTGTCATCTCTTAAACACGACGCGTGTTCACTGCAAAATAAAACCTACAGAGGTAGGCGTATCAAGTTGAGCCATCTACTTCTACTACTTCAACATCTACGTGCAAGTGCAAGAACCAAGAATTGCAATTGTACTGGACTTATTTTTGTTGTGAAGACTGTGGTACGTGAAACAGTCTCCTGTTGTGAAGGAGATTTGAACATCGAGAGATGATGGTGGTATGTCTGTGAATAGCCTGAGAAGTTTTCTTGTAAATTTGATGTACACAAAGATGGTCATACTCATATACGGCCAGCACTTCGGCCTGGAGAAAAAGCGAAAGTGCAAGATGAACGTGACGAGCTTTACTTTAGTAGAAGATAGCGTAATCGTTGTTGTTGTTCCTCGTTGCTCCTCCTCCTTCTTGTTTCCGAAATGAAGTAGCGGCTGCTCACGCTTGGCGGGATTTCGCCAGCACCGCCACGGTTCTTGCTAGCACCCCTGCAAGGACCTTCTCGCCGTCAAGATGGAGGCGCAGCGCGCGGAACAGATCCGCTTGCACGGGGAAGCGCTATCCGACTGCTTCACGCGCGTCCACCGGTTCGTCCGCGATGTAAAAAAGATCGATCCCGAGAAACAAAGCTTTAAACGACGGTAGGCTTTTGATACGCCGGCGCAATTTGTCTTCACGCTAGATGTACATGCTCCTACCTGCTATTGGTTTCGATTGATTGTTTTGCCAGATATTAGCTGCATATCACGACTTTATATACGAGTTTCATCCAAAAAAGTAAAAGACCCAACTCAAAAAATACACAAACAGCATTGCGGAAAACTCCCTTTTAGACGGTGTTGGCCAGCTCGTCCGACAGCTGGAGCTTGCGGTGCAGGGGTTGAAGCAAGAGCAGCTTCACCAGTGCTTCGCGATCGAGACGACAGAAACTAGTAGTGCCTCTACTTCAAGCAGCAGTGCAGTTAGCACCACCACGCCACCGACGAGGACTCCGCCGACGTTGTTGTCGCACCTGGTGAATTTAAACACAGAGCTGCAGTCCTGCAAGACGGAGGAGAACCGGCAAGACGCGAGATGGACGAAGTTGGAGAAAATTTTCGGGGCCTGCCATCACGTCGTCTCTACCTTCGATCCGGAGCGGCGTGCGGGAAACAAAACGCCCAGATGGATGGCAGCGGCGCGGGAAAAAGCGGCAGGCGGCTTCATCACTTCTGGTGGGTTGGAGGGAAGTCCAGGCACCATGGGTGCTGGAGCTCTGGGTGGTCGGAACAAGAGGCTCTGGGGCGCCGGGTGGCAAGGCGGGCAGAAGTCCCCCAGAGGAAATAACACTTCGGCTGCATCAGGTTCTTCATCCGGCGCAGCATATCACCAAAATCACAAAACCTTCAAATACCGAAGACGTCACACCGGCGCGGATAGAATTCTCCGCGACAACCACTCTGCGCCGACAGCTTTTGGCACAACTTCGTGGCAGGCAAGATCTGGAGGTGTCGTGTTTGGCCGGGGAGGCGGAGGAGCGGCCTCCAATGGAATTATTACAGGCAGAGGAGAACATCAGACCACGTCCCGCTCCGACCTCCCGATCGAAGTTCGGAATTACCAGTTAGCCGCCGCGAAGCGTGCCTTCGCGACCTCGCAGCGACGCTGGATCGATGCCTGGCTGAAGCCGTTTGGGCAGAACAGACCCGTCTCCCAGCACGTGCAGGTGCTGCTGTTTCCGGTGTTGCCTACTTCGAGTGGTTGTTCATTGCTCTTCTTTTTGCACAAGATAGCATTGGACGAAAAATTCGACGCTGTTGTCCAACACCAGAGTGCCGGTGGCACGACGACCAGCAGCAGTACAACAACTGCTAAAACAAAAACGACAAATGCGGAGAAACTAGAATATCTCGCCAACATCAACTTTTTGTCCCGGAGCCTCGGAGAAGCGAGTTTGACCACGATTGCGGACCGACAGGTCGCGGCGGATAAAGCTGCGAATGGTCGTGGGTGTGATGTGATCGAGTCGGCGATGCGGCTGTTGAAGAAACAAAAAAAGCAGATTTTAGAACTGGAGCTGCGCTCGACTGGTTGTGGTGGGGGGTCTTCAACACAAGCTTCTTCTTCTTCCGCATCCCCGTCCATCTCGGGCAAAAATTACAAATTTGAAGATGATTTTGAGCAAGACCACGACCTAGACGATACCACGTCGAATATAATTACCGACAGAAAAATTTCCGACCGCGTGGTCGCACTGCAAGAAGAGATCCACTACTACAACCTTTTCGTCCTCAACTTCGTGCGAGAACACGTCCGGGAGCTGGAGGCGGCGGTTGCGGAAGCTCTGGCCACCGAGGTAACAAAGATTGCTGTGAGGGAACAGGACAATGCGGCGATGCAGGAAATAACCGACTTGCGCGAACAGTACGAACAGGTGTTAAAAGAAGCCGCGACGTCTACTGGCGTCCTCGAGAACACTGCGGAAAAGCGCGCGGATGTCATCGCACACCTCTATGAGTTCGCGCTGGAGGAGGGTGTTTCGTGTTGCGCTGAGCAGGCTGAAGAGATCGAGGTCGTCGCGGTTGGGGGCGCGGAGGACGAGACGAGTGAACAAGCTGCATCGGTTCCTGTGGTCACTGGAAATAGAGAACCAGACTCCGAACAAACTACTGCCGCCACGACGAAGAGTCTTTGCAGCGTTCTCGAATCCTGGCTCTCCTCCACTACTACCGCAAATTCTACTGCGGAATCCGTGCGGCTACGGCGCGAGCTCCAGTTCTTCGCTGATAACAACAATAACGATAAGACCGCTACCGCTTCGAAGATCACAACCCCCGCGCTTCTCTTTTTTATCTACGACATCACAAGAGAAGGGCCGGCAGAGGCGGACGTGGGATCCGTTTTAGCGGAACTATTCGAGGAGTGTCTGCAGCTCCGAGACAAGGTGTCGAAGTGCAACGATGCGGGGGAGTGGCTGCAGAATTCGGAGAAATCTTTCCTGCAGTGCGTCGAGAAGGACATACTCGGGGGGAGGAGAGAGAACTGGGCGCAGTGCAAGACCAGTTTGTTCCCCCACAATGTTGAGACCAGCAAAGCGCAGGCTGCAGCAGAAACGACCGCGACTAAAGGTTGTACCTCCGGGATGAACAGTGCTCGGAAAGTGTGGCTTTCCCGGGACGCGCGCGCGTTTTTGTCCTCACTTTCGCACGCGGAGAAGTCCTATCCTGTGCAAAAGTATCGTACTCGTAGTAATCGCAGTCATGCATTACAAATCTCCATCCCAAGGCAAAACAGCATGATAAACTCCCTTTGTCGTGCTGAGCTAATTTGTATTGCAATTACTACTAGTACGATACTTTTGCAGTTCATAAGTCCAGTTTGTTCGACCGCGTTTGTGAGTTCAACGAGGGCATGGCACGGTATGGCGTTCTCAAACGTTACATTCTCAACTGTTACATGAGTTTGTAATGCAAGACTAGCACAGGTGAGAGGGAGAACCTTGCGCGCCTTGCATTACAGGTTTGATCCGTATTACAGTGCTATTTAGCCTTCCGAGAATTTGTCATGCGAAGCAGCTTGATCGTCTGGCGGGTCATGGTCATTTTGCATGACAAATCATGTAGCAGTTGAGAATGTAACGTTTGGGAACCCCATACACGGACAATCCAGAGGAAAGAAGTGGAGCATTACCAGCAACGGGAGCTGCGCACGAACGTGAAGGCGCTGATCGCGGAAAATGAGAAATTGCGGGGGAAGTTGCGGACCGAGTTGGTCGCCGCGGGCCAGAAGATTGTCGGGAAAATAAACGAGAGTGGTTCTGCTTCGTTGGCAACATCTTCTTCGAAAGTGAAAGACAACAACGCAGGAGCAACGGGTGGCGCAGCAGGGTCTTTCTCAGCCCCTACTGATCAAATAAAACCGCAGCAGATGAAAGTCCTCACCGACCTGTCCGAGGGCGACGCCATAATACCGCCGGCTCCCCCCATCGATCTGGCCGCGCTGGAAGCGGAAGAAGCGGGCTCGGAGAAAATTGCGTCCTTTCTTTCCATATCAAATGCAAAAATGTCTGGGTCTGGAAGAATGCATGTTTGTCATGCTTGTCTGGAATGACTCTTAAATCTGTCATGCACGTTACCCAAGAGCTCCATTTTTCTGTGATGCAGAAACGCAGTTTGTCATGCAGAATAGGCAACATCTAGAAAGAAGCTCAGAAACTTGTCATGCTTAGCCATCACTTGTGGCCTCATCATGAGACGCCACCCAGCAGCACAAGTTTCCAGACCCAGACATTTTTACACTTGATATTCCAAACTGGATAACAGCGAAGCTAGGCTGTTGGATTTGATCTCCGAAAGCAAGGAACTCGAATCCCTCGATCATTCAGGTTGTACTAGCACGGAAACGCTAGAAGTACTGGCGCAGAAAGCAGACGACAAAGTTTTTAACCTGGAACTCTTCGGCTTGCTTCTCGACAGCAACGAGGGGTTGGAGCGACGGATCCGCACATTGAACCGCGAAATGGCCGCGCAGGTGTTGGTTCAAGAGAGTGCATCTTCTTCAAACACCAGCAAAACCACATCAAACCGCGGCGTTCCTCAACACATCACTAACGATGCGAAAGACCGGAAACAGCGACTTGGGACCTTGTTAAAATCCGTGGAGCGCGGCGTTCCATCCGCGACCTGGGCGAGGCGGAAAACCGCAGATAATAATTCTAGTAAGACGCCTACCAGTTCTTGTGCATCTACTTCGAGTGCAGCTGTTTCTGCTACAACTACTTTCGAGATGAAAAAGTCGCGGTCACGGAAAGGCTCGACGTCTGAACTGCAAGACGACCACGACGGAGTCACTAGGGGCTCCGCCTGCAATTCCACGATCTCTACGACTGCGAGTAGCAGTAGTTCTCTGAGATACAGCAACAGCTCCTCCACCGCTTCGAACAGTGTTGTGAACGCCAACAAGCTTTTCTCCCCACCATCAAGAAGTACCAGAACCGGAGGACGTGACACCACGGTTAACAATACTGCGAATAAAGAAGACGAGTGGAAAGCGCAGCTACAGAACGACTACAACGTGCCTTGCGAAAGTGTGTCAACCCTCGGAGAAGCCATCGTGAAAGTGCTGGACCTGACTCACTCGGAGTTGTTTCTCCTACCGCAACACGGGTTTGAAGAGTTCGCAAACGGCGGAATGATGTTGAGAAAAAACGCAGCTGGTGCAGCTACCCAAACTCCTGACAGCACCGATGTCGGTGGTCGGTATGGAAGCGTCAGGATTGAAATCGTCACTCAAAGTTGAAATGATTTCTCATGCAGAAATTGCAAGGCATCAAGTGCCTCTCTTGCAGGGACGACAAGTGAGGCCGACTGTCAGCCTGTTTGGGGTCTGCGGTAATGCTGCTAAACTAGCATGACAAAAGACGCCTTCTGTTCCTAAACTGCATGACAAACTGGATTTAGTTGGTGCAGAAATTTGTCATGCGCCGCTTGAAAATTGTGCTTCCAACTGGTATCGATTTTATGCATTACAAGTTATTTCAACCTTGTCGATTTCGATCCTGACACTCCCATAGTCGGTACCAGCGGTGTATGGACGCCAGGGTGCTGAAAAAAGTCTCAGAGTCGATTCTGGTCGAAAACGAAGATGATCTCCTGAGAGTTTCAAGTAGAACATCTTCCTCTTCGTCGTCGGGAAGTAGCTCGTCCTCTAGTTCGTCTAGCATGATCTTCCCGGATGAAGTAGAAGATCAGGAGCCGCTAATTGCAAGGGCCGGAGCCAGAATCGAGAAGAAGTGTCTTTGCCTGTTTTCGCGGTCTTCTTTATCGACGTTCTCGGGAGGTGAAGATCGGGACGATGAACGAGAACAAATTGAAGACCACGCATTAGTCAACAAAACTCCAACAGCCTTGGCGCTGATTGAGTACGGTGGCGATGGCCTTCCTTCCTCCGCGGCATCGACCTATTCCTGGGTGGTGATGACATTGACAAACTTGCTGAACGACGAGAACAGTACGTGCAGTAGATCGAGCTCGTCGCATCATGATCAAGATGTTCATCATGTTCTTGGTGACGAAAAAAATACTACGCCTGCCTGCTACACCGTCCTGATGAAATACCCGGTCACTTGCCTCCCAGACGGCCTCTTCGAGCTTCCCAGCAAGTTTGACCCCGAACAAGCAGGGGTAGAAGTTGTTCCGGATAATGGTGGCGAGAGACCACGAGGACCTGATGGTCATGTTACTGCTGTTTCTCTTCCTGTCGTTTCGTGTTCTCGCCAACGTTTCGACATTGTGCAGGTGGAGAATTTCAACACCAAAAGCCCCTTCATATCCTGTGCAAAATTATCGTACTCGTACAAATGCATTACAAATTTTCTCAGCATGAGAAATAAAATTTGTAATGCTGATCTACCTCAACAAAAAGATTTGTAATGCATGATCGCAATACGATTACGAGTGCGATACTTTTGCACAGGACACTTCACCGATATCGACATCTTCACGGACGCAGCGACCTATTAAATGCAAAAATGTCTGGGTCTGGAAGGTTGCCAGGCCTATCATGCATATTTTGCATGACCCAGGAGGTCTGTAATGCATGACCTAGCATCACAGATTTTGAGAGGCGTTACTGATGCCTATTCCGCATGGGAAATACCGTCTCCATGTGGGACAAAGTGAACTCTTCTTGCTGGTCATGCAATGCAGATTTTTTTGCAGTCCAGAGTTAGCATCACAAGTTCCAACCTTCCAGACCCAGACACCTTTGCAATCCATACGACCTATTCCCAAGCGCGAGAGCAGCAGGAGCACTTTCTGCGGGTGGACGCGCAAGTGAGTAAAGTGTTCGTGTGGGTGAGCAGCTACAGCAACGACTTGAGCCGGAGGTATTCGGGGGTCTACGCGAAAAACAACCATCCGGCGTTTCCGTATTTTCTTACCTTGGAGGAATCCGCAGACTCGTTAAAGGCGAAAAACTGGAGCACTGACGACGCCAAACATCGCGCGGTGGGACTGGTGCCTCACTTCATTTCATCCGGGTTCGGAACGGCGTCTGGTACTGGTGCCACGCCCCTTTCCACCCCGTCGAAGACGCCCACCAGCTCAAGCTCTTCCTCCACTTCTGCGTCGACCTCTACATCCAAACGCACAGTTAACTGCGATTTGCGGTGGTACTTGGCGGAAATCGACCCACTGCAGGGGTATCTATCCACAGGAATTTTTTTCCCATACACGTAGAAATGTGGCTCCCGCATGACAAACTTTTCCTACGGATCCTCTTCCGCATGACAAGTTGCTTCGTCTAAGTCCGTGAAATGATTTATGATGCATTTTGTCCATGTATGGGGATAAATTTGTATTGCATAGTAGCAGCCCAATTTGAACAAGCAACCGCAGATCCAGGGTTTACTAGAAACACCCGTTTCGGCGAACAACAGCGATATCCTCTGGTTGCAAATCGACCCCGAGCACATGTTCAAACAGGACGACCTACGGCTGTCCTTTGAGGGGGACCAGCGGTGGACGCTGTTGCAGCAGTACTATGGTCCAAACGGGATCTTCCCCCGATATAACAAGACCAATTCGACGGACCAGGTGGAACAGTTGCAGAGCCAAACACCCGGACAGACCCCGACGGCGGCGGGGGGAAGGGGTGGAGGTGCTGCGTCTGGCCGGAGTAGCAGCAGCAGCGGTAATTCTAGTGCTTGTGCCTCCTCTACTTCGTCATCTTCAACGTCATCAAGTAGTTCTTCCAGCAGTAGCTCCAATAGGTCTTCGAGTAAGAAGAAGAACGGTCTACCACAGTACACGCCTTTCTGCGAGTATCCAAGAAAAAAAGTTTGTTAGTGTATTAACTATCTTCGGCTGAGGACAGCATCACAAATTTGCTCTACATGACTGAGTAATAAACCTGTCATGCGTGGCTTGTAAGGGAAAACACACACGAAAAGACGACTACATGGTTGTCTGGCATGTTGACAGGTGTCAGAACTCTGTTGCATGTTCTGCATTTTTACAGAGTTACACTTACACAGTTTTTTTCTTGCATAGCGAGTACGACGAACGAGAATTTTTCGACCTCTACTCCGTCACCGTCGGCGTGTTTCAGGATGAGGCCGCGTATCCTGTGCAAAAGTATCGTACTCGTACTAATTGCATTTATGCATGACAAATCTTGTCCTTAAGGTAAAGTAGCACGACTACAAATTCCATTCTTAATGCTGAGAAAATTTGTAATGCATTTATACGAGTACGATACTTTTGCAATTCATACCGCGTGGCTGACGTTTATGCAGGGCTTCGAATCCTCCGGCGCGAAGTGCACCGCGAAAACGGTACAAAAGAGGCTACCACCACCCTCGAAAAAAAGGAATTACTACGGGAATCTCGGAGGAGGAGGTCGTGGCGGGGACCTGCTCCAGGGAAGTAGAGGTGGCGCAAGCTCCAGGGCCAGAAATCACAATAACGCTGCTGACGATCGCGGTCGAGGAAACAGAGGACCACGTGGAGGTGGAGATCCTAGTGAAGACGATGACAGTTTCGTGAACGGCACCAGGGTTATTGTCCCAGAACAAGACCGGAAGTGCTGCGCTGGCCTACTTGGCAATATTAACAGCAAAAGAGGACCACGCGGCGCTGCTTCGCGAGGTCAACAGCAACATCAAGAAAGTGGCGACTTTCTCTCCGCTTCCCCGCCAACACACCGGTCCAGGTTGAGTCCGTTACTAGGGGGCATTTTCGGCGGCTGCGCGATTTCTACCCCCAGCCGGGAAAGAACATCAGAAGAGGTTGGGGAGTTCGAGTTGCGGGAGCATCCGCAAAGTGCGAAAAACACACCATCGCCCGGCGCGGCGGATGGTGGTCGTGCTGGGAAGAGCAAGTCGAAGAGAGGAGCTGCTGAGGAAGTGGATCTAAGGAACAATGGCACGCGCACGCTGCAGAAATCTCACAGCGCCGAACAGAGCACTAGTCAGGAGCCGCGGAAAGACCGGCGGGCGGCGCAAGACGCGAACATCAAGCACCAGATATCCTGAGTAAAAACGTCCCCACACCATTTTCAAGATGGGGAATCGGCTAGACAAATCCACAAGTTTTGGCTGTTTTGCATGACAAATTTGGATTCGTAGTGTAGTGCTGTCTGAGCTAGCTCAGGAGCATCACAGATCTAGCATACCATGCTGATTGGAGCATGACAAATTGCAAAGCACGACTATAAAATGCTTCTCTTGGGGCTCCGCATGAGAAACATTTTCAGCATGCAGATTTGCATTACAAATACAACTATTGGGTGGGGACGTTTTTAAATAGGATACCAGAAAGAGAAGTCCAGGACGACTAGGACGAAAAGAAATCCTATCGCAAGAAAAAAGTGTTACAGTTACACATTGTGTTGCAGGCCAAGCAAGACAGACAAGCTCTGTCATGCCGGATATGCATAGGAGCCTCGTTTCATAGGTGTTTTGCCGTAGGATTTCTGCATTACAAGTTTTCTCTCTCATGCAGGGACATTTGTGTTGCTGAATTCACTACAAATGTGTAACTGTAACACTTTTTTCGTGGGATAAATCCGGCCGATGGAGGCGGAACCACAAGAGTTCAGGCTACCGGAGATGCGCATCGTGATACTACAACCTCAAAGCCCCAGAAATACCCAAACAGCGCGTCAAAACGGTCCGGCGCACTCGCCAGCTCTCCGGCAATCGCCTGCTCCCCGAGCTCCCCCTCCCACCCCGGGGTTCTCTCGACCGTCGAGGTCGCGATTGCCAGCAAAACCGAGGAAGACTGCACCATGAACTACCTCGGCTGGAAAGCGAAGGAGCTATTTCCGCCGATAGACGACACGGAACGCGTGCAGATCCGGGTCGGCGTGAGGCGACGCGCGTTGACACGATACAACGGAATCTACCGGAAAATCGTGGTTTCGACGACCCAAGATGACTCTAGTATTCTTGGCGAAACCACATCAAGACAACTCCCCATCTTTGTCCAGGAGCTCCACGAAGCGGTGCTTCCCGACGGCAGCTCGTCTCCGAAACTGCAGGTGTTAAGACCCGGTCACGGCGCGTCGACGTGGACCACGAGTTCTCCTGCGCACGCGATGCCGGCCGCGGCGCTATTCCCCTTTTACGGGTCTGATAGGAACGATAAGATCGGGTGGTATCTGACCCACGTGCGGTACGACAAGGAGCTGAAGCAATTCTCCTGTTACAACCCGAACAGCAAGAAGCAGCCGGCGCTCGCGAACCTTCGCGGGACGATGTGCCATGAGGATTCGCAGTACATTTTTCTGCTCGAAAACGTCGATTTCAGTGGCACGCAGGACTGGTACTGCATCCAGCAGCACTGGGACAGTAGCGGGAACCCCTTGGATGACGGGAAGAAACCGCCGAAGCGGGGACAGTACTTCGGCAGCGAACACGGGAAGAAGACGGCGACACTGCGGGACCTGATGGGGTTCGTCACCGCGGGGTTATGAACTGCAAAAGTATCGCACTCGTATAAGTGCACTGCAAATTTCCTCAGCATGAGAAATAAAATCTGTAATGCGGAAATGCCTCAAGAAAAAGATTTGTAATGCAAGACTTGCATTTATATATACGAATACGATACTTCTGCACAGGATAGGGGTGGGTAAGGGTCGACGTCGAGCCGATGCGAAGTAGAGCACCTGCTTCGGGCTTGAACAATAATACAACCAATAGAAGTCCATTTTCTTCGCCGGTAGCAACTGCGGGGGGTGGCGGACTTTCGGCGAAAAAAAAGACGAGCAGTCCCAGTGCGGTGCTGCAGTCGCCGAAATGAATCCCCTGATGAACAATCAGGCAGAGCTGCGGGTCGCGACCGAGAGGGAGCAGCCAGTCGTGTAAGAAAATTTTGTCACAAAAATAGAAACATTTGCATAGTCGTGCTACCTTTATCAATCTTAGATTAATCTCAATGTAGAAGTGTCCAAAGCTGGAAAAGTGTTTACCTCTCGTGATTATATTTGAAAAAAAAACAATATATAATATACCAAAACTGTTGGACTTTGAACACACCTGCCACACTGAGCGAACAAAGCTCCTACCTTCCGAGGTCTTTCAATCACCACAAACGCTTCAATCTCTCAGCAGACAGGGCGAAAGCCTCTGGCTGCGTTGCGTCCTGTGAGGATTCATCATTCAAGGCCCGCGGTCATTCGTCATACATCATCTCATCGCAGGCTCTGAGGCTTCAGGTCTCTAGGTATTCTGGGACCTATTTCCCACTCTGCATCTTGAGACTTGACCGAGGAAGGAGATCCCTGATAGAGTTTTGATCAAGGTTTTGGCCAGATTCTGGGATCTTGGGAGGTCGGCCAGATCGATACCGTAGAAGCCTGCGTAGGTAAAGTTTCGATCTAGGGCGGCCGTCCTGGGTAAAGTTTTAGCAAGGACGGACGTCCTAAGTAAAACCCTAACCCGGGAGCTACCAAGCCTGAGGACAAAACCTGAATCATCTGAGGAGCCTGATCTGCTCCCGGATCTCCTCAGCTCATCGCTTGCATTTGGGGAGCAGGCATGTCGGGATCTCATAGAAGTTGCAGTCTTGCGTGGAGGTAGGGTTTGGATCACATGACCAACAAAAACCAAGAACAGGAATACAGCAGCAAGATGAAACTTGAGCAAAAGCGTCGAGAATAATAAATCGTCACCATGCCGCTTTTACACGACCGACCGAGCACCTGCACCCACGAAGATGAGCAGAGAGTGACACTCACACTCCTCGTCGTTGAAGGCCACATCTTGTAATATCAACATTAGCATACAATGCACCGGAGCTACTCAGCTGAGCGTAGGCAACACAAGTTGAGATTTTGGAGATATAGACACACAGCAAGACCAAGAGTCGCAACCTCGTTGGCTGGGTGCAGAAGGAAAATTTTTGAAAATGGAAATGAATCAATATGAAACCTTCGAGTGGCTGTATCATGTTGGTACAAAGAGAAAATCCTCCAAGAAACAAGAACCTCCTTTAATACGCAACGCTCTGTGCTGCGAAGTCTCTCACTAGTGAAGGTCTTGGCCAGTCGTTTGAAAAGTAAAAGCGACTTCGGTCCTAACATTGCCGCAGCAACAACATGTGAAATCGGTTTCTAATTCACAAGCATAATGTTATCCGTGATGGCATTGTTGTGTCATTGGTCATGTCGGTTCTTTTATTTTGGGTAGTTCTACGTATCATGTCTTATGCGCAAAACATAGCCAGCATTCGATCTTCGTATCTCAAGAATGTCTTCCGTAAAATTACTGTCCAGGTCGTGCAGTTTTTTCCCCGGCGATTCCCACATGTCTTTAATGAAGATTTACGTGTAATCAAAAACGAAGAGCACTCCTATCTGGGAGTTCCTACTGCAGTAGTTTACCACCAACATTTTCCTTTCTTTTTCGAAGATCGTAAGAATTGCTATCAAGTGACACTAACGTCCCTCTATCGGTAGAGTAGTATTCGTACTCCGAATCGTCATCGGTATCGTACGCGTACTAATTCGTATCGTTCAGCAAGCTAGTCGTAATCGGTGTGCCAGCGCAATAATTATCTGTCGTGCTATCGTATATAGGTCGTGCTATGCATCGCGCCATCGCAGTAGCAGTACCATCGTTGTACCACCATGGGTCCACTCGTGAACGCATAACGTCAGGTGCCTTGAGTCAACTGGCAACTTGCATTCCCACTCTAATAAAGTCACAGCGTTCCCGCCGTTGTACGGTTCTACTTTTGGAGGGTCAGCAAGGTGTTCCCCTTCCCACATTTTCCTTACAAGAAGACTATTAGCAGTAGCATCTTCACACATCACAGCGAGCTCCAGACTGTGTTCAAGAATTTCTTCAACAGTGAGTGCTTTCTACGCAACATCGTAAACTATTCCCAAGAGCCATGACCTCAAAACCCGCGCCTGGGCGTTGCACGTACTTTGAATTCCGGAAAAAGCTGCGCGAAGACGCTGCTTGGGAGGAGGAGGCAAGACGCTTGCGCGCAACGCGGGCCCAGCTATCAAATGTAAAAATGTCTGGGCCTGGAAGAATGCAACTTGTCATGCTCAATCGGAAGCATGCAAAAATCTGTGTTGCATGATTGCCAAAAGTCGTCCAGTTTTGGCCAAGTCGGGAGGGAGTTTCTCATGCAGGATAGGCATGAGAGAGATCGCACAGAATCTTTCATGCTAGGTCCTGCATTCCAGACCTCATGGGTCATGGAAAAGCTGCATGACAAGTCGCGCACTCTTCCAGACCCAGACACTTTTACATTTGCTACCAGCACGAGGTTGACCACGACGCAGACAGGAAAAGAGAAAAGGACGCAGAAAATGACGATGGCAGCACGTTCCACAAAGACTTCTATCACAAGGAAAAATCCCCCCTCCCCATATCAAAAGGAAGTTTCTGATGCTGGATTTGCGTATACAAATCAGGTCTGTCTTGCAGTAGAGGAAAGCAGGCTCCTGCCGAGCCTGAGTAGAGAGCTTTTGGCCTAGGCGCTTAGCATGAGACACGTCTACGCTGTAGGCCCAACAGCATCACAAAGAAACCGCCTGCATAATGCGGCAGAGCCTGTGGAGATGTCTTCTTGCAAGACAGACGTGATTTGTGGTCTCAAATCAGCAAGACAAATTTTCGCAAGCATACCTTTTCGATATGGGGCGGGGGGATTTTTCCTCTCAATAACTTGAACTTCCAGGCTTTCCTCGTTCTCAAGTGGGATGAGGATGTCCTGGACTTCGACGGCGACTTCTTAGTCACCAGCACGAACCCCTGGCTCGAGGGAATCAAAAACGAAGACCTGTATACTAACACCACCGGCGACGTATGCATTGCAAATATGTCTGGGTCGGGAAGTAGAGTGTACACGTGTCATGCAGGTTTTCGTTTTCCACGTTGTCTGGAATGCGAGACCTAGCATGACACAGTCTGTGAGGTGGTCTCTCTCATGCCTATCCTGCATGAGAAACTCCCTCCCAACTTGGTCGAAAGTGGACAGCTTTTGGCACTCATGCAACAGAGATTTTGGCATGATTCGGATTTAGCATGACAAGTCGCAATCTACTTCCAGACCCAGACACTTTTGCAATCCATACGACGGTCGAACGAACTATGGTGGCGCGGACGCAGCTTTGCACGCTTTGTGTCCGAAACTCGCGGATCAGAGCCGACAGGCGCTGAAGGAGCAACGGGACAGGCAGAAGCGGCGACAACGCGCCCTCCGCGACGACCGCCGCAGATTATGCATTGCAAAAGTATCGTATTCGTATAAAGATAAATGCATTTACGAATTTCCTCAGCATCATGAGAAATAAAATTTGTAATGCGGACTTAGGTTAAGAACAAGATTTGTAATGCATGTTTGCAACTACTACGAGTGCGATACTTTTGCACAGGATACAGATCTGCGACGGGCGAATCTTTGGAAAGCGGTGTCGGATCGTCGCCGAGGTCTATCAAATGCAAAAGTGTCTGGGTCTGGAAGGTTGGAACTTGTGATGTAAGCTTTGGACTCTAAACAAATCTGTATTGCATGACCAGCAAGGTGAGGAGTCTAGTTTGTGCTACGCAGGGAGGGCGTTTGTCATGCGGCGAAGGCAGCTTCAGCAAGCCCTCTAAAAATATGTGGTGCTAGGTCGTGCACTACAGACACCCTGGGCCAAGCAAAATATGCATGACAAACTCACGTCCCAGCCGTCCCAGGAGTTTCTGTTGCTGTCTCTCGATAGAAATCGCGCTGTCGAATTTAAATATTTCTGTCTTAGAGTTTACCGAGTGCGCGGCTTAAGTTTCTTTGTAGGCTTAATTTATTCAGGGACACCCTGCCCTTAATAGTCTCCCAACATGACAAACCCGGCAACATTCCAGACCCAGGCACTTTTGTATTTGATAGGGTCGCTCGGGGACAAGTCGATCGCAAGACTGGGGTCTGGCGACGTCGTATTCGCTTCGCCGAGAGCTGATATTTCCGAGCAGGATCATATCAGCGAGAACTCCGGAGACCCGATACAGGGAGAAAGTACAGCAAAACCGAAGAAAGCGCCGGTCGTTCGTCGCATGACGCTCGACCCCTCCGCGCTTGGCGTGGACCCTAGAGCGGGAATGAAGAAAAAACGCAGTGGCAGCAGCGGTTTCGGGGATGTATCAACTGCAAAAATGTCTGGGTCTGGAACGAAGCAACTTGTCATGCTAAATCTGAATCATGTGCAAATCTGTGCTGCATGATTGCCGCAAGCTGTCCACTTTTGACCTAATCGAGAGGCAGTTTCTCGTGTAGGATAGGCATGGTAACACTAACGCAGTAGAATCTGTCATCATGCTCATATGTCCTACATACCAGACCTCATGGGTCATGGAGAACCTGCGTGACAAGTCTGGCATTCTTCCAGCAGACCCAGACACTTTTGCAGTTGATACGATGAAGAGGAGAACAAGACGGAGGCAGTTTTTCTGGAGAAAAAAGTCTACTCCCCGCGCGCAGGGGGCGGTCCATCGCCTTTAGCGTCGCCGCGATCAGGGCAGGGGACGATGATCTCGCCGAGAGCGTCTCCGAAGGCTTCTCCAAGGTCAATCGCATCTGGGAGCAGGTCGGGGACAGGAAGCCTTAATGTCGAAGGAAAGCACATGGCGCCTTCTCCGTCCGCTTCCCCACGGGCTTCTTCGCCTCGTCTCGTCTCCCCGCGGAACCCGCGGGATGACATACCTGCCCCGCGTGCAGGGTCTGGCGGGACCCACGTGATCAAAAGCCGGCCGTCACAGCGGACGATGGGGATGCGGTGCGGGAGTAAGGAGTCCAACGTTACGCCGACGTACGGGACGCAAGTCAGCTACGGAAGCGTCAGGATTGAAATCGTCAAAGTTGAAATAATTTCGCATGCATAATTAAATTGCAAGGCATGGAGTGCCTCTCTTGCAGGGATGGCAAGTGAGGCCGACTGTCAGCCTGTTTCTTTGGGGTCTGCGATGCAGCTGCCAAAGTAGCATGACAAAGGACGCCTTCTGTCCCTAAACAGCATGACAAACTGGACTTAGAGGACGGTGCCGAAATCTGTCATGCGCCGCTTGGTAATTGGGCTTTCAACTGGTATCGATTTTATGCATTACAAGTTATATATAATTTCAACTTTGTCGATTTCAATCCTGACACTCCCATATCAGCCCGATGGAGAGAGCGCCAGGAGGTCGCGACCAAATCACACCGACTTCTGAAGCTGCAACGAGAAGCCCACGCGGGGACATGATGAGCCGGAGTGGCAGTCTGGAGTCCAACATGGCCGCTTCCTTCATCAACGAGTTATCCGCCGGAGATGTCGATGTGGTCGGACCACTACGATTAACCCCCGGCGAGGTCGTCGAAACCGACGCGCCGAAAGAATTGGCGAGAAGAGTAGGCGTCAACATGAACGGGCCGCCCGGGTCGAAGAAGTTACGAATCTTACACGTGTGTCTCCCGGTGTACCCCCAGCCTACTCTCTCCGCCCGACTCGCCCGACTGAGCAAAGCGAGCCCGAGAACTGCTGCTGGTGAACAAGGTGGCGTGAGCCCCAGAGGGGCTGGCGGGCCTGGGACAGAGGCGGAACAGCAGGCACGGATCAAAAAGGAGAAAAGAAAGAAGTACGAAGACATCGCACTGACACCGGAAGTATCAAATGCAAATAGGTCTGGGTCTGGAAAATTTCGAGATTTGTCATGCAGTTTTTCCAAGCTCTAGCTCCACCAAGTCTGGAATGCAGGAGGGCCTAGCATGATCACAGGTTCTGCAGCCCCTTGGTGATGCCTTTTCTGCATGAGAAACGGGGTCCCTCTCGGCATGGCTAGAAATGGGGACCTTTTGCAAGTCATGCAGCCCAGATTTTTGTATGATCCGCTTCCGCAACACGCATCACAAGTTCGCATCCTTCCAGACCCAGACACTTTTGCAGTTGATAGGAAGCGGCACAACAGTGTTTGAGGGCTGTGTGCAAGGAAACACTGTTTTGGTCCGTTCTAGGGGCGACGAACCGGCTGTCCTTATCGGCCATTGCGGAAGGAGGTGGGGAACATCAAAAGCAAAACCCCTCATCTATGGCGTTCTCAATTGTTACATTCTCAACTGTTGCATGAGTTTGTGATGCAAGAATGGCAACAGGAAAAGGCCGGATCTTGCAACTCTTGCATTACAAATTCGGCACAGATTCCCATGCTGTTTAGCCCTGCCAAAATTTGTCATGCGAGGCAGCTTCACTGTGTGGACGTTGGTGCTCATTCTGCATGACAAACCATGTAACAGTTGAGAATGTAACACTTGCGAACGCCATATCATCTCCCCGTCCGCAAGACGACGGAGCTATCAAATGCAAAAATGTCATCTGGGTCTGCGTCTGGAAGAATATATGTTTGTCATGCTTGTCTTTCATGACTCTTAACCTTAAGTCTGTCATGCACGTTACCCAAGAGCTCCATTTTTCTGTGAGGCAGGAACGCAGTTTGTGATGCAGAATAGGCAACACCTAGAAGCTCAGAAACTTGTCATGCTGAGCCAGCATTTGTGGCCTCATCATGAGACGCCACCCAGCATCACAAGTTTCCAGACCCAGACACTTTTACACTCGATAGGAGCCCGGTTGGTGCAACGATATACCAGGCTGTGCTACGCGCCGATCGGTTGCGGCTGCAGGGAGTACCCACTGCAGGTCGCGGTGACGCATGCCGTCAACGGGTGGTTTGAGGCCGTGCAGACGTTGAGACACCAATCCCGGGGACGGGTCGCCGGGCAACTGATCTCGATCGAGGTGCGCTTCAAGAAGAACGTCGTCGCGTTTCGGGAGTGGGACAATATCCTGTGCAAAAGTATCGTACTCGTAGTAATCGCAGTCATGGCATGCAACACAAATTTTCATCTCAAGGAAAAACAGCATTACAAATTCCATTTGTCATGCTGAGCTAATTTGTAATGCGATTAATACTACTAGTACGATACTTTTGCGATGCATAGACAACTTTCTCCGGCAATCCTTGCATGTTAGCACGGAAAAGGATTACAAGAACGCAGTGCGGGAATTTACGGTGAACATGCGCGGATTCGATGGCGGCAGGTCCAAGTTGTGTTGCGGGTTTTAGGTGGAAGATGGGCACCAGCACGTGGTCTGTGTCCTGCTTCAATATCGAGAACTTTATGTGTAGCTGCGTTCCTATCAAAGCTTAAGCTACCAGTAGTTACATGTACAGTCTCTAATACCTCCCAGATGTAAGAACTGGAAAAGTAGTGGACGCCTGTGTCGTAGTATTTCTGTCCAATCGCGATCAGAAGTTGAAGGTGTAATTATCAGGAACTGAAACAAGAACAACTTGGAACTGACAACGAATTTAAGTAAATGTGTGAAGCAGATCCTGCATCTTCGACACGGCACTCATCTATGGCTTGTGACATTATTGGATCGCACTTCTACGTCTAAACAAATCAGAATTACGCGCGACAAAATCTTCAGACGCACGGTTCACGAGTTGGAATTCCAAAAACGACAAAAATTTTCCGCTGGCCGCACGATTCGGCAAGACCAAAGAACACGCTGTTCACGCTCCAAAAAAACGTCTTCGATTTGCTGAAATACTCAAACTCGTACTCGTCTCCTCCTCTATGGTTTCTGAGTCCTTCTTTTCGCCTCACAGAACGCAGCCACAAGCCCTGTGATGGTGAATTTTTACGAGCAGTTCATACAAGACACTGACAGATCGTATCTTTGAAATGAACGACAGCAACTGTTGCAATACTCTTTGTCCCGCTACGGCTACTAGTAGATCATGACCTCTTGCTTCGCAAGCACGGCTCCAAAGATGAAAGATCAACATCATAGGTCTTTCCCGCGTTTCCAAATTAAGGTAGCAAGGCCGCCGCTCAAAGAATGATAGTGATAAATGGCGCGCCGCATGTGGTCCGCCATTATTTTGCCCGAAAACGAAAACCAAAAGTAAAGAGACCTCGATCGATTCACGCTTCTCCACCTAACACTCAGCGACCGATATTCTCTCTCAACGTTTGGGGCCTTTCGGGCTCGAAAAAGTAAGTACAAAAGCACGCTATCTTCTAGAAAATAAATGACCCTCTAGCGATAGCGTTTTGGACGATTTTTTAGCTTTACCACTGAACAACGCCGGCGCTCAGATCGGCCTGCAGTAAACAAAACTCTACTTGATATTACAGATACAGCGTACTGAAAAGTTTAAGTGAGCACCCGAATATATCTTTATCTTCTTCCGTGATAGTATAGTGATTCTCAACAAACCTATTCTTTTTTGGCAACGGTTTTGCACCGATTTTGGTTCCTTGCCGAAGGTAGGTGCAGCACTCGTGTTTCTTTCCTGCATCAAAAACCGCCCACGTAAAACCAGTGTTTGTGTTAGTCGTGTTACTGTTCGAACCCGTGAAAGTAGTCCAAATACAAATTGTAGGACATTTTGTGTCACATTTCATAGAACTAGTCGAGGCTTCAGAAGTGTATTTGATAGAACCGCGATATCAACGTATTATTTTTGCATTCCCAGGAAAAAGTACTACAGTTTCAATTTAGCTTTTCTTTGGTCTTACGAACGCTTTTAGCGCAAAAAAGATAGACCTGACTGAACTAGTTCAAGTTCCAATCTGTGCCGTACAATTTCAGCAGCAGTTTCAGATAGAAGCAAACGCAGAATAGGGCGAAAATTGGAGCAAGCAGTCGTAAACAGTGGAGAGATGTACTACTAGAATCAAGATGGCAGGACAACTAAACTAGACCTAGGTTTGACAGAGGCGCAACGAAGAACCGAAACGAGAAAAGACGACAAGATGGCAGCTACTTTTCATCACCGTTTGCATTGCACTAAAGCCCTGACGACCACCTTCGCGTAGAAGCTTCACCAGCTCCGTTAAAGACGCCTACACATTTTTCTCTTCGGAATCTGTGCTGGTCGGAGCAGACAGAAATCACGCGGCGTGCAAGAATCTTTTGCGAGTATACATCGGCATCCAAACAACGACTTCAAACAGAACTTGATTCTAAAGTAACTCTCCTTGGAGAGCCTGTAACTTTATCTTCCTGGTACAGGAACGCACACGATCACGACTACAATCGTGGCGGTATCACCGGATTGCACGACGGCACCCAGAACTACAACACACAAGGACGAAGAGAAGAGCAGTACTTACTTACGACACCGAGGAGCTGCAATCCATCGCATCTGTAGACGTCGTAGTCGAGAAATAAGCTTCGCCCGTCACCGCCGTGCAGATTATCGAGCAAAAGGAATCGGTGGGCAGGACCTGATAGGGAGCAGTAGAACTTGTGAAAACAACAACAAGAAGCTTCCAACGTTTACAACTAGTACACCTGATACTAGCTACACCCGACTATAATTTTTATATCCTTAGCCATGGCAGCAGCCGTTCAAGAGAACAACCAGCAGAAGCAAAACTGGGGGGACATGAGCAGTGACGAGGAGCACAACCTCCAGCCTCAGTCCGCGGCCCAGCAAGCCCCCGGCGGCGGTGGTCTCCAGACTGCTTCTACGGTCTTTTCCAACGCTGACTCCACCTCTGTGCCGACAATCGCGTCCACGAAAACCGCCTTGGTGAAGGGACAGCGTTGGGCCGATGTTTCTTCCGATTCCGAAGTCGAGGAAATTGCACCTCCCTCCCGGACTATGACACAGCTGTCCTCGTCTCCCAATGGTTTGGGGAATACCGGTTCGACCACAACGTCGTCGAACAACAATAATAATCATAAAACAGCGTCTAAATCGGGGTGGAAAGACTGGAAATCGGATTCGAAAGGAGAGTGGAAGGATTGGGACAAGGACAACAATAGTAAACAAGCGGACTACAAGAAGAAAAAGTGGACGGACCAAGAATGGAAAGAGTGGAAGGAATGGAAAGACAGCAGTAAAGACCACAATAACTCCAGATTGTCAGAAAGGACAAGCTCTTACTACAGCAAAAACGACACAACTTCCACCGGAGGTGGTGCCGGTGGAAATAACAGCGGCGGTGGGTACAACAATAAAACGAAAGAAGGCCGGGATTCCTTCAGCCGGCGGAGTAGGAAGGGGGAAGGGAAAGACGGTAGTTCCTCGAAAGAAGGAAAACAAGATCTTAAGCGAGTCAGCTCCTCTACTTCCAAACACGATAGTAACACTGGCAGTACTAGAAAATCCGAGGGAAAAAGTACCGAGAAAGGGAAGGGAAAGAGAAGTAGTAAGAAGGGGAGTAAGGACGGAAAAGACAACAGTAGCGCAGCTGCTGCTGACGCAAATTATGGAGGCTCCGACATGATTCCGCCGGAAAAAGATAACATTTCCCGCACCGTGTCTACGAAGCGAAAGACCCGGGAGATTGGCGAGGACGAAGATTGGTCTGCCGACGAGGAAGCGGTAATACCCGCGGCTCTGCGGCGGACAGAAACGGAAGAGCCGGCAAAGGAGACGAAAAAGGGGACTAGCGGATATTTTGGTATAGTTTGATAAAGCTAGAAGTACGTAAAACATAAAGGAGTGCTCAAATTCGTTGCCTTTATCTCCATGAGAGGACTGAGCGTCATAATTTTGCTTCATCTGCATGACAAATCTAGTAAATCGCCTTCGAAAAATTTATCAATCAAAGGTCGATTCGGGATGGTGGAATCCTCCGATGAAGAGGACGACGAGGACGCGGAGGAGCGAGATTCCGACGGTGAATCTGAGGAAGAGCAGGAGGCTGCGTCGTCCGACGAGGTAATAGTACAAAAACTTTTTGTGTTTACTACTTTGTCATGCAGCTTGGTTCGCGAAACCGAAATATCTACGGTTTGTCTTGTCATGCGAAGAATTGGAATTCAAACTGGACGATGACGGCGACGATTCTGAGAAATCGAAATAGAAGTTCGCTCAGCACACTATCTAACAACACTACCAGGCCGAGGATGAGGATGCGGAGGAAGAGCAGGAAGCCGCTTGTTCCTCGGAAGTAGTAGAGCCAGGCGAAAATAAACAAGAAGCTGCAGTAGACACGACCACTACTTCCAGCAAGAATAACCAGGACGCTACTAGTTGTACTACAACTTCTATCACAGGAAAAAAGTGTTACAGTTACACATTTGTTGGAGTTTGTGCATCACAAAGTTGCTCGACATAGCAAAGAAAACCTGTGATGCGCAGACTATAAGGGAAAACACGAGTGAAATGATGCTGGCAAGCATTTCCTGCATGACAGAGGTTGTCTGTCATGCTGGGCCTGCAACACAATGTGTAACTGTAACACTTTTTTCTCCGGATAACTTCGGATAACAAAAACGCCGACGCGCCGACACCCACGACTGCCGCTGGGAAGAAGAAGGGCAAGAAAGTATCAAAAGGAAAAATCCCCCCTCCCCATATCGAAAACGAAATTTGTGATGCTGTATTTGAGTACACAAATCGACTTGTAATGATAGAAGGCCAGGAGACGCACCTGTGGCCTCGGTTGCAGGCAATTTGTCATGCTGTCTCCCACTTCCAGCTGCCCCCTGTCATGCTGAAGATGCAAGGCTTTCCCACGCCAACCAGCACTACAGTCCGCATCTTTTCCCTTCTAGCATGACAAATTTGATTTGTGACCACAAATCTGCATCACAAATTTCTAGTTTGAGTATGGGGTGGGGGGATTTTTCACTTTGATAGAAAGCAAAGGCGGCAAACGAAGACGAAGATTTAGACGCGATTTTAGCGGAACTGGGGATGGAAGAACAGAAGGGTATTCGTTTGTTTCTCGTTAGTTTTTGTTTTGTTTTTTTCAGAAAATATTACTGATGCACGAATTATACGAAGTTGATGAATCAACAAAACGAAAAGAGGCTGCAAATCACAAAATAAACGATAACTTAACTGCAAAATAACTACACCTAGGTGCTGATCCGAAGGACACTTCCACACCAAAGGCCGAGGAACAGTTGTCCACTCCTGAGCTGCTCAAGGACAACATCGAGGACGAGACAGAAGGCGCTGGCGAGCAGGTTTCGAAAAACAAGAAAAAGAAGAACAAAAAGAAGGCCGCAGCTTCCAAGGACAATAATACAGACACCAATACGTCAACTTCCCCTGCTGACGATACCGCCGGCGGTGGTGTGGTGGAGCAGACTCCGAGCACAACTTCGGAGGCCATCGCGGCAGTAAAGGCAATATCAAATGCAAAAATGTCTGGGGGTGGAAGATTTTGAGATTTGTCACGTTTGTCTGGCATGACCAAAAAGTTTGTGATGCCTGTCCAAGAAGAGACCCTTTTGCCTGTCATGCAAAAACGCAGTTTGTCATGCGAAAAACGCAACACAAAGAAGCGCAGATATTTCTCATGCTTGCCTGTGCATTACAGAGCATTCACTATTCCCAACGCAGCATTACAAGTTTCCAGCCCCAGACATTTTTGCAGTTGATAGGCAAAGCTGAAGAAAACCAGCTCCGTGTCAAAGGAAAAATCCGCAGCGGACATAGCCAAAGAAGAGGCACTGAAGAAAAAAGCAAAAAACAAATCCAAAAAGTAGATGTAGCCGGCGGAACAGATGCAGCTCAAGATGAAATCAAGCTACTTTTTCTTTTTCAGTGTCGAAAAAATGAAATTGTCTCTCTATACTAGAAAGGTGAAGTGTAGTCAAGAAGCATGAAGTTATCTTGACCGCGACCGAGAATGCGACTTCGCATTTATTTTCAAACGGTTCTATTTGTTGTCTTTCGATTTTCAGTTTACACACCTTGGTCTATTTCAATCCTGTTTGTATATCACACTCGAACTTTAACGGTCGCATGAAATTCTGTTTTACGTTATTCTGTTTTACTGTCTTTTGCTCTTGCTCTATTACACACACTTTCTGATATTGTTTGTTTGACATTGACACCCGTCTAATTTTCAACACTTTGACTTTCACTTTCTCTAGTCGGACTAGCATTAGTATCATTGTTACACGACTTTTTTATGCTGCCAAACAGGTTGTTATTGTTTCAACTTTTGTCGCGTATGAAACTTTATGTACTTACTTATCTACACAGGGCTTTGACGTGGCAGTTCCGCTTGTATGTATTGCCATCTCGGGCTGTATTGCCTTTGAGACCTCGGAAATAAAACAAAACTCAAGTCGCACTCCTCCTCGTACTTGAGTACTAGTAAGTACTACTCCCTCCCTCAGAAGGGTAAAGGCCCACCCTTTACCTTTCCTATGCAATTAAACGAAGATGATCAAGATGGGGAGCAAGAAGAGCTCGCGCACCTTGATCGACTTTTACGTATCAACATAACACTCTCCTGAAGAAGATGAAAAACAACAACACAACGGCCTCACTGGGTAAGAACTCAGAAGCTGCGGCACAGGTGCTCGGGGTCCGCCATTGAGGAAGACAAAGAACACAAAAATGGAACAATTCTTGAAAACGCGGTGAATAAATAAAAAGAACAACTATTTAGAACACCAGACTGACAAGCTGTTTTAGTTTTTTAGGCAGCTCTGAGACAACGACATTGAAACACAAGATGACCGTACAGAGGCAGGATGTGCAATTATCTATCACTTCAAGTCATGGATGACACACCCACCCAGGGCAGATTATTCGAGGGAAGAGTTATGCTATGTATCAGATAGGATAATTTTGATATCCGAAGCCGAACAAGCCAGTGCTCTTTTAACGAATGAAAACTTTCAGTATAACTCAACGAAGTTCATCATCCCTCAAAAATCCGGAAAGCTTTCCAACTCTCCGAGTGGGGCAAATTGGGATTTCTGTGGTTATTGACAAGAACCTCAACCTAGAGGTTTTTGTCTGCTGCACCGTGGTCGAGGAACGAAACACGATGTTCTACCCTGGCAGGAACGCTTCGTCACAGGCATCTACTGCTCGTGATGTTTTAGGGGTCTGGACAAACTGAATCTTTGGCAACAAGCCTTTTTTTTCGTTTTTGGTGGATGTTGTGAATCGCCAACAAGCATCGTTCCGACTTCTCCCTTCGGAGTTTCTTCAAAAAGAAAGTTCGGTCGTGGCATTCTCGTCTTCATCAGAAGAAGAAGATCAACGGATGTGAAATAAATTGGAGCGCACTTTTGAACACCACCGCCATAGCAGCCACAAAGACCGCTTCCAGGGCGCAAGCACAACGACCCCCCGCCGCGGGTCAAGCAGGCGCTCGAGCTGCGGGGAGCTAGTAAGGCCCTCCCGCCGGGGGTCACCTACAACAAGAAAACGCAGAAGCTGCTCGTGACGGTCCGAGTAAAGATGGATGACGATGGGGAGACCTACCCACTAAGCAAAGTGGTCGACCCGGAATTGTCTGCAACGGCCGAGGAGGCGCTGGAGGCCGCACAGCAAGCCCGCGCGGACGTGCTTGCGAACTACCGCGAGCGGGTCGACGTCATCCGGGCGCAACGCGCGCAGAAGGCTGAGGCCCCCGCCCCGCCGCTCGGGGGTCTCGCACAGTGAATTCGAAGAAAGGAAAGAATCTGTTCTGAAATTGAAATCAAGAGGTTCTTCACGTTGAAGTTCCTCAAATAGACTCCTCATTTTGAGTAGAAGTCTCGCGTACTACGCGAACGCTGTAAACTGTAAACTGTAAACGCATCCGTAGTTTCCGCTCCTTAGTTTCACCCAAAAAAGAAATCGGTGTCACCAGAAATCAAGATGTGACAAAATATATGACGAGACCAACCCTCGACGCCCCACCATGAGCAAGGGTGCAGCCGACGACGCCGGGTTAGCTGCAGCGGGGCTGAAGACCCCGCCGCGGCGGGGGAGCCTGACCAAAATGGCGCGGCCGCTGCAGATTTGCGAAATTGATTTCGATATGTATTGCAAAAGTATCGTAATAGTATGAATTGCAATACAAATTTCCTCAGCGTGAGAAATAAAATTTGTAATGCGGATTTACGATAAGAAAAAGATTTGTAATACAAGACTTGCACATATACGAGTGCGATACTTTTGCACAGGATATTCGAGGGGAACTGCGTCAAAACCTGCCATGAAAGCTTGGAAATTATCGAGGAAAACTTGCAGGAGCTGGGTATTTTGTTTTATTTTTGTGTCTAGTACATGAGAGACAGAGTCAGAGATCATGTTCTAGATTTTCTTGCATATGCATGGCAGCACAGCATCCTGAACCTGATTTAGCTTCACCTTGCTCGTACGAAGCTAGTTGTAATCCACTGCATCTAGTAGTAGTATAAAAACCCACGCGAATTGAATAAAGCAGGGCCAAACAATTGCAAAACCACAGCGAAATCGATGAGCAAACCGGATTTGAAAGTCGCAGTGATTAGCGTGATGGGGATGTATATCCCACGAAAAAACTGTTTCACTGTTTTTGCAAGTTTTGCATCACAAGTTTGTTACACATGACACTCAAAATTTCTTATGCGCGCTTCCCAAGGGAAAACACGCTTGCAAATCCAGTGTCTTGCAGGTGTAGCAAGACAAATAAGTAGTTCTGTGTCCCATTTTCTGCATCACAACTTCACACTGAAACAGTTTTTTCTTGCGATAATGTACCGAACAGGAAAGTCGTTCTTACTCGACCTGCTCTATCCCGTGCAAAAGTATCGTACTCGTGGTGATTGCATTTTTTATGCATTACAAATTTCTTTCTCAAGGTAATTCAGCATTACAAATTCAATTTGTAATGCTAGGCTAATTTGTAATGCAATTTCTACTAGTACAATGCTTTTGCACTGCATATGCTCCTCCGGTATTTGAAATCTCAAGGGCCGATCACGAAGTTTGACGCTTCGAAAATATGGCACATGGGAGAGAAGAGCTACAACACGGACAGTTACTCGCTATGAAATGCAAAAATGTCTGGGTCTGGAAACTTGCAATGCTAAAAGTGAATGATAGACGCGCCGCAACACGCAGTCGCAGCTATGCATGACAAATTTTGTGGCTGTCATGTCTTACGTATTCCGCATGGCAAACTGCCTTTTCGCATGACAGTTAAGAGGGCTCTTTCGTGCCTTTGCAACACAGATTCTCAGGTCATGCCAGACAAGCATAGCAAACTTACATTCTTGCAGACCTTTGCATTTGATACTCGTGGTTGGGAAACGAAACTAGGATATCGGAAGGAAGCACGAATGAGCGAGGGTTTCATTGGCGGCCGGGGATCGAAAAGTGCACCAAAGGTAGTGTTAGTATCAGTAGAATTTTCTTTGTTTGTGAAAAGTATCAACTATGATACCATCGTGCGTAAGATGATCCAGGATGGCGTCACGTCTTTTAGGAACTTGTCTTTACGGCAACACTGATAGCAACGTGCTGAGTAATGTTACTCCGCCTGGTATAACGTAGGCGATTTTCCAATATCCATTGCACCTTCGAGAATAATGTTAAGCCTGATGGTATGATTATTACGTTATACTTTGCACATTTTTGGTCTGAAGAACGTAGTGGTAAAGTGATGCAGCATAACATTTCATTTACAATCATCCACATCCAAATTCATCCTGTCCCAGGTATCTGGCTCTGGTCCGAACCATTCCTGATGGAAAACAACGAAACGGGCGAACCGCTAGCAGTACTCGTGATGGACACGCAGGGCGCGTGGGACTCGCAGATGTCCTCGGAGCAATCCTCGTGCATTTTCGGCATCACCGCTTTACTTTCCTCGATATGCATTGCAAAAGTATCGTACTATTAGAAATCGCATGACAAATTTGCGTAGCATGACAAATGAAAATATTGTAAGTAATGCAGATTTATCTTAGGAAGCAGATTTGTGTTGCATGATTGCAATTAGTACAAGTACGATACTTTTGCAAAGCATAATCGAAACTCATTTACAACTTACAGAACCGGATATCCGAGGAAAAAGTCGATAATCTTGACTACTTCACCACCTACGCCTATCCAGGAAAAAAACGGTGTAAGTGTAACTGTGTAGCGAGAATAGCATCACAAATTCGCTTTGCATTCTTGCAGGGAAAACCTGTCATGCGCAGCTAGTACGTGGAAACACGTGTGGAAGTAGCCTATGAAGCAGACCCAGCATGACAAGTGTAACAGTTTCGCACTTTCTGCATCACAGACTTACACTCACATAGTTTTTTTCTTGCATAACGCCGGGATCGTGATTCAAGAAGCGCGGGAAAAAGCTACTCGAGCGCTGAACAGCGTTTCGCCACGAGGAGACCCGAACGCGGGCGATGGAAGTGGCGCCTCTTCGAAAGAGAAACCCGTTGCAGCTGCTGGCGCCGCGACGGAAACAGAAGACGAAGAGGAGGACGACGCAGCGGGGTTGGGCGATATCCATTTTCTGGTTCGGGATTGGGAGTATTTCGAGGACCATTGGACACTCGACCAGTGCACGAAACAGGTCTCGGATCACCTGATGACGCACTTGGACCCGAATAGGGTCACGGTGGAGGAGCGAAGAGAGACGATTACCAGATTACACAACCTTTTTCGAAGTAAGTATTCATCTTACGGCTTTTCTTTCATCTGTTGGATGATAATCACTCTGTGTAGCAAGTAGGTCAAAAAGCGATTCTTGTTCAGATGATGTATATTTTGCATGCCAATAAAAATTATACCGCATAAACAACTGTTGTTTCCAACATGATCGCAGGCGTCAACCTGTGCTGTCTCCCGCACCCTGGGCCCCGGATCCCGAAGGCGAATTGGAACGGCTCGGTGACGGATATTGACACCGATTTTCTGTATTTGTTGACCCACTTCTTCGCGAACCTCTCCCACGGTGAGTACCCACTGAAAGTAGCGGCCCCACTCGGCCAGGAGCTCACCGCGAAGTCGTTTTGCCGGGTGGTGGAAACGTTAGCAACGGCGTTTAAATCCGCGAGGCCGGACGCAACCAGCTTACGGAAGGCGTTTGTCACGTGCGAGGTACAGGATTTTGTTGGGATGCTATCTTAGATGCGTCTTGTGCATGACAGCAGTTTATTTGTTTTGCATGGCAAATCCAAATTATCAACGTACCGCCTATGCCGATCATCCAAAATCTCTAGACCCACCGCGCCAAGGAGGAGGCGCTGGATTCCTTCTCAAAAGCCGTAGGAAACACGCTCAGCGTATCCTGAGTAAAAACGTACCCACACCATAGTCAAGTTGGGGAATCGGCTAGACAAATCCACAAGTTTTGGCTGTTTTGCATGACAAATTTGGATTCGTAGTGTAGTGCTGTTTGAGCTAGCTCAGCAGCATCACAGATCTAGTAGATCATGCTAATTGGAGCATTACAAATTCCAAAACACGACTGGAAAACGCTTGTTATCGTGCTCCGCATGAGAAACATTTTAAGCCTGCAGATTTGCATGACAACTCTGGTGTGGGTACGTTTTTACTCAGGATACAGCGGGGACATGTTGGAGCCGGAAGTGATGTCTGAGAAGCTCGTATCCAATGTAAAAACGTCCCCACGACCCCATAGTCAAGTTGGGACCTTAGCAACACAAATCCATAAGTTTTGGGAGCCACGCATGACAAGTTGCAGTCCGGAGTGTAGTGCATGTTAGCAAGGGCAACCGCGGATCACATATCCGTCTGCTTATCCAGTTTACAGCATTACAAATTCCAAAACCCGATCGGAAAAGCCTCTAATGGAGATGCACATTACAAATCTTCCTGTAATCGCAAATCTGCATGACAACTATGGGGTAGGGACGTTTTTACTCAGGATAGCTCGCGAATGTGAAAAAAGAGCAGATGTCGCTGTTCAAAAGCAGGATAAAAACGCTGTTCACCGGTTCAAGTAAGGAGGAGGAACAGTGTATGAAAGCCTCAGGTTGGAAATCCTCAAAGTGAAAAGAATTTGCAATGCAAAAAAACGACTCCAGTTGAAGCATCATTTCCACTCGGCGCATGACAAATTTTCCGGGCACTCGTCAAAACGTGTCTGTCATGCTAGTTGGGCAAAGGGGCGCCCTTCTCTCGTGCTAATCAGCAGCCCAATTCTGAACCCGTAGAAGCACAATAGTCGGCCTCCGTTGCGGGCTCTGCAATACAGCTTTTTTGGTGTCGCATTTCATGCATCACAAATTATTTCCACTTTGAGGATTTCCATTCTGAGGCTTTCATACAGTGGAAGGAGCAGTTGCTGGAGGAAATGCAAATCGCTTTGGAAGAAAAAGTATCCTGTGCAAGAGTATCGTACTAGTATGAAATGCATTCATGCATTACAAATTTCTTTCTCAAGCTAAATCCGCATTACAAATTTCATTTCTCATGCTCAGGAAATTTGTCATGCGATTTATACCAGTACGATGCTTTTGCAGTTCATAAAAAGCCACGGTGTTAGCCGAAAGAAACGAAACGGCCTATACGCAAGCAACGTACTATTTTTTTTTGTTCTTGTTGCGAGGTCAATTTCGATTTTCATTTTCATTACGCTGGTGCATGTGCGTGACCATGATGCTGGACATTCGTTGATAGTAGTACACTATTTTTACGCAACACGATGAAAAAATTCACAAGTCAAAAACATCTAGCATAACAAAATTTCGAAAGAACAGGTGGAAGCTTGTTGCAACACCTGTATTGACGGTCCCGGTCTGCATGAGCATTTTATCCTTGCCGCACCTGCTGCTCTACGCCTGCGTTGCTGCGGGTGGTGCCTTCCATTTGAATACCAGAGCAGGGGACGAGGGAGTGCAAGGTATATTGAAACTCCTCATAATAATGAATTGCTGAGGTACAACATGTACAACAAGAACAACAGCACAGCTGCAGCTCCTCCCACTTGCATGTTGTGTTGCGGATGGGGATGTATGATTTATTTTTCGCAACACTTTTTGTTTTTGTTTTTAGTCTTAGTGTTGCTGTTGATCATGCCGCATGAATTTTCTGCAATATCTATCAGGTTGGTTCGCTCCGGACGTGTTGGAGCGGGTGTTTCAGGACATCAAAGCCTTTATGACGCAGCGTTACATTATGCATTGCAAAAGTATCGTACTCGTATTGCAGTCATGCATTACAAATATTTTTCTCAAGGTAAATGCGCATTACAAATTTTATGCTGAGGGGATTTGTCATGCATTTATACGAGTGCGATACTTGGTTTTGCAGTTCATATACATCGACGTAAAACAAATGTCCTTCGTCGCCCGACGCTGCGACAAGCTCCCGCAGCAGATCACAAACACCGTATCGGGCGCCAACCTCGCCGCGGCCGGCGCCGTCGCTTCCGGGGCTGCAAAGATGGCTACCGACAAGGCGAAAAATGCAGCGGCGTTGTGATAAGGATAACTGCAGCAGCGTTGTGATAAGGATAACTGGAGATTTCATCTTCACTCCTGCAGACTGTGCTTGTTCCACGGTACGATTTTTTGGAGAAAGCATCATGGTCTTGGTCATGCGTCGAGTGGCTCATTGATTTTGTCGCATTGAAACAAAAGCGCAGCTGCTCCTAATTTTTTTTTTCCAGCATAATTAAGTATATAGGGAAGAGGTAGAGGAGTAGCCTGCGTTTTTGTTGCTCGACAGATTATATGGGCACATCAGCATACACATACTTGTCGGGAATTCGCTTTGACTAACTTATACGAATCATACACACAAATCACTAACTTGCCATGCAACTACAAAATTAATCTCTTTTCTCACAACAGCAAAGTCTTTTGAAACATGATAAGCTTGTCGAGGCTGTCGAATAGAGGAATGTCGGGCTGCTCAGGTGGCAGGCATTGAATTCGAAGCTGGCAGCATCTCCCAAGGCAACGAGTAGCACAAAAAATAAACTCGCTGCTTTATCTGCAGCGGATGTAGACAGTGAAGAGAGAGGCCTTTGCTTCAGAATCAGAAATTGTTCAAACTCCTACACTTTCATTTTCGAATATCAATATTGATCCCTGCGGACATTGATTGTGATTGTTGCCCAAGAAGAAGCCAAAAGTTCATAAGGCCACGCATTCCCTCACTTCGGTTTTTTGATTTTTTTCTGAACTATTTTCTTGCATGGATAAGTATCAAATGAGCGCATGACCACGACGCCAATTTCTATCGTGCGCTCCTTAGTAGCATCAACGACCACGAGCAAGGACTTCAAGAAATCGGTTCGAAGCAAATCTTCTAGAAGAACGGTTCAAAGATGTTTTTGAGCAACTTCCACTTGTTTCGGTATTGAAACTAGTACGAGAAACGCAGACAAATTGTTTCGGTCACGAGGCGATCAAATTTGAAATTTTGAGGACACGACCGGGTCTAGAGAATTTCTGATTGAGATTCTTGCAAGCAGTAATTATGGTTATAGTTCAGACACAGGATGAATTTAGATTCACATGGACGCCGCAAGACAACGCGGTCGCGCACCTAGTACAAGTAGCACTTGACTTGCCACTTGAACAGCACTGCGAAATTTGACAGGACCACTGCCCCAAAATGAGCATAACAGAATTACTATAGGCTCTACATATATTGAACTAAGTTCCGATAGAGAAGAGAACATTTTTTCCATGATCACACCTTATTTTGCGAGGCCCTTTTTCTCGCTTTTCAAAGGTTTTTCTTTTCCTGAAGAGTACTGCTTTGACTTTCTGGTGCGACCTTTTTTTCTCTACCGTCTACTTACGAGGTCTTATGTCGTATTTTTGTTGATCTAAGCACTTTCTTGGCTTTCGCATTAGTCCACGACGCAGCGCGCAGATAAATAGGAACCTGAACAAATTTAATCCTGTCCTTTATGACCTCATAATATCAGTGCGAAGTAGTTTTCACTCTGTGCTTATTTGTTTCGATTTTTTTGTCACACAAGTGAACAACATTTTACCACATCACGCATAGCACATCAACATCGCACATGAACTACATGATAAAAAAGATGGCGAGTAACCTTTTCGGACAGGGCCGGAGAGCCAAGCACGACAAGTTGTTCCTGATTTTTATGCAGCGGCTCTACTTGTGCCTCGAACTCGATCGAAACAACAAGTTCTGCGTCGAGAATTGTTAGTCTTCCGCATCGTCCGCGACGGCACCTGCAGCCATGGAAAATGTATCTGCGGACATGGTGAAAAATTACCAGGGCCATTTAGGTCGTGATGACGAGGACCACAACGGCGAACAACCCGATGCGAAAAAACAGCGGAGAGATCATGATCTTCGGCACGTGTATTCCTCTTCCAATTCCTCCCTTCTTGGTGGGGCGTCCTCGTCCGATTTGGCGGGTAGTGGAAAAGACGCGTACGAGCAGGACTTTCTGCTAACGCACCGAGGAAAAGAGAAGGTGTATGGCAGACGAGGCAAGGAAGATGGTTCTACCTCGGCTACGGCTACGGGTCGTGTCGCACGAGGAGCCCCCCGACGGGATGAAGAGGAATCTCGTACAGGAAGAAGTGGAAGCAGCAGGTACTGGGCAGCTAGTACTCAAGACCACAAACGTGCTGCACGAGAAGGAAAAATATTACCAGCTGGTGCAGGAGACGAGTCTCACGCCGCACGAGAGGTCGTGGACCACGATGCGAAATCCGCCGGCGCCACTTCGAGAGTTTCCTCCAAAATCTCTTCCCGCCAGAAAATGTTTGCGCAACAAATGTTGAATATGCGGGGGCAGCCTGGACAAGTACCCGCTCCGTCTTCCCGCAGCTGGTACGACAATCTCTCCTTGTACCGCTACGAGGCCCTGTTTGAGCGGGTAGCGCGGGACCTGGAAAACAACAGAATTACTGGCATTGTGCCGGACGACGCGGTCATTCAAGACGATCTGCACACGCAGCCGGGAAGCGAGAACAGCTCGGTGAAAGAGGAAGACGGCCTGGATGTTGGCAGCGTGTCCGCTACGGAGGAGGAAACTGTTGAAACTGGTGCTAGAAATGATGTCCTCGTAGTACGGGATCGTCAGCTTCCTCCTGGCGAGGAACAAATGAGAAACAGTACAACTAACGAGCCCACGTCGAGAGCGGTGAGTCAGAGCCGGAACATTGAAACCCCTGGAGGAGGTCCCCCGCACAATCAACATGACGGCTCAGAAATGTCCCCGGAGGAACTGGCCCGGTTGAGGAGACTGAAGAAGCGAACGCAAAACCGGAGCAAAGAGTTCCGTTTGGACAAAAACACGAGATCCGGAAGTTCCGACTTATTCAACAGGTCCAACAGCATCAAATTGCAAGGTCTCATGCGGAACAAAAGCAGGAGCACAACCAACAGCGATTATAATTTCTTGACAAACCAACTTGCTGTCGCGACAGGTGGAGGTGGAGCACAATATCGAGAACCAGCGAGTGAAGATTTCCCCGACTTGCTTTCCAGGTCGGGAACGGATTTGGATGTGAGGCAGACGGACATGTTGACGCGGAGCGGCTCGAATCTGAGTCTGACTGCGGGAGGAGAACATCATGGGCTGCTCCCGCAGAGTGGTTCTTCCGATCGCGCTGGTAAAGTGCCAAAGAAAAGCAATAAGCATAAGCTGATGAGGTTTCCCACGAATTTTCAAGCGCCGGTGCTGGGGTTGGCGATTTTGCGGTATGACGACGAAGACCAAGATGAACAGGAGGAGGATCATGTCGGCGAGCATGAGCAAACAGACAGGAACGATGTTGCAGCTCCTTCCCGGCAAGAAATGACACAGAGTGCTGGCAGTGGCACACCCCCCTCCGATGCCTTGTTTTCCTCCGGAACTTCCGCAGATGTTGCGGCCCAGCAAGATGTGGACGTGCACACACTACAACAAAGCATAACTGCGACGAATTGTGACGAGAATGCCACCAACCTGGTTCCCACGGTGAACTCCACCGAAAGTACCAGTTTCAACTACTCCAAATCGTCACAAAAACCGCTCAAAATGGGTGTTGCAACTCCCGAAGACGACAAGGGTTGTGGTCTCAAACCGCAGTCTGTGTATGACATTGTGGACCTCTCCTCGACTCCTGGGTTTCTGATCGACGAGTATCAACATGGCAGTATGGAAGGAATAATGCCCAGCGACGTAGAGGAAAAGAAGAAGCACATGAAGAACTACAGTTCGGATATAGATAAAAAACCGACCTCTAGTATCTCTTCAACATCTCCTGATGATAGCGCCGACCTTTGTTCGCGAGGTAGAGTTAGCACCGAACTCTCAGAGGGACCTGACGAAAGCGCCAGAAGTAGTGTCTCCAAGGAAGTAGGGCAAGAGATGATTATAAGCGACACGACAAACACGCCTGCTGGGACAACTGGTAGCACGACCACAACTACATCCGGCCTTACAGACCCCGCGGCTGTTGCGGCACCACATCTAAAATCCACTCTTCTCTCCACGAATCTCGCGCCCCAAAACGCGTTCGACTTCAGCCTCCGGTCTGTTTCCGCTCCGGCAAACAAGCGAAGGCTGTCGACGCCTCGCAGGTCCCGACCGGACAGCGAGCTGACGCGCACCTACAGCCGAAAATCGGTATTCCGCATGCACAGCCTGATGCGGCAAGACAGTTTGGCCAGCGGCAGGAGTACCAGTAGGCCCGCGTCCACTACAGGAGCATTAGCCGAGGTTGACCCGATAAAATCGCTCACTTTCGGAGGCTTGGGACTGAATTTCGCAAGTGCTGAACAAGCTGCAGACTCCAGCACTGGGACCATAGGAGCGTTTCTCGCGAACTCCGCCCCTGGTAGCGGGACCATGAGCGGTAGTTACACGACCGGAGTTGGAGATCATGATGCCTACAACACACAAGAACACGCATTCCCAGACCAGCCGAACACCTGGCATGGCGGCAGTGCGCGATTCGAGCGGCAGCTGGTGGATCTTAACGCGCTTTTCGAGCACCGAGAAGAGGACGAGGAGGGAAAAATCGTGAGTAGATCGGGTTCACAACTCGAAGGCACGACGACGCAGCTGGATGATAAAAGTAGTGCAGGAACAAGCACTACTTCGGGAAAGAACATCCTCGCTAAGCCTGTATCAGAAGAAGCTGTACAACTATCACCAGTTGTATTGCCTAATAACGCAAACGTCAACGGGTCTTCTCCCGTCGTCTCCGACAAACGGGACGTTTCGACTGCGACGAATAGCACCGCGGAAGTGATGGGCGTGGTCTCCACTTCTCCGTCCGAGACGAGTAGCGCAACCGCAAGCCCAATTTTTCACAAGAAAATTGTCGCGGTTCTTTCATCCCAGCAGCAGACGCCAGCTGCAGTAGATGATGTCGGTAAGAGCACAACATCAGATAATGTTCTTGCCAACTCGCAGCAGCTTCTTTCCCCTGTCATCGAAAAAACAACCTCACTCGGAACAACTAGCACAACCGTTGTTCAACAAAATTCTCCGGCGTCCTATGGTGGTGGTAGTGGTCCTCAGCTCCTTCTTGACGGGGGTTTAATCGGAGGACATCAAGATGAACTGGCGCAAACTATCGTCCCGCAAGGCGTCGTGGCCGCGCAAGCAAACGCCACGCCCGCGGCGGACTACCCGCTTGTGCTCGAAAAGGTCCAGGGGCTAACGCCGGTGGTGGTGTATGAATGCAGCGTGGTAGAAGAAACAAACCGGAAGCCGTTTCCCGACGAGGTTTTGAAGGCCTTCGCGACCAGCTTGCAAAAGCTGAACAACGACGACAATGTGGGCTTCATTTCCGGCGAAGACGGGTTGATGTCCAGCCTGCAGGTCTTAGCCCACCAAGTGACGAAAAAGCCCTGCTGCATGTCGCCGCTCCTCCTATTGCCCACGTACGCGCGCTGCTACCGCCCGGGTTCGAAGTTTCTGATCTGTACCGTGGGCTTGGAAAACGACTCCGTGTATCTGAACATTGCAGATTTGGCGGAGCGCGCCGGGTACACGGAGCAAAGGTTCCGCGATTTGTTTCTCATCGAACGGTTCGAAGACATCTTGCTGCAGTCCCAGGATGATTTGGAAAAGCAGGGGGAGATGATACTGGATCGGATCTGCTCCAAGTTCCGGGGCATCTTTCGAAGATCGACAGCAAACGGCAACTCAATCCTCACCCAAGAACAACTCCCGGAAGCACAAGCAGAAGGTCCTGGTGCAACAGGCGCCGCCATCCCGTTATTTCCAAGCGTTAGATCTACTTCTGGGAGCAGAACGAGCATTGGTGCGGCGGATGGTGCAGGTGGAGTAGTACAACCAGGTGAAATGGAAAGCGAGAATGCTGCTAAAACAAAAGCAGGCATCGTGCGAGCAAGTGAAAGACCCGGGGGCGAGGGGGAAAATAATAATGAACAAGAACATCAACCGCGGAAAACAACAAGATCGTTGTATCACAGTGAAAAATGCCCCCCACACCTGAAATTGCAACAATTTGTGATGCGAAGTTTCCAAATGAAAGCTTTTTGTCATGCATGAAAGGAGTAAGAATCTTTCTGATGCAGATTCTAGTCGTGTTTCGCATCGCTTGCATGACAAGCACCGCTCTTGCTGGGATCTTTTGCAATACAAATTTTTGCTATTCACGATCGGAAATCTGTGATGCTGATACACGCAAGAGGGCGAGTGTTTCACTTGGAAAGATTTGCAATACAAATGCTTTCAAGTTCGGGGGTGGGGGCATTTTTCATTGTAATACGTTGCCCCGTTGCTCTGGAATTTTTGTCGAGTGTGCGGAAATGATATTGTGAGGAAAAATCCCCCCATCCCATATTGAAAGCCTATGTTTCTGAAAATTTGTCTTGCTGATTTGAGGTCACAAATCGCATTCGTCTTGCAAGAAGACAAGGTGAGAAGCTTCCGCCTCATTATGGAAGCGGTTTGTCATGCTGTTGGACCTAAAGGGGAGCCGTTTGCCATGCTGAACAACTAGACCAATACGCCCCTACCGAGCCGGGGGATCTGGCCGCAATGCCTCTCTGCATCACAAAGCTGAATTGTGTACACAAATCCAGCATCAGAAATTCCGTTTTGATATGGGGAGGGGGTATTTTTCCTTACGATAAATGACGGTGCACAGTGACCTGTTGAGGGAGGAGCTAGGGGTCCCTGTGTGGGACATGGTGTCTCTTTCCCACGCTTTGATGCTCGGGTATTTGGAAAACCCTCTTTTTGGCAGACTGGGCTGGCAGGTCCACGGGAGTGGTGGCACTGCGACTGCTCCAGGCCTTGTTCTGACGCAGGATATGCAGCCACAACAACTCAATGACCTGAACGCAGCTGGTGGTGAAGGTTCAGAGGAGTTGCTGTCCGAAATAAATGCTGCTGACAACGACAAACCGGTGCACAACGAACCCTCGGTGGACGAAAATTATTCCATTGTTCCAGACACCACAACGATGACCACTGGCGCTGTTGATGTCGACCATTTGGTGAGGGTGAACAGACGGAAGAGCATCACTAGACATTTCTCCGTGGCAGGCAGCAGTTTTGTTCACCAAAAGGACGACCAAGTGGAACAAAATCATCTACTTCATCTTCAAAATGTTGAACTAGACTTACGACCCTCTGTTGCCCAGCTCGCTTCCTGGGCTGGGAACAAACTAGTCGACGATGAAGACAGAGCGTGCTACGCTGCGCAGCGGGACCAAGTGAAGGCCCTGATTGATTACATCTTGGCGGAGAATAGGAAGCTTGTGTTTGATGCTGCGACCTCTAGGCCACGGACGGCGAGTGGCAACGTGATCAATCCGGTAGTTAAGCTTTTGCCGGAAAGCGCCACGTTTTTGAGCACAACGAAAAAACAGCTGACCAATTATGCAGTAGATGCAGGAGTGCAGCTGTCCTCCGACGTTGTTGATCATACGTCGCAAGAAGTAGGAGGTGCGGCCAACACTTCTTCTGCTACTCCTGCACCTCCAACATCTTCAGCCACTACAACTTCCTCCTTTCAGCACCCGGCGCTCGGGTGTCTCCGCCTAGACTCTCTGTACCGCCCCGCCGCCGGGGATGTGGCCGACCCGCGGTCGCACGAGTTCGCTTTGGTGAATCGGGTGGTTCCTGGATTAACTTTCGAAATGTGCCGGTCGGGCACCTTAACGGCGGAGGTGCGGCGGAACTTTGCCCGGGCGGTGAAGTATCTCGACAAGCACCCGCAGGTGAAGGTGATAACCGGGGATTGCGGGTTCATGATGTTCTTCCAGGAACTGGCGCAGGCGTTTACGCGCAAACCGGTGTGCATGAGTAGCTTGATGCTGATCACGGGGCTGAACCAATTCATCCACCCGGACAAGCAGATCGCGATTTTGACGGCAAACTCCACGGACTTGGAGGATTTGATCCCCGTCGTGTCGCGCGTTTGCGGGGTCGGATTGCAGGCGTTCGAGACGGATTTGGTGAAGGAAAACCGAGATTTGGCGAGCTTCATCTCGGCCGCAAGCTCCCAGGCGAGTTTTATCCCGAGGGGGTTGATGGGGCCAGGATGGGGTGCTGCACCAGGAGGGCCTCCAAGAACGCCGAGTGCGATCAGCGTAAGTTCGGCGACTGCAGGTGGTGGAGCTCCAGGAGTTTCAGCCAGTGCAGCGGTGGTTACGACCTCCCAGCAGCCAACGCAGGATACGGTTTTTGAGGGAAAAATTCTGGAAATCGGAGCAGCTTCAGACGGGAAAGACAAGCTGAGCAGACCACATGCGCAACATCAAGACTGGCAGGAAAAGCATGACGTCGAGAACCAGATGTACCAGCAGAGCATGCCAGACCGTGATCTTCCAGCACGTGAAGGAGTATTGAACAATCCGCCGTCGCAGCTGGCGCAATCCTGTAAGACCCCACCTCTTATTGAAGAAAATATTACCCTCGGGACGACACCAATTTCAACTCCGGGTAGAGGTGGTGCCAGGAAAAAAGTAGAAAAAGGAGCTCCTAAAAGTACTGCCTCCGCAAGCAACCCGCTTTCCCGCACCCTTTCCAACTCTTCTGACCGATCTACCTCGAGGATAAACAACAATAACGCCAGCAAAAGTGATAGTGGTTCTACTACTGCCAAAAATAATTATGCGGCGGATCCAAGTTTCCTCGACGCGGTTGCGACGAAATTGAAATCAGAACTGGGACAGCAACTCGTGGATGAATTTTACAACAGTTTAGGGACGAATGGGAGCGACGATAAAATCTTCACACCGGACGAGCAGGGCGACCCGGTGCAGCAGCTTTCGAATGCGATATTACCTGATCAGAAGCAAAACCTGTCAATATCTTCCGCATCAAATTCAAATTCTCAGTCGGCCGGCGGCGGCACCAGCGATGAAGTAAGTTTGAATTCCTCTTCGAAGATGAAGAAGAAGGCGCTGCGTCGCATGGACTCACCGATGCCGGAAAGTTTCGTAAAGCAGACGTCTTCGTCTACTACTTTCGGGTCTTTCCGCTCTAACATTTCCGGCGTGGTGGTCCTAAACACAGCAGGTGGACAAGATCAAGAACAGCGCCCGACGTCAAACTCTTCAGGAGATTCGCTTCGTGTGCCGGCCTCGAGCCCGAGGGACGACGTTGATGAGGAGGACGATCATGAGGGTGTACTAGCACTTTCTCTACTTCGTTCTCAAAATTATTCCACGACCAAACTGGGTAGATCTTCAAAGCAGGAGGACATCCAGACTACACTTTCCTTTTTAGCCGGAGGAACGATCTCAGGAACTGCGACCTCCTCAAGCAGTCTCTCAGGTGCTGGGACGAGCACCAGCAATACGGAACAAGAATATATCGCCGCGAAGACCAAATCCGAAAGTTCCTCGTCGACTGCTCCTCCTAAAAATAATGTAGTAGTGGTTCATGCGATGCAAGATCGAGAAATTCTCGAGGAGCCATGCCCGGATGCAGAAGTGAATCTTTCGTTGGCGAAGCAGGAGAAAGAAATGATCAACAGTAGCAGTAGTTCTACAAACAATAAATCCGCCGACCCGTTTGTCCGCAACATGCTGACGGAGGAGGAGGAGGAAACGATGCTGATCAAAGGAATCCTCTCCCGCTCCACCTCTCTCCAGGCCGCCGATGTCTTCGGCGAAAAGCCAACCACCATGCGAACGCTGAAGCAGCTCGCGGCGGATAGGACCACTAGTCCCTACGACAGTCCGGGGGCTGGGCAGCTGGTTCGCCAAGGCGGCGCTGGGGGAAGTAGCAGTGCAAATATGTTTACAACTTCTCCCGGCGGAGAAACCCCTCCGTCCGAAGAGGACGATATCGTGCCGATAGAGATTGGGAACAGGAACACGAGAAGTACAGAGAGTGCTAGTAACAAAAGTAGGTCCACAGGAAATCGTCCCACTACACGAGCGTCGTCCACGACCCCCTCCCACAAAGGACCCAGTCCTGGTCACAGTGACTCGTCTGTCGGGCGGGCTACCGGGACCGTACATGACGGTGATTTCAGTTGTCCCGCTGACGCAACGACGAACTCAGAAGAGGACCACGCAGCTGCTTTAGTACGGACGAGTACAACAGTGGACGAGAATAAAGGGGGTGTTGACATCAAGGAGAAGTACAGAAAAAGGAAGAACCTATCCTCGACCGCCGGTTATGCAAAAAATAAAAATCCCGAGATATACATCAACACGAGCGACGGCCAAGGCTTCAAGTACATGCCGATGCCACCTGCCGATAATAATTTCAGCGGCACATCAGGCTCCTGCGATACTTTCTCCGACACGAAGACGCCGGACTACTTGCCGAGCCCGCCTTTTGAGCCGATGCGCGTGCCAAGACTGACCAAGGAAGAACGGGAGTTCTCGTTAGATCCCTTCACCATGTCTGACCTTAGCTTCTCGACCACTTCCAATTCCATTTCCGCCTACACGACAAATTCCCTTTTCTCGCAAACGAACCTCACGAATTACAATTCCCAAATCATCAACCCCAATGTAGCTGTGAGTCCACGGGGCGGGGGCGGGCCGCCGTACGAAGCCAGCACGACCAGCAGCGGCCGCCCCAACACCACTGCCTCGGGGGCCGGCTCCACAGCCGGGACTACGAGGGGTGTGGTGGCGCGGCGGCCAGACTTCCCCGAGGAGCGGATCGAGGAAGATGTGGACATCGCTTACTCGGGTCTGAAGAACAACGTGCAGAGATACGATAAGTTTAATGACATTGCGCGGGTGGACACAAAAAAACTACGAGCAGTAGAGAAGCTCCGAAGTGTAGTCGCCGGTCCTGCTTCACCATGTGGGAGTTGTGACAACAATATGGATGATCATGTTGCAGTTGCCGGCTCAGGCTTATCTTCTGCTGCAGCTGGCTCCTCTTCGACGTCGAATATATCGCCGCGGGGCGGGGTTGACATGTTTCAGCCTGGGAAATTGTTTGAAAAGGTGAAGCTGCAGGAAAACGCCACTCTCAAATTCGAGAACAAGGGGCTCGTGGTCGGGGACGTTCAACATCTTGACAACGAAATAGATTGCAAGGACAACAACAGCACTTCTACCCAAGAAGACCCTCCGCACGACACCGTTATTACGCCGCAGCGGAAGCAACTTCAGCTCATGATGCCGGGGTTCGATACCGCAGAGAGCTCTTTTGTTTCATCTAGTACCGGCGCAGGGGGAGATACAACTGATACAACTGACTTGTTGTTCCCTAACTACGTAACCGGGAAGAATATGAAACACACTACATGCAGCACCGCGACTGAGGCCGACGTGACGCCCAGCATTGTCGCCGGGCGGGTGAGCGTTTCCGAGATCGACGAAATCGACCGAAGAAGAGCGCACCAGAAGGGCTTTAGCAGCGAACACCCGCTCGTGATTCTGGATCGCGAGGAGGCCGCGCGCAGAAACGCGGCGTTGCCGACCGGCGGCATGATTGACCCGACCCGTGACTTGCCGTTTGCATTCAGTCCGCACGGGAGAACGAGGGCTGATCAAGTCGACCAGCAGCAGCAGCAGCCGGGTGCTGGCACTGTTCCTTCTTCGCTGGAAAGCAGCTCCTCATTATTTCGGGGCAACAATGTGGAGAATCCGTTCGCGAATTTGATGATCAAAACCACTTTTGGCGGTGGGAACAAGACGAAGACTCCTGACGCAGTTGATGTCCGAGCTGCTTCTACTACAGTTGTTCTCTCGCATCAAACCACGAGTAAAAATAGTACTGCGATAGAAGCGCTTGCTGGAGCTACCCCTGCTTCTGAGGACACGACCAGCACTAATCAAGTAGACAAGCGGCTCGAAAGTTACAATAGCACAGGCACAGCAAGCTCCGTTATAGGCGCTCCGGTAGGTGGAGTTGTTGGTTCTGCTGCGTTCGTCCCTCGTGTACTTTCTTCCCCGCTGGCCGGCGTTACTCCAGTGCATGAACAAGTAGAAGATGCAGAGTCGCATGACGAGGCGCAACAACAGCACGTAGAGTCGCCGCTACACCAGACGAGAACCGACCTAGGGGTCATAAGATCAGTTGGAAATTATAACACCAAGAACAGCCCAGAACAAGAAGTTCAGAACATCAACAACAACCCCAGAACCTCCAACCGTCGGTCAACCTTTTCGTCCTCCGACGACATCCCCTGCCTACCCCGGACCAGCGACACGACGGGTAGCAAGGTGAATTCCCCCAGTTGGGCTATCACGACCGCGGAGATCCTCGGCGTGGACGTGGCGACAGACATTGGGCTGCAATCAGATTACACCGATGACGGGTTTTCGCCGGGGGAAAAAGCGGCGTTGCAGGTTTTGGTGCTGGAGAAGGGCGGCTTAGCGGCAATCACCGAAGATCAGGCGCTACCCGACGATTTGCCCGTGCACATGACTTATCAACTGCAAAAATGTCTGGGTCTGGAAGATTGCAACTTGTCATGCTAAATCTGAAGCATGCAAAAATCTGTGTTGCATGATTACCAAAAGTCGTCCAGTTTTAACCAAGTCGGGAGGGAGTTTCTCATGCAGGATAGGCATGAGAGAGATCGCATAGAATCTGTCATGCTAGGTCCTGCATTCCAGACCTCATGGGTCATGGAAAAGCTGCGTGACAAATCGCGCATTCTTCCAGACCCAGACTCTTTTACATTTGATATGACAACCAGCCCGGCGATTCCACCGTTTAACCCGAAGATGAACAATATGACTGCCCTGCAGCCTGGATCATTATCTTGGACAGGTCGTGGTGCAGCCAACAAGGATTTCGATGGTGCTGCTGGCAATATCGAAACTACCTTCAACATTCCGAATGCCTTGATAGAACGAGAGCATCAACGGGAAGTAGAGCACCACATGCTAATCGAAGAGCAAGCTTTTATAGAAGACCCGCTCTTTCATCTTACAAATACAAGTCCGCCGCCGGGTGATCTTCAGATGCTCCACATGATGTCCTCACCATCCTCCCCACCGTCGCTCGCTCTATTGTCCAAAACTCCGAGCGAGCAGGCACGGGACGCACACTTACGGGAATTTTTAGCGCGGAACCCGCACGAGCACGAACTGGCCAGACGTCAGCGTACGGACTCGCAGCAGGACCAAACAATTGCCGAAACAGGTCGGATCGCCGACTTGCCTGGGGGTGGAGCAGGAGCAGGGAACAATAAGGATGAGGATGAATTTTCTGGTCACCACGAAATAAACAGTGGCACGCAACAACTTCCGGGGCAGCAGACGAGTGGGAACATGCAACTTCTGGACCCCAGAGTTGCCCTGGGAACGACAAGTCGAGGCGCTCCTATTTCATTTCCGGGTCAAGATGACGCACCCAAGGATCATGCGCAGGAGCAGGTGGACCGCAAGAACAGCAGCAACATGCTGTCTAGAACTTCTTCTGGGCCGCACAATGTTCATGATCAGCAGCAGCATCACAGCACGTTCATTTCACATCCCTCCACCACCATCCACTACCCTTCCCTGGCGTCGACGGAACGCGGGGGAGGTAATAATTTGTTGCAAAAGACGAAGTCGAACTTGTCCGTTGACAGCTACTCCGACGCAGAGACGATTGTGCCCGGACAAGAAGGTCCAAGCTCCGGGGGAATATTAAACAACAACGATTATTCCAACGTGAATTACCACCTGCAAAGTGTCGACGAACTGGTGGAGCGCGCGACTGGGCAGGCACTGTCTCCGCATAGCAGCTCTCGTCCTGGGAGCCGGGAAGCCTCGCAGATCAGTGCTGCAACAGCTGGGGGAAATAAAGGGAAAGACCTACCATTAGCTGGCGCAAATAAAGGACAACAGATGACATCACGAGATGCAGCCAAGACCAAGAGCAAAGACGATTTACTTCTACTCGGCAGTACTTCTGAGGGTGCCGTAGTAGAGCAGTTGAAGCACGACGAGAGCCAGCACGCGATATTCAAGGAAGAGCAAGACGATGTCGACAATGTCCTCGCCACGGGCACGGTTAATTACTGGGGCACGCTACTGGGTCCGAGTTCGGAGATGGTCCGGCAGGCACGGTTTGTAGGACAGAACAAGCCGCTGCAGGATTTTTTGTTGGAAATTGAGCAAGAGAAAGAACAGATGTTGGTGAAATCCAAATCACATGACGAGAATTTTGCTGGTGTAGCTGATCTTCAGGGCGAGCATTTACACGCTACGCCGAGCAGAAGTCCTAGTGCCAGCCCGGCAGTTCCTGTAGTTCCACCCTTGAATCAAAGCCAAATGAAACTGCTGCCCCGGACCGTTTCCACGCAGAGCAACACTACGGCTGCTGGTGGTGATATGGATGTGTCAGAGTTGAAATCGACAGAGTTGAAATAACTTGTAATGCATGAAATCGATACCAGTCGGAAACCCAATTTCCAAGCGGCGCATGACAAATTTGAGTAGAGCCGAAATCCAGTTTGTCATGCTCTTCGGGTGAGACAGATGCCTTTTGTCATGCTACTTTAGCAGCTCTATTTCTACCCCGAAACAGGCTTACAATCTGCCTCCTGTGCCTACTCTGCAAGACAGGCATTTTCTTTGGTGCATTTTATGCATGACAAACTATTTCAACTTTGACGATTTCAAACCTGACGCTTCCATAGGTGACCTGCACCAAACTGCCCTCCAACGCCAAGTGTCTGGCCTGGAACTGATGCTTGGAACTTCTATCAAATGTAAAAATGTCTGGGTCTGGAAGAGTGCGCGATTTCTCATGCAGCTTTTCCATGACCCACGAGGTCTGGAATGCAGGACCTAGCATGACAGATTCTGCGCGATCTCTCTCATGCCTATCCTGCATGAGAAACTCCCTTCCGACTTGGTCAAAACTCGACGATTTTTGGTAATCATGCAACACAGATTTTTGCATGCTTCAGATCTAGCATGACAAGTTGCATTCTTCCAGACCCAGACATTTTTACATTTGATAACTTCTACACAAGGACAAGATCACCGACTACAGCACAACGTCTATGGTTCCACCTCATCACTATCCGCTCTGTACCAGCATATCCCGGTTGCGGCGCCATCCAGTGCAGGAGCAGCTGGCGCAGCTCATCTTGGCGATCACAGTTACAACCCCTATGATTTTTCCCTGTCTCCGGGTGCTTTCGGACCACCAGCCGCGACGGTTATTCCAGCGAACCTGAACATCGGTGACCCCTACCCGACGGACTTCACCAGCATGCCACTGTCCCCGACGGCCATTCTGGCTTACCAAAGACAGAAATTTATTGGAGGTTCCTCCCAACACTCCGTTTCCGGAGAAAGTTTGAATAGCTTCGGCCGGTCCACGCAGGTGCGGGGCGGGGTGACCACAGGAGCAGCTTCTTCCGTCGGAGGGGGAACTGCTCCTGGCCCACCTTTTGCTGGTTTGGTCCGCGCAGGGACAGCAGGAGCATCGAAAGGAGCTCTCTCGGATGCAGGCATGACAAACTACACCGGTTACACTGGAGGTTTGCAGTACAACCCGGCCGCAGCACGCGAATCCCAAGTCACTACTCCGAGATACACCTATGCGGGCTTGTCGGACCAGATCAACAGCGTGGGTCCGCATTTTGGCACGGAGCTTTCGCACCTGCAAAGTAGAGCCTTTTCCACGGAGGTCCATTTGGGAGGAGGTGGGCAACATCTTGCAGGTACTACAGGAGCAGCTCCTGGTGGCGGTGCTGCTAAAACGAGCACGACATCGCAAGTTGCTGCAGTAGAGCCGGTCGCCCGGCATATTGACCGGCAGCGGTTTGTGGTGATGGGCATCGAGGACTTGCCCAACTTCGACGGCATTTCCAAGGGCTACCCGCTGCAATTTCACAACTGCGAGGAGTTGCTGATCCAGAAGATCCAGCGGCTGATGGACGCGCATCCGGACATCGACTGCTTTCTGGTCGAGTGCACGCAGTTGCCAATGTTTTCGGATTCCCTGCGGGCGTTGTTCCAAAAACCGGTGTACGACATCACTTCCGCGGCACACATGATGATGCTGGGCTTCCAAACCACGCCGAAATGTGACGACGAGCTGTACAAAATTGAGGACGCGCAGCCGTACTGCTTCGGGATGGAACTGGGCGCGAAAGACCGGAGGAAGTGCCTGGAATTGCAACGGTTTCGCGATTTGTTCGACGAGGCCGGGATTCCGCTCGATAAAGATGCTGAAAGTGGTGATGAAGCGGAGAACGAAACAAGGAGGGACGACAGTCGAGCAGGCTTCTAGCTGTATTTTTTGTATTAACAACAACACGATAAAAACTGGGATTAGAACAGGAACCGGAAGAAGCTATAGCATGTCGCTTATTTTCTGTTGAACAAATGGAGACACGGCAGCTAGAGAAGTTAGTAGATGACAGGAGTTGTAGTGAACGGAACTAGTATTTTGAAACGACTAGTACATCAAGGACAAAGTCTACTTCCAGTATTAAAAGTAAAAGCTTACGAGTATTTTAGACCAAGAGGCCTTATTGAAGACAGCGGACGAGGCATGCAAGTTCATTTTGAAATCGAGGACACAAGTCCCCTGCAGCTTACGCAAAAACAGCTTCTGCCTTGCGCCAAAGCGCTAGATGTGATTGATGAACATGGAAGATAGCAGTAGAAGACAGAGGTATTGACGAGCGAGCTTTTATTTTGGATCACTGCAAGTAGCGACCACAAGAAATCTACTTCTGTACCACGGCACCAAAGTAGAACCACGCTAAGCGACAAGTAAAAATGTACCCAGCGACAACCTTTTCATCTCTGTATAGTGAAAATCGAAAACAAAGACATGCTCCGTGGAGAGTATGGAAGTGAAAAATGTTTCGTGTCCCGATGCTGATAGCTAGTGTGCTGGACGAAAAGAAATTATACATCTGAAAACAGCAACTTCATCAGAAAAGTTCTGACGATGAAAAAAAGCCTACCACATCGCACTTATCGCAGTAGAAGAGATGAACAAGCGAACAAGTTAGAAAAGTAGTATTTGTACGAAACCTCCGAGATGAACATAAACGTAGCTGTACCCAATTTAGTACGAACAAAGATTAGGAGAAGGAGTATCTGGATTCTGGTGTCCCCCACTGGAAGATGAGTCACTACATTTTTCTTCCACATGCTCTACAGAATTTTCACTACCTCATTTGACAAAGAGTACCAGTCCCTGTTCAGCAGGTTCGATGCGTTTGCAGCGACCTCCTACCCGCCTACAAACCTAGAATGATGTTCTTACCCGTCGTTATGCAGGTTCATCGTTATTCTTTCTGTATTGCATGTTGAGGACAGTGGATACTGAAGCACAGCAATATTCATGTAACAACGGTAGCTAGCGGCCAAACCGCAGCGAATACATTATCTGATGTATCTTTTGATGTCTGACTGATAGACCGAGAGTAATTGGTTGTACGTCAAAATGTCACCTCGATTTTGCTTCATCTGCACGACGTCGCACTACGTTGCAATCGTTTCACGTGGAGAGAGGGTCGTCGTTTAATGGAAGTTTCTCGTTGTTAGCTGAAAATCAAATAAAGCGACAACGGGTGCGCCGGGCGCAACCGTTGTCGCCTCCGTCGAGATTGGATCAAGCTTGAGCGTCGTCGCTGCTGTAAGAACGAAGTTGTTGCAAGTCGAAATTCGTCTTCATCATAAACCCAGCAATCCCAATCAGGAAGGAAATCGCTTTTTTTTTTTCTTGGGGGTAAACGAAAGAAAAGCAAAACAACAAAACGATATAAACCAAAATCGAGCAGCTAGTAGTAGCTCTCTAACTTCTAAACAAAGAACTGAGAGGCGAAAACTTTTTTCGCTGAAAAACAATCTTGAAAAGAAGGACGAGTTCTGTTCATCTACTTTTTGACACAAAAATAGAATGGAGCATCATCTCCGGGAAGTGGCCATGCGTTCCAACACGCGGTCGTTTTCTATGGCGTTCTCAAACGTTACATTCTCAACTGTTACACGATTTGTCATGCAAAATGAGCATCAAGCTCCGCACGGTGAAGCTAGTTCGCATGACAAATTTTGGAATAGCTAAACACCATGGATATCTGTGCCAAATTTGTAATGCAAGAGTTGCAAGCTCCGGCCTTTCCCTTTTGCCATTCCAGCATCACAAATTCATGTAACAGTTGAGAATGTAACAGTTGAGGACGCCATATTTTCCGCCGTCGCGGGCAAGCGGGCGTGGAGCGATCCGCAGACACACTGGGCCGCCGCGACCAAGCGCCCGACCACACCTTCGTACCGGACCGCGCGCATGGGCGGCTACAACACGAATCACGACGGGACCGCCCGACCGGGCACCAGTCACGGCACCGGCACCGCGCACCAGAACGCGACGCATCACGGTGGGTACACGACCACCACGTCTGGCGGGCATTCCAACCCGACCGGGTTGCCCAGTGGACGAGCCAGTTCTTCCGGCGCGAATCACGCGGGGGCTGGTTCCCATGCGGGCGCTGCTGGTGCTGCCGCTGCGCACCAGACAAACGATAAAATCGCCAACCACCGGGTTCTGCATTTGCTCTCCAAGCGTCCGCACTCGGCCTTTAACACGAACCGGAAGCGCGCGGTGCGACCCGTGGCGGTAGGCGGGGAGACCACGGCGCACGGAGGTCATCATCACGGCGCGCAGCACCACGAGCGGAAAGTGCGGGAGCGACCGAAAAGTGGCGACAATTACCACCACCGGACTTTTCACCACGCGATGAACGCGACGGTGCCGGCCGATGCGACCTATGCCATGAACCAAGGAGCTGGTGCTACTGGCGTCACTGGCACTGTATCAACTGCAAATATGTCTGGGTCCGGGAAGTTTGGACTTGTAATGCTGGTCTTGCATCCCTATGGAATCTGTATTGCATGATCAACAAAAGTTGCAGCCTCTTTGTCTTTTGTCATACAAAAACGCAGCTTCTCGTGCGGGCTGTGCATGACAAAGCGTTATGGGAATAAGTTGTCATGCTTGGCTGCAGTCGGCAGTGTTTCCATCATCCATATTTTCGCATCACAAGTTTCCAGACGAGACGTCCAGGGATATTTGCATTTGATACACCGCCGCGTTGAATAACAACACGGACAACGTGATTTCCACGGCTATGGACTACCGCCGGTACATGGACGAGAGACGCCGGATCCAGGCGGAAAAACGGCACCGGTTGAACAACCTGCACCAAACGGAGCACTTCCACGCGGCTGGGGCGGGTGCTGCGGTGGCCAAGATGAACCACATGAACCATACTGCAGGGGGGGAAACTATGGAAGCGTCAGGTTTGAAATCGACAAAGTTGAAATGATTTGTCATGCATAAGATGGATACCAGTTGGAAACCCAATTTCCAAGCGGCGCATGACAAATTTTCCGAGCACTGGAATTCAATTTGTCATGCTGTTTGGGCACAGACGACCGCTTTTGTCATGCTCCTTTAGCAGCTCTACTTCAAACCCTAAACAGGCTGACACTCGGCCTCACTTGCCATCCCGGCAAGACAGACACTCCACGCCTTGCATTTTATGCATGGCAAATCATTTCCGTGAGCGCAATGAGTTGGTACGTTGGCGAACGTTAAACGTACTCTGTTGGCAATAAGTTGGTTTGTTGGCGAAAAGTAAGGTTTGTTGGCGAACAATAAACGCATCCGTTGGCGCAATGTAAGGATCGTTGGCGAACGTTAAACGTACTCAGTGGGCGAAAAGTTGGACTTGTTGGCGAAAAGTATGGTTTGTTGGCGCAAAGTAAGGATCGTTGGCGAACGCTAAACGCATGTTGGCGAAGTGAGGACTGTGTGCGAAAGTAAGGAAAAGTTGGCGTAAGTGGGATCATGTGCCCGAGGATGATGGTGATGGCTTCGGTCCGCCTGACTCCACGACCTGGTGGCCGAACCATCTGCGGTGAGGTGCCCTTGCAGGTTGTGTAGTGGTTTCGGTCGGTTTAGCATGGCAAATCATTTCAACTTTGACGATATCAAACCTGACGCTTCCATAGAAACCTCGTTCGGGGGCGCGACCGCCTCTTCTCGGCCGGGGACCGCCGGGGCGAGCGGCAATGCAACCGCGAGTTCCGCGTCGAAGACGGCGGCTTTCCAGCAGCAGAGAGCGAATTCCAGTTCCGCGACGGAGGAGGACGTCGACGGGGTGTCTACGAGATCCGGCACCGTACACATGGGCAAGACCGCGTCGACATCGCTAGCGTCCTTGACGAACCTCCGGGACCAGATTTCGAACTCGAATCAGAACGCGCTCTCCACCTCTTTAAAGCACCAAAATGTCGTTCTTGGAGGTACTGCTACTGCTGACGCGGCAAGCCGGCCCAATACCGCCGGCGGGGCAGGAGGTTCTACACCGACAGGGTCGGGGGCTACGGGCACTACCGCGTTGCCATTTACCACAAATTTGGCGAGCTCTTCTTCGTCTTCCATGAACCAAGCGGGCTCCAGGACTGGTACAGGCTTGGTGGATAACGCCGCGATGGACCACCAAAACAAATCTTCCGGTAATGGTGCCCAGCAAACCACCACCGCGCAACAAGCCACCGACAGCACGGGATCCGTCCCGCCTCTCGGCTCCGGCGGACAGGGAGCGGGCGCACAGTCGAAGCAGACGCGGCAGTACGGTGAGCCGATCACGCTGCGGGCCCCGACGGGCACGTCCGGGGGTGGGCCAGCACAGTTGGACACCGGAATGGCGGCGCGGCCCACGACTGCACCCTCCGGTGCGACGAAACCCGGGAAACAGGCGGACGCGCAGGCCGCAGAGCAGCAGCAAAACCGGCAGCACGAATCCTGGCACCAGGACGACGAGCAGGGGACTTTTGGGGGCGCGCTCGCGAACATTAACACCTCTACGACGATTCACGATTACATCATCGGCAAGCAGATCGGGCAGGGCGCGTACGCGACGGTCAGGCTGGCGGTGCACAAGCCGAGCGGCAAGAAGGTCGCCATCAAAATCTACGAGAAGAGTCGGCTGTTGGATCCCCAGCGACGGAAGTCGGTCAGACGCGAGATTCGAGTCATGGACCGGTTGTCGCACCCCAACATCGTGAAATTTTACGAGGTCGCGGATACCAGCAGACAGGTAGCTTAAGGTTTGTATATGCAAACCCAACAAGGACAAGCAGCTTTGCTCCTGTTGTAGTTGTTGAAAAATTTCAAGTTTTCATCTGGATGAAAAGAAAATTCAATCGTGTCACATTTTGATTTGTTTCTACTCACTCCATAAAAATTAATGCTATATATAATCAGGTTTTCCTGGTCCTCGAGTACATTAATGGTGGCTCCCTCCACTACCTGCTCAAAAAGCGCACCAACCGCCGGTTGTCGGAAATCGACGCTCGCATGATTTTCTCCCAAGTCTGCGCCGGAATCCGGTACTGCCACGAGCTATGACAGCCTCAGAATGGAAATCCTCAAAGTGGAAATGATTTGTAATGCAAAAAAGCGACTCCACTTGAAGTGGCGTTTGTAGTCGGCGCATGACAAATTTTCCGGTCACTTAGAGCATCTCTGTCATGCAGGTTGAGGCAAAGGGGTGCCCTCCTGTCGTGCTAAGCAGCACTCCAATTCTTCACCCCTAGCAGGACAATAGTCGGCCCCCATTGCGTCCTCTGCAATACAGTCTTTTTTGCGTCGCATTTCATGCATCACAAATCATTTCCACTTTGAGGATTTCCATTCTGAGGCTTTCATACGAGCGGTTGGTGGTGCACAGAGACATCAAGCTCGAGAACGTCTTGGTACAGTACCCCGATAAAGCCGTCGCGCACAATATTGTGAGGAAAAATCCCCCCTCCCCATATCGAAAAGGTACGTCTCGAAAAATTTGTAATGCTGATTTGTGACCACAAATCGTCTCTGTCTTGCAAGAACGCAACCCCATAGGCTGCGCCGCATACTGCAGGCGGTTTGTGATGCTGTGGGCCCTACAGATTAGATGTTTCCCATGCTCAGCGCCTAGCCCAAAACCTCTCTACTCAAGCTTAGTATAGGCCTGCAGTCCTCTCCAGCAAGACAAAGCTGAATTGCGTATCCAAATCCAGCAACAGAAATTTCCGTTTCAATTAGACCAGAAAATCGGAAGAAGTACATGTTTTTTTGCGCATCCCCTTGCAACGGGGGTCGCGGGCTGAATGAGGTTGGGGGGTGCGAAGGCGCGACCGCGTTCCGGGTTGTTTTATCCCGGAAAAATTAGCCCCCGGCATTGCGGCTGCGCGGCCGGGGCCGGGGCGGGTCGGCTTCCTTGGCGTAGATAGGAAGGCGACGACACACAGCCAACACCTCGCCACCCGCCCCCACGCTGGGCCCACGTCGGGGACACACAACAGACGCGGCGCGCATCCCGGGGCCCCAAAGCGAAGCCCTTCCGGGCCCGGAAAAGCTCCTGCTTTGGCTGCGGCCTGGCGCGCCTTTTCCCTTCGTTCCGGGGCCCCGGCCGGCGGGTGAACTGCAGGCCCCCCAAGAGGCACGCGCGCCTCCCCCTTTCGGAGGGGGGGGGAAAAGGGGGCCCGAATTGGCCCAATTCGCCTCCCTTTTTGAGGGGGGGGGTAAAATGTGCCCGATTCTGGCTCATTTTGCCCCCCCCCTGTAGTAGCGGGGGAAGGCCATTTTTTGCCCCCCCCCTAAAAAAGGCGGCAGAATTGGGCCAATTCGGCCCCCTTTTTACCCCCCCTCCAGAAGGGGGGGCCCGCGCGCCTTCCGGGCCCCCCTTCCCGGCCCCCCAATTGTGGGGCGGCTGTTGTTGCGGCCGAAGCAGGCCCCACCTTAGGGGCGCGCGCCCTACTTACTGCTTCGAGGGCCGGCCCCTCCGGTACGGCGGGCAGGCCCATGCGCTTCCGGCAAAAAACATGGCGGCGGCGCACCGGCCCGACCGGGACGGGCCCGCGGGGAGGCCGCTTGGTGGGGCGGCTTTTCTCGCTCTTGGCGGGCTTCGAGGTCGGGAGGCCGCCCCGGCTCTCTTTGGCAAGCCACACCCCCCGAGCCGCTGCATGGCGCAGCGAGGTCCTCGGGCCGGGTGTACTGTCGGGGCACCCCGCCGCCCCCGAAGCGAAACGAAAGCGGCCCGCCATGCAAGCGGGTGCGCGAAAAAGTATGTACTTCTTCCGATTTTCTGGTCTAATTCAATATGGGGAGGGGGGATTTTTCAGTTTGATACACAACCAAAACCTGGCCTTGACCAGCTCGGGGCATTTGGACCCGCGGCAGTTAGTTGTCAAGCTGATTGACTTCGGATTCGCGAGCTTGGTTGTGCCGGGGAAAAAGCTGCGCGTCTTCTGCGGAACGCCCAGCTACATGGCCCCGGAGATCATTCAGAGAAGGGAATATGGCGGGTATGGAATTCATTTTGAACTGTTGTTTTTGTTATCGCTTCTGACTCGGGATGAAAGGCTGATGATACATCATGATGATAGTAGCTACAGGCACAAAAAACTGCGTGTTGATGGTGCAAGTAGAATGATCGAAAAGCAAAATATAATCTCTCCGGTGATAAACTACAGTTACTGCGTGGACATCTGGGCTTTGGGTATTCTGCTGTACGCCATGCTTTTCGGGCAGTTTCCATTTCGTGGCCAATCGGACAAGGAACTCTACAAGAAGATCTTGAAGGTACAGAATTTTTTTGTGATGTTGCACGAAAGTAGGCATGCCGCGTTTTCATTTTCTCACTTTCCGCGAGGAGATGCATTGACAAGTTGGAAACTTCTCGAATCAACCAACAATAAATCAGGGCGCCTTCGTGTTCCCAGAGGGCCTCGAGCAGGAAGTTAGCAAGAACGCCCGTGCCCTGCTCGCCAAGGTTTTCGTCAACATGGAGGTCCGCCCCACCATTCAGAACGTGTCCATGGATCCCTTCTTCTCGGAGCACCTGAGTAGTCGTCCGGGCACCGCGAATCACCACCGCCCAAGCTCTTCGCACGCAACGCTGAGCGGACAACGAGACCTGAATTTTCAGCACCATCACGAAGCAACAACGAGACCCGCCACCTCATCAGGGACCTCCTCTTCCGCGGGCGCAGGGGGAAACGTAAACATCAACATCCACAAAACCGCTTCGGGCTACCCGTTGCGCGAAGAAGCCATTGCAAAGTTGGAAAAACTCGGGTACGCACGCGAAGACATCTTGCGGCAAATGAAGGACGAAAACTATCAAATGCAAATATGTCTGGGTCTGCGTCTGGAAGAGTCATGCTGCGTTTGCATGACACAGAAGGTCTGGCATGGAAGCTCTAGCATCACAGGTTGCGAGAAGCTGCTTCCGCAATGCCGAATCCGCATGACAAATGCCCCATTTTGGTGACAGAAAGTGGGCAGCTTTTGCTGCCTATGCATGAGAGACTTTTGCGTGTTGTGAAATGCGCATCACAAGTTTGCAATCTTCCAGACCCAGACATTTTTGCAATCCATAAAAACTCACACCTCTCAAAACTCTACACCCGGTTTGTCAAAGCACTGAACGCGTGGGGGAAGTAGATATTGTGGTGCTGTGAGGTTTCTATCCATGTACCTACATTTTTCAGATCGTCTATTCGTGCTGCTGTACTATTTTCCTTGTTTTTTATCCTTAACTTTAGCATAACTCGCATATAGATATACGAAACAATAACAAATCTTAAAACTTTTATCGAAACAATAACTGCAATGCAAATTTTATGTTTTCCTTAAACTCCAAAATCGTTGTTACTTGAGTGTGTCCCGCGGGAGCTGGGTTGTTGATTCGCTAAATGTTGTTTCTTTACTTTAACATTTTTCTTTACAACTGTAACTTAAATGTTGGTAAAATTTTCGCTTTCTATGGTGCGCTTTCTATTTGGGTCTAGTTGTCTTTCTCAACCTTGTATCTAATCGCATTGAGCTTGTATTTGTATTCGGAAACTACAAATTTCACTAGGGTGCTCTCGCTTTCTTTGCCGGACTTTTATGACTACACAGCAACAGTAAGAACTTTATCAATTTCGAATGTTAGCAGAACCAGAACCGTATACTACGTATTCGACGTACGTATTCAACTCAGATTTTTAGCAGATCGATTTCAACTTTATTGTTTGGACTTTAACAACTTTTGCATTTTCAATTTTATCATTCACTTTTGCCTGTAACCGTTTCGAACTAACTTGTATGATGTAAACTTTTCGCAAATTATGAACTAGGTTTGAAAAGCACGTAATCGCGTTTCGTTCTTGTTTCAACAACTGTACCATATTTCTGGTTTCGAATTTGTCTGTCTACATGTACACCTCAACAGTTCTACTAGATTCTCTCAACTACAAATAGGGTAAAATTTCGTTTTTCGCACGACCACGAGAATACAGCCGGACTGCATCAAGTAGGACATGGCTCGCTTGCTCAACAACGACAACGAGGAGGCGCGTTGAGAGGACGTTGAATCTGCAGCTGTAATACAACTCGCATTCTAGTTATCAACCGCTCAGAGGCTGGCTGTCCGCCAACTCTGTTCGGCATATCTAGCGACCCTGAAAAATAAATTTCTTGCCTGGTGGACGAGGTTACTGGACGGCGCTCCGTTCTGCAGTTCTCCGTGGCGCCGTGTCCGGAGACAATCCCACATCTCGAGAGAAAAGAACAGTGTTGAAGTCATGTGATGCGGAAGTCAGATTCAAGAAGGCCGCACACGATCGTTTTCGTGTGGGGAAGTGGTGAGACGTGAGAAGGAGGAGGAGCACTTAGCCACGACAATTATTCTTATTTTTCATCAAGCGAGTCGTTGGCTTCAGAGACAGAGAAGTCAGTGCCGCTGAGCCGCGCGGTCGTGCCATGGTACTCCCGCCCAGGAACTAGATGCAACGGACGCGGTGGCGAGAGAAACGCTGTCAAAGGTAGTGATTTGAGTGAGTCTTTGCTGATAGGATTTGTATCGTGAAGATCGAGTTCGAGTTCGTTGCGTTTCTTGATATCATCCAAATGAATTGATAAGTCGGCGACCACTAGAACAACAAGGAATCCGGCAGAACGAAGAGGAAGTGAGATTTCTTAGAACAGCAGGATGTCACGAAAACAACCTGGAAAAATGTCCATTCTCCAACGGAAAAGGCGGGGCAAAAACACCCCAATCTTTATTTCCCGACGAGCAATACTAGTACAACAGCTGCTGCTCACCTCCTTCCTTCACCTGCATTCGTCACCCCGCTGTATGACAACAGCGGAGCGCGTTGAAGACCACCGTCATCAGCAACTACACGGTGGACAATTGCACCAAACCACCCTCGAAATCGTGGCCGACGCCGGTGTAAAAACCTCGACGACGAGCGTTGGATTGGATAAGGATTTCAGGAGCCAGCAGGAAGTGCTAGAAGCATCCTCTTCACGACCAAGAACACCCGGACCGCACGGAAAGAGCAGTGCTGCAGTACCTTCTTCCAGAATGTCGCACACGAGGACGACGAAGAAAACCATGAGCAAAAAGCAGGCCGCGGTCGTACCACGGGGAACAAGTGCCGCCGCTACGCCAGGACATGAGGAAGAACACGAGGAGGGAACTACATCGCATCATCAAAACGTCGGAGGACGGCAGCAGGCCAGCGACGACGGGCGGCACAGTAAGAAGAACGAAGTTGGTGATGTTGAACAACCACAACAAGTCGAACCAGCACTGCATCGCCATCAGCTGGCCGGCGCGGCGGGGACCCGTCGTCAGCACGAGCAAGAACACGCTTATCAAATGTAAAAGTGTCTGGGTCTGGAAGAATGCGACTTGTCATGCTAAATCTGAAGCATGCAAAAATCTGTGTTGCATGATTACCAAAAGTCGTCCAGTTTTGACCAAGTCGGGGGGGAGTTTCTCATGCAGGATAGGCATGAGAGAGATCGCAGTCGCACAGAATCTGTCATGCGAGGTCCTGCATTCCAGACCTCATGAGTCATGGAAAAGCTGCATGACAGAGCGCGCATTCTTCCAGACCCAGACATTTTTGCATTTGATAATGCTGTCCAAAGTGCGACGTCGACCATGCGGCGAGAGAACAAACCCAATAGCGAAAGCAAAACTCCTGCTGATGAAGAATTACTAGAAATTTCCACCCGCCCGGTACATCATCTTCAGAGTCGTGACAAAGATGATGAAGTGCAGGCTCTCCACCAAGCCGAGGTCCCCCGCCTGCAGAAGAACAGCACGGCTGCGAAGGAGAATTCCACCGGTCTTGAAGGTGTACAAGATGATGCGCTGCACGCCCACTCCAGCCGTTCGGCGAAGCGGGCACCACAGTTGATGACAAGCGAGCGGAACCGCGTGACGTTGGTCCAGCGGGCGGAGCAGGCCCTCAGCGACGAGAGCAAAGCCAAGCAACGTGCGTCTGCAGACGAGGTTGACATCACGCCAACTGACGTGGGCAGCGCCACGGCATCGAGCGACTTTGGAAATCCCGCCAACGACAACTGGTACAACCCTAGCAGAGTTATTGATGACGCATTGGACAATGTTTTTGCCACGGCCAACGACAACGCCGGAACCGCGCAGGTGTGTGCGTTATCATGTGCAAAAGTATCGTACTCGCACTAATTGCAAATATGCATGACACATCTTCTTCCAAAGGTGAAAGAGCATTACAGACCGCACTTGTCATGCTGAGAAAAGTTGTATAATGCAATTCGTACTAGTACGATACTTTTGCACTGCATATCCGTGGGTGCAGATCGATTTGGGTAAGGAAATGGCCGTGTCGGAGGTCAAATACACATTCAAAAAAGTCACTAGCCATACCCGCAGAATTTTTTTCGAGACGGTGTGGGGGGGAGATGCTGATATCCAGTACGAAGGTGGTAAGGACACGGCAACCGACAGCAACGGTGCGGAGGTCGGTGGTGCAGACAAAGGGTTCCGGATAGCGGTTTCGTCCAGAAAACGCGTGAACACCGACACCTGCGAGGCATGACGATGCACAACTCCCCCTCCCCCTCAGTTGCCACGCAAATTACCAAATGCACCCTTTTACTTTTTGTCTTTGGCACTTCTCGCATGTCAGGTTTCGGAAGCCGAAACAGCACCAGAATCGGTCGCGAATTTGTCATGCAAAAGCTGCATTTATGCCAGCACTTGTGTAGTTGCTGCTTAGTGACGCCCTTCAAATGAGCGGGGGGAGTTGTGCACTCTGATACGAGGTCCAAAACACCAGCGACTGGGACGACGGGTGGTGCAAGGGTAAGGCCGTCGGAGAGGAGTGTCCGACCACGGCTGAGGAGACCTGCGAGCTCGTCCTGTACGGCGCCGGAGGAGAGGGGCTCGCCCGCTTCACCCAGGAGACCGACCACACCGATTTTGCCACGGCTACCATCAATTGTAACGGCAAGGTCGGTATGAATTGCAAAAGTATCGTACTCGTATAAATGCATTACAAATTTCCTCAGCATGAGAAATAAAATTTGTAATGCGGATTTAGCTTCAGAAAAAAATTTGTAATGCATGATTGCAATACGAGTACGATACTTTTGCACAGGATAGTCGGCCAGTACGTGATCCTCGAGTGGCCCGGGGGGACTGGTGGTGATTCGTCGAAGACACGAATGGGGTTCGTCAGCGAACTGAGGGTATTCGGCGCCGAGTACACCGAACCGCCAACGACCGAATCGCCCGAGAAGGAAGGCGACGCCGCGTCCAAAACTGGCGCGGCTGACGAGAGCGCCACAACGACCAGGATCACCAGGCCCTCATTGATTTTTCTTGCGGCAACAACGATGGTGATGTTGCTGGCTACCAACTTTTGCGCTGTGTGGTTTGGTTTGTGATCGTCGTTTTTCGCACGACCACGTCGAGAATACTTACAGCCGGACTGCATCAAGTAGGACGTCGTAACTCTTCGCTCGCTCAACGAGGAAGTGCGTTGACGGGACGTTGAATCTGCAGCTGTAACACAACTCGCATTCTAGTTATCCACCGTTCGGAGGCTGGTTAATTTTCCTCCTCTGTTCGGCATATCTAGCGACCCTGAAAAATAAATTATTTGCCTGGAGGACGAGGTCGTTACTGCGCGTTGCTGCTGGAGTTGTCCGTCGAGTAGCGTCCGGAAACAAGGCCGCACCTCGAGAAAAAACAGTGTTGAAGAAGTCATGTGACGTGGAACTCAGATTCAAGAAGGTGAAGGCGGAACAAGATCGTTTTCGCGGAGAGAAGATGTGAAAAGCGAGGAGGAGCACGTAGCCGCGCCACTTATTTGTCAAAACGAGACGTTCGTTTCATATGATTGCTGCTGAGCCGCCCGGTCGCGCCATGGTAATTGTTTCTCTTCCGTCCATGAATTAGCTGTCAGGGGGACGTTGGCGAGAGGAGAGCTGTTAAAGGTTGGAGTGACAGTGACAGTGAGGCTTTGCCAATATTAGATTTGTTATCGGGATCGAGTTGCGACGTGCTGATTTCGTCCAAGTACTTAAATGTAATAATGAATCGGGGACCAACATCAGCATGGCAAGAAATATCGTGGTAGAACGAAGAGGAATTGTGATTCCGTAGAACAGGATCAGGATCTCATGAAAACTACCTAGAAAAATGTTCATGTTTCGACAACAACGAAAGATGCGGGGGAACAACACCGTGAACAATTTTTCCGGCCTGGCAGTGGTAACGCAGCTGCTGCTCTGTTTCTTACTTCACCTGCGTTCTCCTCTCGAAGGGCTGGCGGCAGCGGTGGAGCGTGTTGAAGACCACCGTCATCAGCAACTACACGGTGGACAATTGCATCAAACCACCCTCGAAATCGTGGCTGACGCCGGTGTTAAAACCTCGACGACGAGCGCTGGACTGGATAAGGATTTCAGCCAGCCGGAAGTACTAGAACCATCCTCTTCACGACCAACACCCGGTCCTCTGCACGGAAAGAGCAGTGCTGCAGTACCTTCTCACAGAACGTCGCACACGAAGATGACGACGAGGAAAACCATGAGCAAAAAGCAGGCCGCGGTCGTACCACGGGTCGATGCGGCCGCTACGCCAGGACATGATCATGAAGAAGAACAACACAAGGGAGCATCGCAACATCAAAACGTCGGAGGACGGCAGCAGGCCAGCGACGACGGGCGGCTGCACAACAACCACGAAGTCGGTGACGCTGGAATGAAACTTATCGAGCCACTAGCACATCACGTCGCTGCGGGGGCCCGTGGGCATCAGCACGAAAAACAACACGCTGCCCAAAGTGCGCCGACGACCATGCGGCGAGAGAAAACCAAAAGCGAAAGCAAAACTCCTGCGGATGAAGAATTACTAGAAATTTCCACCCGCCCAGTACATGAGAGTCGTGACAAAGATGATGAAGTGCAGGCTCTCGTCCACCAAGCCGAGGTCCCCCGCCTGCAGAAGAACAGCACGGCTGCGAAGGAGAATTCCACCGGTCTTGAAGGTGTACAAGATGCGCTGCACGCCCACGGCAGCCGTACGGCGAAGCGGGCACCACAGTTGATGACGACCGAGAGGGACCGCGTGACGTTGGTCCAGCGGGCGGAGCAGGTCCGACTTAGCTGCCCAGAATTAAAGCGCCATTTAAAAATTCCCGACTTAGCTGCTAGAGAATTGCTTCTGATAGGACAGTTAAATCAAGCGGTGATCAAGTCAAATGATCGACCAGTCGCGACAAAGATGATGAAACATCAAATGCAGGCTCTCCACCAAGCTGAGGCCCCCCTCCTGCAGAAGAACAGCACCGCTGCGAAGGAGAAACCCGCCGCCGGTCTTACCAAGTGCAAAAATGTCTGGGTCCGATGAAAGAATGCAGTTTGTGATGCTGGGTTTGGATTCCAAAAAAATCTGTAATTGCATAAATTAATAGCAAAGGGAATGCAATTTTTGCTACGCCAACGCTGAGAAGGCATTTGCCATGCGGAATTGACATCAAGAAGCCCTGAAAAAATCTGTATTGCTAGGGTATGCATCACAGACGTCATGGCTCATGCAAAACGTGCATGACAGGTGTGAGAACCTTCCAGAGGACCCAGACACTTTTACAGTTGATAGCTCTTCTTGAAGGTGTACAAGATGCGCGGCTGCACGCTCCCCACTCCAGTCGTACGGCCAAGCGGGCACCAAATTTGATGGCGAGCGAGTATCCCCTGTGAACATGTCTGGGTTCGGAAAAGCGCACAGCCACAGCTTTTCATGCAAGTGTTGCTTGACCGAGAAAAGCTGGAACGCAGTGCCTCGCAGGAGCCATCGCAGGTTCATCTACTGTGAGAGCTTTGCTGCAATGCACACTCGGCATGAGGAGCAGTAGAAATGCTCCTGGTCTCGTCTCAGGGAGGCGCAAAAAAGGCCGAGAAGGCCAGGAGCTGTCGTTCTAGCGCCTAGAGGTGGGCCGCCGGCGGCTCCTGCAGCCTGCGACCCAGGTTCTCCTTTCGCCGAGGATCAAAGCCACCCAGCAAACCGCCGTCGCCATCAAAGCAGGCGATGGGCCTCCTTTTGGAGAGGTAAACGGGCCACGCCATGCAGTCTGGATATGATGTGCACGGTTTTTCTTGGGGTCAAGAAAATCCGCAGAAAAAAAGGCAAACTTATCTGAATTCTGAGTGTGAAATCGCGCACCACCGAAAAACCGTGCGCATTGCATCCAGGCAGCGTGGTATGATGGATGTACACGGTCTGCGAAGTGGTCGGGCCCGGGGACAAGAATTCTGAACCATGTCCATCGACCATACCGCGCGGTCTAGATGCGATGCGCACGGTTTTTTTGGTCCTGTTTTGAATTTTGTCGCAAGTTTGCCACTTTTGAAACCGTGTACATGGACCATAGCATTGTGGCTAGGTTCCATGTGCACGGTGTTTGGTCAATCTGAAAAATTTGGCCTTGGAGGTATGCAAAAGGAAGCTTGCGCTTTTCCGGACATCCGAAATGTGGAAACTTTCCCAGATCTTGGGACACAACACAGCCAGACGAACCTGCCGAGAAATCTGAAGCAGTTCGGCGCCCGCCCAACCAAAATTCCGTAGCCCCCATCAATGTTACCGACTCAAAACACAGCCGTCCGGCTGAGGGTGAAGCGTCCATGGCAGTGGGCCACCGTCAGGCATTGGAGGGGGAGCTGCTTTGCGCTGATGCAAGGGGCCCCATCTGGAGCCGGGCTTGCAGGTTTGCCTCGTGGATATCATCCACCAAAATGCATGGGGCTTGGGCGGCGACCCTGAAAGCACACGCCCATAGCTAAGTCAGACCATGGCAGAGCGGCAGTCTCTACAACGCCGGGGAGACGGCTTCACGTGGTGCCATGAGAATTTGCAAGGGGGGCGCCAAAAAATTTTTTTTGGGCAAAAATGTAAACCGTGTACGTGCTCACTGACTTTTTCTTTCGATAGAGCTTGGCTGCAATGCACGCTGGCTCCGCATGAGGAGCAGTAGAAATCCTCTCTCAGCGAGAACAAGCGTGCATTTTTTAGGTTTTGCTGCTCATGCAGGACAGTTTTATTTTCTTTTTGTGTGACTGACAGGGAGCAGCGCCACAGGCTTGCACCTTTCCAGGCCCAATTAATATTTGCAATTCATAGCGAGCGGAACCGCCTGACGTTGGTCCAGCGGGCGGGCCAGGCCCTCAACGAGAACGGCGAGAGCAAAGCCAAGCATAAGCAAGGTGCGTCTGCAGACGAGGCGGACATCACGCCCACGGACGCGGGCAGCGCCACGGCATCGAGCTACTTTGGGAATCCCGACGGTATGGTGGGGGCGAGGGGCATGTATGAGATTTCCGATGTATTGGCGAAAGTACATCGGAAAAAATAGATCGCGCGTCGGACATCTGAGGAGACCGCGACGGCTCCGGTGTACGGTGTGCAACGTATGAGGCACGACGCGCAACGTATTGCGCATTGCAGTCGTACGCTGTACGTGGTCCAGTGTATGGCGTGCAATGTATGACACATTGCACATCGATGCGTCGTATGTTGCACATTGGTCCAGTGTAATGCATGACACACCAATGCGCGACGTGTCATACATTGCGCAACGTCTGACGTACATTGTGTGATACATTGCGCATTGATGTATCACACATTGTACATTGATCCGACGTCTGATGTGCAATGTGTGACACGTTGCACACTGACGCATCATACATTGTTGGTTGTACATGGATGCGCTGTACGCCGTACATTGTGCATTGATGTGTCACACATTGTGCATTGTCTGGCTGGTCACCGGAACCCCAGCGGGGAAAGGTCAATAATCCAACCTGTAGCAGAAACAGACATGGCCGCAGTAAGCGATAGGGCCTGTCTCCCTTGGTGTGAAAAAGTCGGGAGCTGTACCACGCACCAGCGCCAACGACGCGCCCAAAAGCGACAGCGTCGCCAAAACCCTGCAGCGAGTCAGCGGGGCCCCAGTGGGAAAAATCGCCGAGGGCGCAAGCCGCGCAACCACCTCGATAGCGACAGAGCCGCCTTAGGTGCCTCCGCGCCAAGCTTTGCGCGATTACTTAAGCAGCGCCGGCGGGTGAAGCAGCTCGCGTGACCGGGTCCGACGTTGGCCCATGACGCCTGCCCGCGGCAGCCGTCTCTTTGTCTGCCGGACCGGAGTCGATGCAGGCCCTGCGGGCCCAGCGTCCGTCGTAGTTGCTGCTCACATCCATTGCCGCGCCTGCTTTATTTTTTTCGAGGGAGCGCACCAAGCAGACGCCCGGGCGGGCCGTAGGGAGGCGAGGCCCACCCGTGGACCAAGCATCGGGTAGCAGTGGCCACGCCCGTCAGCAGACTGACGCACCCCGCGGGCGTGTTGTGGTCGGGCCGGCCTATTGTTAGCGAACCGATCGAACGAAGCCGCGGGCCCCATGTTGAGAATAGCCCCGCGCATGCCTCGGGACCGGGGCACAGACACAGCGCAGCCGCGCAGAACTTGGCGGCAGGCTTGGTCCCTCACCCGGGTTCCCATTGCAGGGAGACCGCGGACGGGCCGCGGGGCGTCCCCCGGTACAGCACTCCGCCCCACGGCCTTGGGGGTGCGCTCGCCCGCAGTACCCCGGGGACAAACACAAGTCCGACCGGCCACGGCGCGCACGCTCTGCAGGCGTAGAGCAGCGCCGGAACGCCGAACACGCGGCAGCCCTTGATTGTGGCCGAGGAGCAGGGGCGCGCCGTGTCAGCCTGGTCGCGGCCGCTTCGCGGGGCCACACATCGACCACACGGGCAGGAACCGCGCCCCACAGCAGTCGGTGGAGAGCTGCGCAGAAGCGCGCGTCTGAGGTTGCCGGGGGTGCAGAAGCTTCCTCAGATGTCCGACGTTCGCCGTATTTCTTTCGATGTATTTTCGCCAATACGTCGGAAACCCCACGCATGCCTCTCGCCCCCACCATATTGCGCGGAGGGTCTTGGGACAGCCCTGGAAAGTTTATTGATAACACACTGAGCGACAATTTTGGCACGGCCAGCGATGTGAACAACCGCGGAACCGCGCAGGTGTGTCCGTTATCATGTGCAAAAGTATCGGGCTCGCTCTCGCACTAGTTGCAAACGTGCGTGACAAATCTTGTTCCAAAGGTAAAACAGCAATACAGACTGCGCTTGTCATGCTGAGAAAATTTGTAAATGCAAATCGTACTAGTGCGATGCTTTTGCACTGCATATCTGTGGGTGCAGATCGATTTGGGTAAGGCAATGGCCGTGTCGGAGGTCCGATACACATTCAAAACAAGCCACATTAATACAATCCGCAGAAATTTTTTCGAGACGGTGTTCTGGCGTAGTGCTGCTATCCAGTACGAAGGTGGTAAGGACACGGCAATCGGCTCCGACGGTGCGGAGATCGGTGGTGCGGACAAAGGGTTCCGGGTAGCGGTTTCGTCCAGAGAACGCGTGAACGCCGACACCTGTGAGGTATGGCGATGGGTGCACAACTCCCCCTCCCCCTCAGTTGCCACGCAAATTACCAAATGCAGCCTTTTTGTCTTTGGCACTTCTCGCGTGTCAGGTTTCGGAAGCCGAAACAGCACCAGAATCGACCGCAAATATGTCATTGTTAATTCCACAACGGGAATTCGGTTTCGTATCGTGTGTTGACTGTGCTCGTAGAACAACAAAGTAGTTATATCGTTAGATAGGGTCGTAGCTACGTGAAAAGGGTCTAGCTAATCTCATGATGACGTAAATCAACCGAGGATTCTTCTGAACTAATTCTGCCTGTGCTTGGCCCAAGCCCTGTGCTTGTTGCCTTATCTGCTAGTACAGTGAGCCTTTTTGTTTGAGAGTGCGGCGCACTCTGTCGCTGGTGATGTTCCTGGTGTTCTCATGCGATGCACGATCCACAGATACGGAACCATGTCGGTTTTCTGTTTCAGTGGTAGCGGAGAAAGAGGTTATGCTTCGCATCTGAATCACCAGTGATGGGAAATCGCTAGCGACTAGCAAGGGGTAAGCTAGCTAATCAGTATTGTGTCAAAGGTTTATGCTTCCGCGGGACTACGACATCACGATCGACATGCTGCCGCAATTCCAGTACACGGCGCGGCGAAAAAGACACGTAGCGCCAAGCTCATCCAGACGCGTACGCTCACAACGAGCAGTAGTCCACAAGTTCCACCTCTCGAGATGAAGTTCAAGAATGTGGTGAACTGTCAAGATTTGACAAGTGAAGAGCTAAAAGCGCAAGTCTCTCCTTGTGTTTCCGGCAAGTGAGCGCCTTCCTTTGGCAAGTGATCGCCATCCCCAGACAAGTTTTGTCCCGCCGTTCCAGACAAGTTTCGTCAAGATTGACACCATGACGGGACGTTCGACCCCTTCCTCGTCTTTGACGCGTTTTCGTCCGGTGCTGACCATCGTGCTTCCAGTGCAACTTCCTCGACTACATCGTCCTGTGACGGGAAGTTTTCTCAGTCGTTTCTTTCAAATCACAATCGCCGTCGCAAATTTGTCGCCTACAAAGTTCTTTTTTATCGTAAAAATCGCCTTCGTCTGGAGCGATGATCGTGAGGGAAGTAAAAAGCCAGTAAGTAATTTTGTGCAAAACGGAAAATTCGAAAGTAAGGAAAACACATCAACAACGGAAAACAGTCACGGAGTAGTCTATCGGATTTGGCCAAGCGGAAGCGGTAAACCCAACCTACCAAGAAGAAGCTTTAGAAGTAACAGCATGAGCCTAATCGCACCCAAGCGCCTTCGTGCCTGTGAAGCGAACCTAAGCGGGCTGATCTCTGCGCTCGACGCCAACGACGGGAAACCAGCTCTCGTTTGTCAACTCGGCGATCGCTACCTCGTGTGGCGCTACTGCGGCCACTTCGACAAATCGGGACCGAACGCCCGCGCCGTGCGCTTTCGGTTGAAAACCTGGATTCCGGAATCGGACCTGCAGCGGGTGAGCCATCACCTGTGGGGCGGAAAAACGCTCTGCATCTGCCGCCCGCTGACCGGTGCTTTTGTGTGCCAGATCGTGAAGGTGCCCTTCCACCTCGGCCGCTACGTGTCGTCGCTGCTGGAAACGCCGGGGCTGGGGTTGGACCTCGAAGATCATTTCGGACAAGAAGGCCCGGTCCTCGAGGAGGGAAAACTAGTACTGTACGATAGCCGGGAACCGAGCCCGACAACGCATTACGGTGATCGCGAAGCGCTCGAAGCGCAGTTTCCTTTTGTCAACGGCCAACCGCCGGCGGGCGTGTACAACTTGAGCCGATTATTTCCCGGATCACTGCTACTCGGCCATCCGAAACCGTTCGGCACGACGGTAAGCGCGGACAAGGACTACCTGTTCTACTGGAACCAGGAGCAGCAGGCGAGGGTGGCCAACTCGTCTTTCAGCCCGGTGCTGAGTCTGAACAGCCTGACCCTGTACTGGCAGGTGACTGGCTACACGCCGGCGAATACGGGAGCCAGCGCGTATTCGGGAACGCAGTACACCGAGGACGGAGTGTGGAACCACACGGGTCTGGCCGGTGATCCTTTCATCGGAAACCAGAGAAGCAGTCAACGGAGCGGTCTGCGCTGCTGGGTGTGCGGTGAACACGGCCACCGAGCGGCGGCGTGCCCGGGCGCGAACCATGAACCCGAGTTCGAGCCCAGTCCGACGCGCGAGCGCTCCCGGGAAGCTATCAGGTTCTGGTCCATTGAGGACGCCCGGAATTGAATCGAGCGACGATCAAACTCTACACCAGAACGACCTGACTTCACCAAGTTATAAACCTTCGCCAACGTTTAACAACTACTCGAAGGAGATGCCTTCACTTCCATCCATCTCCCAAAATCAAGTAATTTCAGTAAACAAGAGCGACCGAAATAGTATATCCAGCAGTAAAAGAAGCTACGCGGAACCGGGCGAAAAGATCCTGTCCGGAGCGACGCAAAAATTTTTAGAGAACTTTCCGAACAGAGTCGGCATTCCGACCTGCGTCAGCGACTACCTCATCCTAAAGGAGCTGCACGCTCAGCGTGAAACTGTAAACAAAGAGCTGAACAAGACCGCCATCTTACCGGCGGACGCCTATTCTGTGCCCGTGCAGCAGCTGCCTGAATTCGAGCGGCAAGACTTCTCGGGCGAGAGCGTGAACTTTACCGATGCCAGAAGTTTCAAGCTGTTGCCCAAGCCAACCACGATGCAGCTCAGGACCACCGATCCACTGTGCGACGTGTTTCTCTCCGTGACCAAATTCGGTGAGAACCTCGAGGAGGATTTGGATTTGGTGTGGACGTTGAGCCAGAAACCAGATTCCACGGTAAAGCGCAAGTGGCGAGTACTTGGACAAGCGCAGCTTGATCTTCTACGAATCCATCACGACCGACCACCAACGCCATCGGAGTCGTCGAGCGTTTCTTTCAACGCCGCATGGTGGCGGTACGGCCAGCATCCCGGCGGGAATCCATCACCCAAGTAAGAAGAAGAAGATGGAAAGCTGGCGTGCGTGATCGAATTCAATAGTCTGGCTCCGTGACAATTTTCCCTTTTTTCTGATTTCTTTCGGAGATGACTACCCGTGACCTGTGCCAGAGTTTGCTTTTTTGGAAGACAAAGCGCCGTGCCTACAAGCAGCAAGAGTAGCACCCGGTATGAAGGTCTTATCGGTCGGTGTCTTTTGTTGTATGAAGCCTGAAAAGAGTCGCAAAATCGAAAAACGCAAAACCGTCGTCGCAAAGTCGCAAAGTCCGTCTGTCGTTTGTTTGTGTCGAAGTAAATCGAAAGCAAATCGAGCCTCTAGCGCCACATCATCGCATCGCAGCCAACGAAAATCTAATAAGCAGAAACGGCTTCAACGGCATCACGGAAGCGAACATTTCCGAAAACAAAAACAGGGACTAGTAAGTGCGCGCGCCAGTCACGTGCCAAGAAGGGAACTAGTACCTACCCAACTAGGAGCACTTGCCTCGGCTGTACCCCGTACAAACTTCACTCAAGCATTCGAAAGAAAAAGCGAGCCCCGCAGTTCAATTCATGAATAACTGCTGTAGTGCCCTCGCGTACATCATCCTGTGGAAAGTAATCGAGCTGATCGGCCTCCTCTTTGTCGGCGCTTTTCTGCTGATCATCTTCGCGCTCTACCTTTTCTGGTGCAACGAGCCATAGCGGACGAACTCGCCCGCAGCATCAGAAATGGGAGGACCAGGCCACGGAAAAGGGGGCAACGCTCCCCAAGCGGCACTGCGAGACGGTGTTCCTACTTCCGACGAGTCGATGACCTCGCGGCGTAGCAGTCACAACGGGAACTACCAAATGCAACGTTACAACTCAACAGCTACCAGATGCAGCAGTACAACCAGAGCCGCGACATGACCAACTACCAAGGGGGCAAGAACAAAGGGAACTGGTCCGAGTACGGTGGCGGGAAGAAAGGCCCGTACGGACCCGACTACTACAACACCAATCGCCGTCAGTGGAGCGACGACGAATGGGCGCGCTGGTGCGAGTCGTGGCGCGACTTCAAGAAAAACGTGCACGCCGGCGTCAAGGACTGGATGGGAAGGACGCAAAATGCGGAACAGGCAGCAGTAAGTGCTGCGAGTGCTGCCGGAGCGGCAGCGACAAACTCCATCCAGGCACAACAAGCGGCGCACGCGCTCAAGGAAGTGCACGACTCTGAACTCCGTCGCGCGAAGGAAGAAATCGACGGAGCCAATTCCCAACTGAATGCAGCCAAGGGCGACATGGCGCAGTTCGGTGGGAAAGTTGACGCCGAATTGCGCGCGGCAAAACAGGAGGTGGACGAAATTCGCGACAATCAGGTCCGGTCGAGCACGCAAATGGTAGAAAACGTGAGCGGTCTTCTGCAGGCGCAGAACAGCAACACCGGCAACGCGATGCAGGGGTTGCAAAATCAGTCCCAGCAGGACTTCCAGGCGATGCAGGAGTACATGCGCTCGCAGATGAGCGAAGGAAATGGAAAATCGGTACGTGCAGTTGCTCCAGACTGCCACCACCACGGCCGACCAGGCTGTGGCGGCCCTCGAGAAGGAGAAAATCAAAGTCGCCACTGCAGCTGTGCAGCAAACGACGACAACACAGCGCTTCAATATCAGTTCCACTGGTGCAACGGTCCGTGACTACAACGTCGTCGATGGCGAGGGTGATGATGACGTCAAGACGCGGAGCCGCGCTGCATCAGTGGCGAGTTCGCTCGGCCACAAAATCAGGAACGAAAAGAAGTACTACGTAGAAGAAGATGCCGAGGGTTATGGAGAAAATGAGTTCCTGCCCGGACTGCACCCCAAGGAAGCAGAGCGTGCAGCGCAGGCGGCGGGGCGGTCCACCGCTGCTGCAATCGCCCAGCAAGAACTCGAAGAGATTCTGCGGGCTCAGGCGGAAGCTCTGACAAAGAACCAGAAGAAGAAGTTGCAGAAGAAGAAGAGCAGGAAGAAGCAAGCAACCGCTGCGCCACCTGGTGACGACGACGATGGCGATGGCAGTTCTTCTTCCTCCTCGTCTTCATCTGAATCCGATTCTTCATCGGAGGAGGCATCGGCGAGTGAAAACAATGATGGCGACGACATCAAGCCGCGGCGCAAGAACCGCACCGCAAAGGAATGCGAGCAAATGCACAACAACCAGCCTAACATGGTAGGCGGCCATGCCGGAGGTGGAGGCGGAAACAATAACAACTCCGGCGGAAATGGCGGTGCTGGCGGAAATGACGGTGACGACGGACGCGACAATGCCGGGAACAAGGCGCGCGGGAAAGGCATTTTGAAGGAAGAGCGAGTCGAGGTGAAACGTCTGAACCTCGATGCGGAAAGACCATCCACCAACATGGCGCCCGAGGCGGGGAAAATCAACGGGATCGGCCCCCAGTAGTCAGAAAAGCAAAAAAATCACAAAAGCCGGAAAATTTTCGCGCTTTTAAGTTTTCGCAGGGTTTTTGCAGTTCTTGCAGCCGCTCGCTGGTGCGTTTTCTTTTTCTGGTTGTGTGTCTTGGGTTTGTGGGTTGGGCGGGAAAAGCAGGCTTGGGCGCAAGGGATTGGAGTGGGGCCGGCAGAGGGAGCCCATGTTGCCGGTGTGTGCTTCGGGATGGGAGAGGGATGCTGGGTGGGAAATTTTTGGGTGGGCGCGTGGCCAATTAATTCTGCGACAAAAAATCGCCTGTGTTGCGACAAAAAGTCTGAAATAATTAAAAAAAATCGGCTTTCGGCCGTGGTTTTTTTTTTCTTAGGGATTTCAGGAAGAACCCGAAAAATGTCGCACCCGTGTCGCACCGGTGTCGCACCCGTGTCGCACTCATGTCGCAAAGAAAGCAATTTTTTGGCGCAAATTTATTCGTTGTTTTTCTTTTTTTTCGGTGAAGTTGTGTTTGCCCGAACAAAAGTTGCGTGCTCGATTTCATGTGGCGCAGTTCTTCGAAAACCCCGGAGCCCACAGGCCCGCAGCCTGTTGACAAAGCCCCGGCGTTATTTTAGGGCCTACAGATTTCCTATCGAGCGAGCCCCGGCGGAGTGGTTTGGCACAATAGGGCGGCAGTGCAAAAATTTTTTTTTTCGTTTTTCTTTTGGGATTCATGATTTTTTTATTTCCGGGCCCATTGGGGCCCGATCCCGTTGAGGAAAATTGGCTTGGTGATGAACGCGGATGGTATCCTCGTGGGAACAATCGGAGAATTCGACGCGCCGCTGGAGTCGACGCACATCGCCGCAGGAAAAGCCCTCTCCTCAGCGCAGAAAACGAAGATCGATTTTCGCCAGTGCGTCGCATCCGGACCGCCGAAATTCAACGCCGGCCAACATGAAGTTATCCAGTTGGAAGATGGAACTCGAAATGCACTTAAAGGGGTGCATCGATACCGATCGGGCGGTAGCTTTCAGCGCGGAAACCGTGTTGGTGCGGAAGCACTGGATGGAGGCTCACACGGCCGACCAGCAGACGGACATCCTGGCGCTCGGTTACATCGATCGGGACAAGCTGAATTCGTACACCGTTTTGAACTACTTCACCTCTCTGGCCGAGCTGTGCGGTCAGATGGCGTCGGACATCAGCGACCGGTTGGAGAACTGGTCTATCCAGGAGGGCGACTGGAACAAGAAGGGCGCGAGCTTGTGGCTGGAACTGGCAAAATTCCGCCGTGCCGCACTCGCCACGGGGATCACGATTAACCCACGCAACGAAGTGGACCAACTGCGGCTCCTCGCAGAATTTCGTGATCGCATCGGCGTCGACGAATCCTTTTTGCGCGATGTGATGATGTTCTCGACGAAAAAGATGAAGAAGAAGAAGCGCATGAGGATGACCCGCGCGTGGCCGTATTTCAAGGAAATTATGGCGTGCGTCAGCATGGGCCGCAACATTAAGACGAGCACGGCAGTAATCAACTACCGCAGCAAGAGCAAGAGCGCGAATGCCTTCTCCTTCCACATCAATCACCTCGGGTTAACCGGATGCGGCTGTGCCAACGGCTGCGAGACCGCCGAAGAAGTGATCACGTGCGAGGAAATCCACGAAGCGCAGGTGATGGCGGCTGCCTTTGCCAAGTTTGGCGATAAGATTCAGCCCGCAAAGGGGGATATCGTCTGCTGGGGCTGTGGCAAGGTGGGCCACAAAAAGGCAGAGTGTACCTTCAACAAGCCCGGAATTCACAGTGCCCGGACGTGCACGACGTGCAAGAGTCCGTCGCATGACCGCGACAACTGTCCCGTCTACTCCGTGCGCATCAAGGCCGCGCAGTTCTTTCGCAAGTTCAAGCGGAACTCCCGAAAGGGGGGCAAGAGTAAGAAGAAAGGTGCTGGGAAGCGGCGCGGAATTAAAAAATTTTTCGCGAGCATTCAGTTTGTCGATACCGACGGGGTCATCCAACACACCATGGGCATCGACCTGCCGGATATGGATGAGGAATTCTGGCTCGGAGAGTACACTACTGCGGATAGCGGGAACACAAACAACAATACCACCCAGGGGCCAGCAATCAACAATGCAGCCTTACCGGCAATCCCGGCGTCCAGTACGACCACCACCGCTGCGGGCAGCGAAGCCGACGCACCGGTCGGTACGGAGGCGGAAGCGACCGAGGAGTACGAGTACGATGAGGATGGTCTGTACCTCGGCCAGGATATCCGGGACGGCCCGTAGAGCAGTCGGACTGCGTGGCCGAAGTGAAAAGTGAAAGGCCACCGACTAAAAGCGAACGCTTTGTGAAAAGTGTTATCGACAAGAAATTGATCGACAGGAAGAGAACTACCAGACCGAAGGAATACCATCTCTGCCGACGGAACCCGAATCCAAGAAGCGACAAACTTGATCGGGATTCCTACGTGAAACAACCAGAAAGCATTTGTGTAAAAGGAAAATCAGCAGAACAACTTCAAGCAATTATCCAGAGCGTCTTGGTCTCGCTCGTGGACTTGAAGGTAATGCGGGCCAGCATGAAAGATATTACAAGACTTTTGATTGATAGCGGCTTTAGCCGGCTGCTGTTCATGGGGGTTGTCGCTCTCGAGGAGCATCACCGGTACTGCCTGCAGCACGGCATCAAGCTGGAGTTCACCATCGTGCCGCTTGATGCATCTACCGCAGGAGGTTCAACAAAAGTACTCGGGATCGCGGAAGTAATTGTAGCACTACCGCACGGCTGTCCGGTGCCGGCCGGGCTGGTGCACTGTATCGTCGTAGACGACCGCGATTGGGCGCAACCCGCCACGAACCTGATCGGACTGCAGTTTATGAAACAGTTCAAGCTCGGTATTGACCCGGACAAGACGACTGCAAGGCGCGGAACGTGGAGCACCAGCCCGGAAGATTTTCAGCTTCTGATGGACATTTTCGAAGAACTTACGCCTTCTTTCCTCGGCGATGTACGAAAACAGATAGAACAAGGCTTCGCAACAGCCGCCAGCGTCATGCGCGCTGCGCGCAAAAGAACAGTCTCTACCTATAACGTATCTTTTCCGCACCCAGACAATACGAGAACTTTCCCCACGCTGCTGGAATCCGAGGTGGTTGGAGAACGACCAGTGGCAACTCGTATTTACAGTAATTCAACATCCTCATCTTCCTTTTCTGTCCCGGCGAACAACAGCGCACCGGTGGAGCGAATCGCCATCGGAAATTCGGGGCGAAATCAGAGCGGTGTTGATTTCGACGTTGCGAAAGTGTATGCGTGCGCGCGGATCTTTGTGGGCGCGACGCACGCTCCGAAACCACAAGGAGCTGATATCAGAGCAAAAACAAGAATAATTCACGACCTCGACGAGATTCGGGACAAGATCTCAATTCTGAACGACTTCACAAATCAGAGTGCGAATGTGATAAGTTCCCCACTACCACTACGGGGACAGACGCACAGAAACATTGTAGCAGTATTTTTCTTCGAGCAACAAGTCCGCGGCAGCGAACGGGTGCAGGATCGAACAGGATTCGGTATCCCCGTCGTGTCGCGCTACACCAACAACGGAAAGATAAAGCCGTGGAAGCGAGCAACCGAGTCCATTACGGCGCTTCTCGGGAGAAGAGTAGCTTCTGCCGATAGCGGCAAACGCGTCGCATTGCAGCTACGGGGACGGACGCTGCAGTTTCCGGCACCGAAGAGCATCCAGTCGGTGTTCGAATAAGGTGAAGCCGGTCTCTCGATGCGGGCGCAAAACATCATCAAGGAGATGCCAGAGTGCCAAGATCTCTTCGAAAGGAGCAAGCGGCTCTTGATGAAATACCGTGCGGGATGCGCTCTTTTCACTGGAAACGGTCGACAAGGTGCAGTCGCCGTTGCCGAGCTGGTAGGCGAACAGCTGCGACTGCGATCGGAGAAAAGAGCGGCACGCATGAGTTTGGTGTCGCTGCTGGCGGCTAACGGCGAGCGGCCCACGTCGGACGGACGGGTCACACGCTTCGGGTATGGACTTGTCTCTCCGGCACAAGACATGTACGATGGCAAAAGTGTCACGATGCCGTTCGACCCACGCCGAAACCTGACGCGACGACAGGCTGAGGTCTACGCGTACTTGCGCGCAATGACGATGCGGCACGCAGGGAAGCTGGGCGTAAAGCTGATGACTAAACTCGCGAAAGGGAAATTCCGGAGCATTCCGCTCCGCGACCTGCGCACGGCGGTGGGCGCGGCCATGAGAAAGAGCTTCTCGAATGTCAGGCACACCACCTGGCCAGCCGAGCGGGCCGTGGGGTCTTGGTCCACCATCGACATAACAGCTGTAAGCATGTTAGATACGACGTTTGTGTCGGGCGACATGCTGACTCAGCCAAATACGGTCGCACAGCTGTTGCGAAAGATCAGTGGTGATATCTGGCTCGACTTCATCGGGCCGAAGTGGATCACGCTGGCAGAATGTGCGAACTACGCCGACGGACCCGCACCCGTCGACGGCGACGGAAAACTTCTTCCAATCGGAGCAAAGTCCAAGGCCGAAAGCGACGAGCTGCTCGCATTAAACGCGCCGAAAGATCAAGAGAAGGAGTTGAGCACGGGCCAGCCAACTTCCGACGCGATATGCAAGTTCGTGAGCGAGAACCTCGACAACATCGGAAGAATACTGATTCTCGACCCGGGATCCGAGAACATCAGCGAAAACCTGGCGACGCTTCTTCTCGCCGCGGGGATCCGGGTGCGGATCATCTCCGGAAACTCCGCCACAGCAATGGCGGATGTGGAGGTCTCGCATCTCCACTTGAAAACAAACCTGCATGCAGCAATGAGACGCCCTCTCCGGAGGGACCTTCCGCTTTCCGTGCTTCTCCGTCTTCTTGCTCATGCTCGCCGGGAACGAAAAGTGATGCCCTCTTACCTGGAGAAGGGCGAGGAATGGCGCCTCGCACAGAAAGGTGACCTGCCAGAAGACTCGGCCATTCGCTTCTGGAGTCTCGAGGACGCGCGGATTAGTAAAATTCAGCGGGCAGAAAATCGCATTGCAGCCAGGATTGCAGTTTTGGAAACATTCCTCGACCCGGAGCTTCGCAAGGAACTCGCACTGCTATGCCGGCGCCTGACGGAGGATGGGCGCGGACCAGAAGCAGTAATCGGTGATCTTGTCGAGTGGAAAACCAAGGGTGAGAAGTGGGCTCCGGGCCACCTGGAGCAGGCGCCCGAAGGAGCAACGATATGGGGCGTGCTACCGTTGTCGGCCACGTCAGCAGTTCAGAAAATCCCGAAGAAGAAAGTGCAGAAGGTGATCGACCACGAGCTTGCGCTGGCACTACCCGACACGGTGGAAATGTACATGTCGGACGTACCGAAACTACCACAGATTCTTGCGCAGATTCGCCACAAGGGGTACTTTGATCGCGTCGACCGCGAGGAAAACTTCGGGCTCGTCGCCAAGGAAGACTTCACCGGCGCACGGATCAACGAGAGGCGCCTGATGCCGTGCGTTGACTGCGCCGAAATGCGGTACGTGGAAAAGAACTTCCCCGGCGAGGTCTGCAGATGCGTGAACTTGTTTCCGCATGTCTACTGTGGCGATGAGAGCGACGATAAGCTCTGCACCGCCGGGATGTGGCTGCCAGAAAAACGTCTGCGGAAGGACCTGAAGAAGACGAGGCCGGATTTCTTCTATGAAAGCAAGGACGAAAAGACGAGCCGCAACGAGGAGCGGCTGGAACAGGAGAAGATCAAGAAGACAGTAAAGCTCGATCTTCAGGAGGCGTCGCCAAAACCAAAAACAACAAACGAAGAGGATAAGCTGCTACAGGACGACTTGTGCAGTAGTGAAGAGGACGGCGAGAAGTCTGATTCGGAACAAGAAGTAGCAATTGAAGAAAAAGATGATGAAGACGGCCTAGCAGCTGACGTAGATGACAACGAGCTGCGCGAGGACGAGAACAAGGAGGAAGCGGGAAATTTCCTCAAGGAAGAGGACGACTTCGACGATCTCGACGCGCCGCCAGGGATAAATCTTGTTGATTTGTCTTTGGACGACTTCAACGCCGTGATGGACATTTTGGAGGTCCAGTCCTACAATTTGAAGCTCGAGTCACAGCAGCAGGGCGAGAAGAAATTCGGAGGGCTCAACGTCCTCGACCACACCAAGTGGGATGCCGGACAGAGCCAAGTGCTGGGTCTGCCGCTGAACAAACCTAGCATGGCCTTGCGCGAAGTGGTGCGCAAGATGAAAGGGGACCGCGCTAAGTGTATCAACGTGGAGACCAGCGAGTGGATAACCGTGAAAAACATGTTGAGCGACAAGCCCGCGAAAGAAGGGTGGGCCGCCCCCTGCAATCTGATCGAGGGGATGACGCTGGTTTGGGAAAAGCACCACGCAGAGCGGCTGCACCCGAAGAACGCGGCGTCAAAGAATCGCACCTGTGTAAAATACTACCTCAGCGAGGGTGTGACCGACGACGGCGGGTACTTCTTCTCGTCTGAGATGCGTGAACAAACCGTGGGTGCCGTCCGTTTCGAGTTTTACGACAGCTTCGGGAAAGAAGACGGACGAGCAGAGCACTGCGTCATCAGTGATCATCACTCCGGTATGACGGCGGCGCAACGTAAGCGGCTACGCAGCGCGCGAAAGATGGCCGATGTGACGCCATATTCTGTTCTGAGCGAGCTGCTGCGCGTCGTCGAAACCAAGATGGCTCTGACCAAGGAGATTGAAGGTCAGATGGTGACGAAGAAGGGCAAGGAGTTGCCGAACGTGGTGAAGGCACTCAAGGGCGACGAGGAGCTATCGGGCAAGCAGAGACTTCTGCTCACGTCGCGTTTTATCTTGGACGCGAAGTACCTCTCGGAGTACTACTGGCAATTGAAATGCCGGTGGGCTCCGGGAGGGCATCTCCAAGAGAGACCGGCCGAAATGGCCGAGAACGCGAGTCCCACACTCTCGGAGTTGGGCTTACGTCTGACGTCGGTCGTCGCGGGGAAATGGAAACGCACTGTGGGCATCGTTTTTGATGTGCCGCGTGTTTTTCAAGAAAGCCGGGAGTACACAGAGCAAGAGATGCCGCGGATGAAGTTCCCGAAGGTACAAGGGCGGTTTGCCGAGGCGCTGGACGGGGCTTTGGCCATCATCAACCAGAAGCACCAGTTGGGGATCTGTGCGAGCTCTGTTCTGAAGATCAGGGTTCCACAGTATGGCCTCCTCGACGCGGCCTACTGTTTTTTCAAGAAGGCCCGGGAGGAATTCGTCCAACAAGGAACTCCACCTTCCGCACTCGCTCCGTGCGTGTATCGGTTGCGGATAGAAGGACGAGTGGTAGCGGTTTTCGGATCCCATGTGGATGATTTCTTGGTGTTGGCGGACGGGTCTGTGCCAGGCATCATCGACGTGATCAAGTCCCGCATGAAGAAAGCATTCGCCAGTTTAGAGGACAGTAGTTTTGAGGAAATTACTTCCGAATGGACGAACTTCACGGGGAAAAGTATCCGAATCGTTACGGTGGACGGCCACCAAGCGCTCGACCTGTCCATGCGCCGAAAGATCGACGAATTGGGTGAATTCGAAGCCGATGCAACAATAAATGGTGGTCGTGCAGATCCCGCAGCTCGCCTCTCACCAACGGAAGTAACCCGTCTTCGCGGCGTCCGCGGGAGTACGGGCTACGTCGCGGAGCGTCTTTGCGAGTTTCTATATTCGCAACGTGCTCTTGCTTCTGGACCCGACGAGCTGCGCACAATTGCAAATGCAAACAGAATAAACACGATGGCGCAAGACATGAAGCGGGTCCGGGAACAGGACAAGGCCTTCGTGCGGTTGTGGTTAAATTTCTCGGACCCGTGTTTCCTGCTCATCACCGATGGCAGTTTTCAATCGAAGCCCGTAAAGAAGCAGAAATCGGGTGAGAAAGAAAAGCTGGGCCGCGGCATGGCGGAATACATGACCGCGGATGACCCACGACTGGCAGAAGCAAAGGAACTGCAGTTGCGTCCGATGACGGCGTTCATCTTGCTGGTGACCGACAAGCAGGAGCTCGCCGCGTCCATCAAAGAGACCAGACCGCTCCGGTCCTCGGTGCTGCACTGGGACTGCCACGTCCACGACACGGCCGTAGACGGGAGCTACGGCGCGGAAGCACTCGGTTACGACCGGGGAACGCAGCACACCGAGAGCGTAAAGCTCCGATTGGCTGAGATGGAGATGCCAACTCCGTACGGGATTTTGGCGGACGAAATGATAAAAGCAGCAGAAGGTTTCGAGCAACGCGACTTCATCGACAACAGTTCGGTGATAGCACGCCTTCTGTCACGGTCTACTACAATGGAGCCGGGCCATTGTGTTTTTCGTGCTATAGCACGCGCCCGCCAGCTCCACCGAAAGACAAAGAGGAATTTGTTCCATATTTCGGATCCATCCAATTTGGTGGATTGTCTGACGAAGTGGTGGACAGCGGTCAACGACAAGAGGTGCCGACTCCGGGAGCTCATGAACGGAGCATGGGTGTGGCCGTCGGGACCCGGCGACCGCCGCGGGGATGCCGTCGGGGTACTAAGAAAGCTGGACAAAGAAGACGCACAGTGGAGCGGTAACGACGACGAGAAAGTGGCGCCAGCAGACACGGCGTGAGACGAGCGCAGCACCCCGGTCCGTGTTCATCATCCTTCCAGCACAACGCTTTTGTCTCTTTTTGTAATTTTTGAAAGTAGCAGTCTTGTAAAAGAAAAGCAGTAACAGTTTTGTTCGAAAAATAAAGAGTAAATGAACAACGAAAAAGCCAGTACGCAGCACAGATCCAAAAGTAGTAAAGTAAGTTGAGAAAGAGGCACGACAACAGATCAAGAGCCTATCAATCAAGAGACATTTTCTATTGATCTCTATGATGACACTAGCACTAGAGTGCTTTGATTCAGTTTTGCAACGCAGAAGTAACATTTCAGGTTTTGTTGACAGCAGACCACTCAGCAAGAAAGATTTCTGAGAATATATAAATTTTCTGTGACAGCGGAAACGAAACTCAACGAGAGTAAGACGAGAAAGCTAGATCCGACGACCCTTTAGCAGAGACGAGAACGAGCTCACATTTGTAAGATTTTTTATAGACAATTTTCCAATTTTCTGATTCCTTCGTCGCGGATATTTTTGAAAAAGTTAGAAAGACAAAACTTCCATCAGTGTAAAGTGTAAATAAAGTTAGGAAGTAAGAGCGTGGAGCTAGTATTTGCGTACAAGCAAGACCAGCAGACGAGATGCCAGCCAGGAATCCGCTCACCGAAAAGAAGGAGTGCCCGAAGTGTGGGTTGTTTCCTATGACCCACGTGTCGGACTGCGAGAAGCTCATGGAGCGCCGGCGGAAGAAACTCTATTTGGTTTTGGGACGGCTCGGCGGAAAGCGTGTTTCCGGGCCTGCTCCGCTAGTAATTCCGCGGACCTGGTTTTCGGCGTGCAACAGTATCAAGCGCCGGTACCTACCCCACCTCCTCTGCGTCCCGACCTTCGAATTGGAATATCAGTACCAAGTGACCACTTTCCTGCCCATGGGTCGTTACCAACGAAGCGCGGCGTACGAAGAGCTGAGCGGAATGATGCTGGGGTACTGTGGAATGCTCCGGATGGATCAGCCGGAACTCTTCGCGGTGATCGAGGACATCACGTTGCACAAATCGCACAGCTACGCCGACTTCGCCAGGATGTGCGCGTGCGTGGTGCACCACATGCAAACTTTGTGTCCTGTCGGAGGGCGCTCGTTCATCAGGATGGAATTTTGCGAGGAAGAATTGACGCTGTTGGAGTTGCAGCGATTCTTTGTTTATTACGCGACTGTGGAGGATCGCCGCGAACTCAAGAACATGCTCGAGTACCCCGTGTGCGAGAAGTATTCGGAGGGCGCGGTCGACCTGCAGCATGCGACCAGTGGTAGCTACTTCATCCTCGCCGACGAGGAGTAGTCCGGAACGGAGAACGAAAAAGCAAGGATAAATAAGTGACACAATACTGAAGAAGAAATAGATTAGACTAGAACCAATACTCAAAGGCGGAGCACAGTCAACTCCTATACCCCGGGGAGCTGTTAATTCCACAACGGGAATTCGGTTTCGTATCGTGTGTTGACTGTGCTCGTAGAGCAACAAAGTAGTTATATCGTTAGATAGGGTCGTAGCTACGTGAAAAGGGTCTAGCTAATCTCATGATGACGCAAATCAGCCGAGGACTCTCCTGAACTAATTCTGCCTGTGCTTGGCTCAAGCCCTGTGCTTGTTGCCTTATCTGCTAGCACAGTGAGCCTTTTTGTTTGAGAGTGCGGCGCACTCTGTCGCTGGTGATGTTCCTGGTGTTCTCATGCGATGCACGATCCACAGATACGGAACCATGTCGGTTTTCTGTTTCATCATGCAGAAGCTGCATTTAATATGCCAGCACTTGTGTTGCTGCTTAGTGAAGACGGCGCCCTTCAAATGAGAGGGGAGAGTTGTGCACTCTCATACGAGGTCCAAAACACCGGAGACTGGCAAGACGGGTGGTGCAAGGGTAAGGCCGCCGGAGAGGAGTGTCCGACCACGGCGGAGGAGACCTGCGAGCTCGTCCAGTACGGCGCCGGAGGAGAGGGGCTCGCCCGCTTCACCCAGGAGGATGACCACCCCGAGTTTGGCACGGCTACCATCAATTGTAACGGCAAGGTCGGCCAGTACGTGATCCTCGAGTGGCCCGGGGGGATTGCTGATGGTGTGTCGAAGAAACGATGTGGGCAGGTCAGCGAACTGAGGGTATTCGGTGCCGAGTACATCGAATCGCCCGAGAAGGAAGGCGAATCCGCGGCCAAAAGTGCCACGGTTGATGAGAGCGCCGCAACGACCAGGATCGCCAGGCCTTCCTTCATTTTCCTTGCGGCAACTACAATGGCGATGGTGCTGGCCACGAACTTCTGCGCTGTGTGGTTTGGTCTGTGATTGTGCAGCTTCACGACCGAAAAAATACTTGTTCGAATAAGGACGCAAAGAATCAATAAAGCATCTTTTACTTTTCAACAGCGAGAAACAGGACTACGTTTTAAATTTTTAGAACATCACTGCTTTGTAGCCTTCCCAACTTTTCAGTAGACTTTTAACTTTCAGCGTCAATCTTTTAACTTTTCAACAACTTCAGTAGCAAACAAAATAGTACTCCCCAATCACTTTCGAACTTTTTATAAGAAAGAGCTTTTTCTCGTCCTCAGCAGCAGTTCCTTCTTGGCAGCTAAAAAGCCTCAACTTATCCCTGCTTGCCAAAAATACTACGGGTAGTGTTTAATTAAGTTGATACTGATAGACTCACGCTAAGACTCAGAATTCACTCTTCGTTAGCATTTAGATTGGCAGCTAAAAAGCCTCAACTTATCCCTGCTTGCAAAAAATACTACGGGTAGTGTTTAATTAAGTTAAATGCTTATCATTTTTCACCAGTGAAGAAGTGGAACACGAAACGCCTTTTGTATGATGGAGACTGCTATATGTATAGTATACAAAAGTAAGTGCCCTGTTACCCTGTTACCCTTGCTTGTGTTCCATGTGTTGTTGCGTCCGGATGCGCAGGCGGAGACAGGTAAGGCAAAAAAAAATTAACTGTTTCTGTCATTTAACTTTTTTCTGGCATGACAAATTTGTATGACACCACCTGCAAGAAGTAGCAATAGCCTACTAAGCGAGCCTGAGCACCTAGTATAACTTTTTTCGTGCCAGCTCGTAAGATCGGGGTTGAGGATCAGTGTTGTTGTTGCGATTTTTGCGTTGATCAACCGCGTAGGTCCCCTAAAGTGGGAAAAACCAAGATCCAAGCAGGTGGTGATAGCGGGTCGGTCAAAAAACAAAACCGCCAAGAGTCCTGCAAAAACTGCCCTCACTCACTCGCCGGGTGGATGCGCCGCCGAGGTCCGCGGATAGCTTAGTGAGAAAAAGAAATAACACTGGTAGTAGCTTAGTAAGAAGGAAAAAATAGAAGTCGCAAAAACTACTTATACTGTTTTTGTGCTAGAATAGCCGCGCCGCTGAACAACGGGAGACGGCCTGTCCGGTGAGTGAGTACGCCGCCAACTGCTCGCCGGGGCGCTGTGTGGAAGGGCAGCGCCGCCGCATGTCGAGCCGGGGAACTAGTTTGCTTTGGTCCTCCCTTTTATTTTTTAAGTTCCCCGTCATCTCAAATCCCCCTTAACTTGCCGCCTTACTCTTCATGAACATGGGGGAAGACATCAGCGCGTAGAACGGTTCGAACCAGACTCGGGCTACAAGGCAACAGCTAAACCATCCCTACGCCCTCCGGTCGACCTTGACGAAACTGACTACCAAACTCTCTGTGGATTTCTATCAGCTTGGCAGACACCTAGGGCCACGCCACCGCGCATTCCGAGGGTAGATCAGACGGACCACAGAAGGGCGTTGCGAGGTGGACAAAAACGGCATCACTCAAGCGGGGGAGCGGAAGCAGGGTCTTCGTTCA